GGGTATAAAAATAAAGGGTTAACTCACGGTGCTACAATTTCAGCAGCATCAGCAAAATCCTTTGCATTGCTTGCTGCAAATTGAACAATTAAAGGGCGATCACCTACAAAAAACAGGGAAAGTAATTCATACATAAAGTGATAAAAGAGAAGACCACCAAAATGAAAAAGAAACACTTGATTGATGTAAAAATTTATCTATTTTCACATTTTAACCTTTTAACCCCTGAGGGTGATTAGCTTCTAGTTTCTTCTCACAATAACCACACATTAAGGTCCCAAGAATAAAGGAAACAGTAAAATAGAAACTTGAGACTGTTGAAAATACTCTCCTTTTCAGCACTAAAGGACATACATACATACATACATGCATACATACATACAGAACTTTTGTTTCTGTGTCTAGTTGTTCTAGCGCCAAGGTACTAGAGGGAAATGTATGGAAAAGAATATACTACTCACAAGCATGTTAGCGTATAAAAATAAAGGGTTAAGCCCTTTTAGAAATGTAGGGAAAACAATATGGAGAATGACAAACTGATGATAGGGTGTAAACGGTTTAAGATCAAGTTGTATGGTAATCTGTTACTTCTTCTTCACCTGCATTAGTTGTGAATTCCATGTCCCTGGCCTTAACAGATTTTACAAAAGAGTCCGAGACTATCATAGGAGTGTATGCCAAGTCACAGCCATATCTGTATTAAATAGTAAAACAAAGCTTTCAACTTTAAATCTTCACAATTAATTGAAAATTGAACGAGAAAATAAGGTGAGAAGTAAATCATCGTATTACCTTCTGACTAGGGTCCGAAATGGCAGCCTGAAATGATAAAATGATATATTAAGATGGTGTTATCAGATATGAATTTTTTGCGGTAGGTTTGAGAATGCTATTCTTTCCACCAAGACATGTCTATTTTACAGCAAACTTTTAGATGGCCTTTGATGTCCTGCCAAAGTATCGAGGCACTTATGCATAGTGTATTTGCCAATGGCGGTACAATGCTGTGAATATCCAAACCAGGGAAACTATAAATCAAAGCGAAGACCGAAGACTACTGAATACCAAATTAAAACCGAAGATCCACGTAAACTAAATTAAAAAAACAACACGGGGAAGAACGCTGACTCATAAAACGTCGCTATAGTTCAGATGCCTCGAGGAGTTGAAATATACGTAATATATATAAGGCCTTCGATTAGTAGAAAAAGCAGGCTCAAAATGCAAAACGAAGACCTTCGCCAAAACGCTTACTCAAGCCACATAATACTCGCCAACTGGAGAGACAATAAGGCGATCACGACTTACTTGGAATATCTAACCATTGGCGCACATATGCGCACTATTTTTTTCTGCTCGAAGAGTTCCAAAGGCTTTTTAAAACTTACTTCACCGTCTTCTTCGCTTTCTTCATCTCCGTCCGCCATGATGAATGATACCCAGCATGCTATTGGTATAACGAGAGAGACACTGAGAACGAGACAAACGTCGAGATCTGGGTATAAGTGTGCGCGAAGGGAAGAGGAAAAAACTTGCGCACTTGCCTCAACCACCTGAAGTCAGTTAAAGCTCTTGAGAAAACGAAAGTGATATTTCAGAACACCTAAGCCTAAGTGACTATGGCTGACCTTCCGCCTGGTTACTATAGAACGGAGTTAAATAGAACCGTTTGGGAAGTTCCTGAGAAGTATCAAGACCTGAGTCCAATTGGAACCGGCGCGTATGGACAAGTTTGGTGAGTACAGAGTGTTAAAATGCAGAGAGGAGTTTGCCTCGATGGTACATAAAATATTTGATTTGAGGTTTGTACCCTGATTTGATGACTGATCTTGGGATGATGCGATTTTCAAACTGAGAGGCTTCATCGATGTTCGCACCCTTCGTGAAAAGGACCAGAGGCGTTCGAAAACTACAAACATACTCGATGTAGTTTGTTTAATTCGTCACCTACTATAAATATGCTTACTTATCACAATGTTCAGCGCGGCAAAGTTTCCACATTACCCCATGCTTCGTCATGGATAATAATATTTGCAATCAGGAAGCAAAAGTAAAAACAATGGATTACCTTTGAGATTAATGCTTTGTTTTTGAAAAGTATGACTTTGTGCAGAAATCTTTCCTTTAACTCTTGCCTTAACCTGCCAAAACACTGTTTAGGGCGAAATTGGGGAAAATTTCCGCACAGCACCATACTATATTATGCATTCAGTTCTTGGATAGAGAAAGAACGACAAAAGCAATACATTGCCATTGGGAAAACAGATTTGTTTAACAATAGTATGGGGCTGTGCGTAAATTTTACCCAAAATTTTCACGTAGGCTGGCTTCTAATCTTAGTTATATGGTGAAATATCTGTAATGAATTCAAACTCACAGCTAGGTTATACATTTTAATCAGTGGAGAGATAAAACTTGAACAGTACATTTAATTTAAATGCAAATAATCAATCAATTTGTAAATTCATCATTAATTAGGTTTAATTGTGTTTGAAATATGAACACATGGAATGTTATGTTAGGCAAGTTGTATCAAAATGTTGTTTTTCACTTGTGTTATGCTGTTCAGATCGAGTCAAATAAACACCACAAATTATGATATTTCAAACAGATCATGATTATTTAAGCTGTTATACTAAATACATCTGTTTAGCGTGCACATCTGGCTTGATAACCAGCACCTTTTTGGGAAAAAGAAACCCACATTCTCTCCCTTTCTTGGAAGGGACAGAATGTAGAGAACAAAACAGGAGAATCCTATTCTAGATGCACCTCTGAACTTACAGAATAGGATAGTCCGAGTTTGTATGTACTTACAATATCTTTAAAAAATCCACAGCTCTGCTACAAACACCACTAATGGAGAACAAGTGGCAATCAAGAAACTCTCAAGACCTTTCCAAACCACAATGCATGCAAAGAGATCCTTCAGGGAACTGAAACTTCTTCGCCATATGGATCATGAAAATGTAGGTTTATTGTGTAGAGTTTATGTAGTTGTGACTGAAATATGTTTGAAAATGATTCCCTCAGGTCAACTGCTATAAACCCTTTTACTCCCAAGATCTCATTAGTAATTCTCCTTACTTTCTGCCATACAGTTCTTAAGATGCTGGTTTGGAGAATTTGGTTATAATAATCCCATAATTTAAATTTTTTCTTTATTCTCATCACTTGTCTGCTTGATATTGTATTGATATTGTATGGAGAAATTCTGTTATGAAGAAATTCTGGTTTGGTCATTCACAGGGAGTTTAAGTACTAATCCCCTAACTGATATTTTTTTTTATTCTTATCACTTGCCCACTTGATATTGTATTGATATTGTAAAGAGAAATTCTGTCTTGGTCACTCATGGGAGTTAAAGGGTTAAGTTAGGTGCCATTGCAGACTGAGCTAAGAAGCCACATGTTGGTGCCAAGGTAAAATTTTGAGGGTTGTTCATTCTCCTAATGGCATCTGATCACAATGACATGAAAAAAATTATATTTTGACCTGTGAATGATATGCAGTTAAAAACATGATTCATGCAGATGAGCTACAATGAAAATGATTCCGTAGAAAAAAGGATATTTGCAAGTCAAAATTTGAGTTATTTTATATTTAATCATGATGTTGGTGTCCAATGTTAACTAACATTTGTCATCAATTTTTGTTATTTTTTGAAATGACTTTTTTCCTATTTTGTTTTCACTCTTGTACTTGAATCTTTATTTTTACAACAATACCACAGGGTGACACCAATATTTTATAGGACAGATTTTAGTCTATTTCTTTCAACATTTTAATTAAATTGCTGTTTTATATTTTTTCCCTAAGGTTATTGGTTTGTTTGATGTTTTTACTCCTAATACTTCATTTGGGGATTTTCAAGATGTGTAAGTTAAACAATATTTATTCAAAGAGAAATATAATCGTTTGTTTCACAGTGTGGTCACTTTGGATGTGGGTTGCAACATTTGGACTGGATGCTGCCAGTCTTCTTCACACTAAGAGTCACCTGAAGAAGACTAGCAGTATACAGTCAAAATGTCATATTGTGAGACAAACAATTATATTTTTCTTTTGAAGTATAATTTACCACAGTGATTAACCTATTTTATGACTTAAAAATTATTTGACAGTTACCTAGGCATATTTATAATTTATGGAGTATGTTCTCTATAATTAACCATTTAACTCCCAGAAGTGATTAACATAAATCTTCTTCCCACAATAACCATACATTATTCAGCAAACAGGTAATGAGAATATTCAAACTTATCAGGTAGAAGCTGCTATCTTGATCTAGCACCAAGTTCTCATAACTAATTTACAAGGAAATGTGTAGCAGCTACAGGGGAGAATTAACAATCAGATCTTGGGAGTTAAAGGGTTAAGACACCTCCTTTGTCTGCCATACATTTTCTCATCATTTTATCTCAGTCTGTGAATGTGGTGCTTAATCAAACTCTGCTTTCTTTTCATCATCTTACTGAAAGTTCATTGAATTTGTCAATGTTAACTCTTCAACCCTCTGAAGTGATTAACATGTAACTCACATTATCCAGCAGATAGGTAATAAGAAAATTCAACCTCATCAGGCAGGAGTTGTTATCTCGATTTTAACAATTTTAACATCAAACTATTGACTCTAATTTACAAGGAAATGAGGAGCAACTATACATTTAGGCAGAATTGACTTGCAGATCCTGAGAGTTAGGAAAAATTTATTTCTGGCAACTCCTAGGAGTGAGGGGGTTTCATGAACACCAAAATTAGTCCTTGTCATGCAAAAAGACAATTGTGTATAATGGTCTTTGGAATTTTAAGACCACCTGAGAAAGGCTTTTCTAGATTTCATATTAACTTTCTGCTTTTTCCTTCTAACCAATAGATATATGGTAACTGCTCTGATGGGAGCTGATCTGAACAGCATTCTTAAGTGTCAGAAACTCACCGATGAACATGTTCAGTTTCTTGTTTATCAGATACTGAGAGGGCTTAAGGTAGGGACAACTAAGTGCTAAACATAATTTCTTCTTTAGCAATCTCCATGATTTGATGTGCAATTAATTCGCTTGAAGAAAGACATCCATTTTGAATTGTCGCACCCCATTTGGTATATGATTAGATCAAGCAAAAACAAAATAATTTTTGCTAAATAGCACATTTCATAACCTTTCCATTGATGTATATAATTTATGGTGGTTAAGCTTCTAATGGCGTGCATCACCTATACTCATTCATACCAAATCAACCTCATTGTCTGAAGAAGGCTTGCAGTATGCAGTCAAAATGTTGCAATCCACATCCAAAGTGACCTCATTGTGAGACAATGATTACATTTCTCTTTTGAAAGTGTTATTTACCATGATGACTAACTTAAACTTATTTGATGATGTAAAGCATGGCTTGTTTTGTGAAAAAAAAAAATGCCATTCATGGAGGGTGTGGGGCATGCTCTCGCCTGTTGCCACAGAACTTGAATGAATTCTTACTGAAAGCATGTTGAGAAATCTGATGAGGTGTCATTAATGGTTCTAATTTTCTTTTCAGTACGTCCATTCAGCAGGAGTCATTCACAGGGTAGGTTTTTTTTTTTAGATAACTTAATTAGTATATCAGCCAGTTAAGTGTCAAACCAAGCTGTATTGCACAATGAGAGAGAGGACTTCAAATGAGTGCATTGTGTGTATGTTTCTTTACTCACAAATTTTTTATTGGATTTGTAGGATCTGAAGCCCAGTAATATAGCTGTTAACGAGGATTGTGAACTCAGGGTAAAACCACTTTAAGGTGTTTTTGTTTAATTTAATGTATAGTGTATTTTTCATTGCAAATCATAAAGGATGTCTTTTTTAGTGAATAAAAGGGATAACTTTCTAAAGGAACTATGTTGTGGCATCAGTGGGAGGTATCACAAGATACATGTAGTTTATTTTTATCATCTGATTTGATAAGAAATATTCATTTCTATGCAAATGGAAAGCTAAATTATCACTTCTCAAGGGTACAAACACTAAAAGAAAAAAAAAAGGACAAGTTGGTTTTATCACCTGAGTTTAGAATTCAGATTGGCCTCTACAAAGATTCTCTAGAGCTAACTTTTCAAGCATGAGCCCTTTGTCATTCACTCTGACAAAGGGCTAATGCTCAAAATATCAGCTATAGAAACTCTTTTCTGTGGCCAATTTGCATCATTGACTTAGTTGATAAAACCAACCTTTTTTTTTTTTTTTTGAAGGGGTCATTTAATTTTATTTTGCAATTCACTTAAATCAGTTACAATACTGTAACAAAATGGACATTACTTATGAGAAAAAAAAATAAAAAGCATTGAACTACATAGCTTTTAATTTTGACATACTAAACCAATTTTAAATAGAGAGGAAAATGAGACAATTTACCAAACTATATTTGTTGTTGTTTTTTTTTTTTAATGTTTGTACCTCTTTGGGAGTGATCAGTTAGCTTTCTGTTTGCTTAGAGGTGCATTTCTTTACAGTAACTGTGATCTGCCAATTTTTTTAGATAGAAAAAACAGTTTAAGGCTTGTTGGAACATGCTCTCGACCAATTACTTTTTTTTTTTTCTTTTCTAAGATTCTTGACTTTGGTTTGGCAAGAATGGCAGAGGAGGAAATGACAGGTTATGTAGCAACAAGATGGTACAGAGCACCAGAAATCATGCTCAACTGGATGCATTATAATCAAACAGGTTTGTGTCTAGCTTGGAGTTTTAATGATTCTCTTTTTACCCTTTCATTACCAAGATCTCATTAATAATTCTCCTTACTGTCTGCCATACAATTTTTATGATGTTAATTCAGAGAATTTGGCATTGGATCAACTAAAAATCCCTGCACTAACATTTTTCTTCATTCTCATGACTGAACAAGAATTTGTCTAGCAGCTAGAAGGGAGAATCAAAAATTAGATCGTAGGATTTAAAGGGTTAAGAGGGATGCTTGTTTGACGTTATGACCTCTGAGGCAAAGGCTTACTCTGACGAGGGTGCTTATTAGATTGTGGGCTCTTACTAGGGGGAATATGGTATTCAGACTTATTTCAGTATTTAAATGAAGGGTGTTTTCCTCCTTTGCAGTTGATATTTGGTCTGTTGGTTGCATCATGGCTGAGCTTCTGACGGGTAAAACATTGTTTCCTGGGAATGATCATATCCTTTTAATTACTTTTCATTTTTACATAATAAAAAATTCATCTTGTTTCACTTGTAGTACTTGAAAAGGAAACAAAAGATTAATGAACAAGTTCCTCCTAAATTTTTCTCTTTGTCTTCTCGTTTCTTGCAAACCAGTAATTATTTATGTATTGTTACATAAGTAACTTGCTTAGCCTTAACTGTTAAAAAATATTGATCAGTTGACACGAATTATGCAACTTGTTGGGAAACCTGGTGATGATTTCCTAGGGAAAATCAGCAGTGAATCAGTAAGTGTAGTTGATTTGATCCAAGGATTATGGTCAGTCAGCTAGTTCAACTACCCATCCATCTGTCTATCTACCAGTCAGTCAGTCAGTCAGTCAGCCAGCCAGCCAGCCAGCCAGTAAACCAGTTAGTCAGTCAGTCAGTCAGCCAGCCAGTTAGCCCCTCAGTCTGTCAGTCAATCAGTCAATCAAGGAACTGTATCTTTATTTTGGTAAATATTCAATAGATAAACAAAAATTGTGTCATTGTTCATGTAGGCTTAAAGTCAATATGGAGATAGAAATGACTTTTGTTGTCAGTCAGCCAGTCCATCTGCCCATCCATCTGTCCATCTGCCAGTCAGACAGTCAGTGAGCCAGTCAGCCAATAAATCAGTCAAATGAATAAAGGGGGTAAGTTTCTAAAGAAACTATGGTGCTGCATCAGTGGGAGAGTATAGCAGGTAATTTAGTGTGAACATCTGAGTTGAAAAAAGAGTTAAAAGGCTGACTTTTCGAGCTTTAGCCCTTTGTCAGAGCAATGAAGGGCTAATGCTCAAAACGTTAGCTTTTCTCTGACAAAGGGCTAATGCTCAAAACGTCAGCCTTTAAGCTCTTTACGGTGGCCAATTTATGTTTTCAACTGAGTTGTTAACACTAAATTACTCAGTAAATCAGTCAGTTAGTCAGTCAGTTAGTCAGCCACTCAGTCAGTCAGCCAGCCAGTCAGCCCCTCAGTCAGTCAATCAGTCAGTCAATCAGTTCATCTGCTGGTCAGCAAGTCAAAATTATTTGTTTTTTTCTTTTTTGGGAACAGTCAGTAGATCTTAACCATTTTATGTGTTCTCCAGGCAAGAAGTTATATAGCATCAATGCCAAAATATGAAAAGAGACCATTTACAGAGGTTTTTGTTCATGCCAACCCACAAGGTACGTATATGCATGTATTGACTCTTTTATTGCAAATAAAGTAAATGTTACCATAATGTACATTTAGGAGGCATTACTTTTGATAGTTATGATGTCCATGGTCAACTGAAGATCAAGCAAAATCAGGTTGAAAGGTTTATGGAGGTTTATGCAATTTTTTTTACGAACAAACTAAAATACTGTTAGGCCAAACATATGTGTAGAGTAGTTGATATTCACACTTGTTTGTTGTTGGGCCCAGTGTTTCAAAGCAACTTAGCATGCTTTTGTAGGTTAGCATTTGACTCAGGAAAAATTGCTTCTTGATCAAAATATATCATGGTTTTGACAGGAAAATTAATATCTTCATTGTAAGGAATCAAGTTTTAAGATTTTTGGGCAAACTTGTGAAGGCAGAGGTGAACTTGTTTTATTTTGGGGGGCAAAATTGCAAAGGCAACTGGGGGCAAACATGCATTAGGGAAAAACTTCTAGAGACCAAGTGTTCAATGGGGTTTGGGCAATGCCTCTCTCCCCCCCAGGGGAGTGAGGGGTGTTAGTATTAATGATGACTGGGGAAATGGGCTTCTTGAAATGGACTTGCACCCTGGGAGTCTTTTTGTTATTTGGCCCACTGGGTGTGTCATCCTACATGATTTGGGACTCCTGTTTCTGTGGATGTCATCGTCACTGCCAGAATTATCAGAAAACTTTGTTGTCAAACTTTCACCTAACATACAAAACAAGCTAAAGATTTTTCCCTTATTAAGGGAAGCACAGATAATTTTCAGGTGAGGTTCGGATTCAGGCAAGTCACATGCAGGAGGAAGAGCACGAAAACGACACTTCCCTCTTGCATTCATTTGCCTGAAAATGCACGAAATGATGCAACTCTGTAAGCTTTGAAACATTATATTTGTGGCCTTATTCAGCTGTAGATCTATTGGAACGGATGCTGAACCTTGATACAGACGTAAGAATCACAGCAGAACAAGCACTTGCACATCCTTACGTGGCTACTTATGCAGATGCAGACGACGAGGTAACCCTCAGGTGGACATAAAAATTTTAAAACATATGTCAGATTTTCTGTGCTCCTTGGGAGAGTTTACTGAAAATAATCGAATTTGGTTGAAGGTTACACATAGCTCATAACCTAAGCGTTTTTCATTGGTATATAACTACTGACTCTTGTAATTCCCAGTCCCCTTAGACTTTTAATTTTAAAGTCAAATGTAAGATTGTCGTATTTTTTAAATATTTAAAGTATACTTGTAAATTCACATGTATTTCACCACTGGGGTGCTATTTTTGAATACTTTTAATAAACCCTTTATTAATTATATTAGCTGAATAAGAGGTTGAGTTTCTAAAGAAACTGTGGCGCTGCGTTGGTGGGAGAGTCTAACAGGGAAATTTGAATTTGTTAACTGAGTCAAACCGGCAATCTTAATCCCTATGGTGAGAAGCACTCAATATGGTAGTAGTCTATGTTTCTGACCCCAGCCGTTGTTAAGTGTGGTATATCTGGAAGCAGGGTGTCCTCAAGCCAAGAGCCATCGAGAGTGATGTACTAGGGGAAGATTTCTCTCTTTTCCTTAACAGCCAACGTGTGAGCCATTTGATGAAGTACAGTTCGAAGCCAAGGATTGGCCAATAGATAAATGGAGAGGTATTAAACACTTTACCACCGAGTTCATTATTTTAAGTCATTCTGTGAAAGATGCGAAGTCACCCTATTCGCAAGAGAAACCAAAAAAAACAGTTCAGGAAGATAGTACAATATCGAAAATGGAAATAATAAAGAAAACGGAACGAAGATAGTGGAAGATGGAGAACATTGACATGGATATAAAACAAGCCACATGAAAGAATGAAGAAATGTAAAATGGTTTTCGTGTTCATAGCCTGATGTAAACACGCAGGAGGTTGGGAGAACACGAGATAAGCGTAGGAAACCACGACGCGAAGCGGAGTGGTTTCCAGCTTATCGAGTGTTCTCCCAACCTCCCAAGTGTTTACATCAGGCTATGTAAACATGGAAACCATTTTACATTTCTTTTATAAAATAACTAATGAAAGAGGAACGAAAACCGTGTTTACATACGCTCATGTAAAATGGTTTTATGGCCAATCAGAGCGCGCGTACTATTTGAATTATTTTATAAATTTCGCTTTTACCTGGCTCCTTTACATCATAATTTGATGTCAGACCTCTTTTCATGGAGATTATTCTAAGGGTGGAATGACGAACATTAAAGAACACGTTTGCCCATAGTGCTTTCTAAAAGTATCTTCTATTTTGTTTCAGATCTGGTTTACAAAGAAATCCTTGACTATCAGTCAAAGAAAGAAGAAGAGAGTATGCAAACTGGATAAAGAACAATTTGGGAAAAGGGAAATAATAGTTTGTATATTATCCTTGGAAGACATGAATATGAACAGACTTTTACCAAGAATAAAGGGAGAGTGGGAAGCCTTTGGAAGCTTGGGTGTTCTCTTAAAGGAATTTTCAGTTGAGTGTCGAAAGTAATTCGGGGTTGCTTTGGTTTTACTTTACTTTACTTTGCTGTGTGATTGGTTCAGAAAACTCGCGCCTCATCCTCTCAACCAATCAGATGCAAAACTAAATACAATCGCGAGTTGGTCATTCGCGTTTTCCCGCGCTTCAAACAGGTTGCTTGTTTTTGCTTTTAGTTCTCATTGGCTAATGATTTTGGACATTTAATCGAATAATGCTCTAGTGGTATCTTTTTTTCGGGTGTGACCTTTGACTGGAGAGTTGTTTTAGTGGTTGTAAAAATTTGTTCGCAGTTTAAACACTGTCAAGAAATGAAATATCCCTCGTATTGTAACCTTCTACTCGTTCAGAAGCCGAAAAGTCTCTCTAACTCTATTTATAAATCAAAACAATAAGGCAACACGAAATTTGACAGGTCTTCACCTACAAGCGTGTCCAAATGTAACCAACGACTATCATATTTTCTCTGAATATACTTTTTTCTCGTGTGATTTTGATTGGTTCGTTTTGAAATTGGTGTTCAAATGTTTCGTGCTGAGACGAATCCCTTGAATAAAATTTCGGTTTTTGGAGTTGAATTGTCAGTTATGCGATGAAACTCTATTTCAAGGACTCAGTAATTTATGATGTAACGGTGACATCATGTAACCAGCACCAAGATGAGATAAAACTTGAAATTCTTTTGAATGAATCCATTTATTCCGGGAACAACAGATAGGAGAATTTGTTTAATCATGTATTTTTGTCAATGAATGGCTTACACAAGGATAAAATTGATTTATGATAATTAATACACGTGTAATTAGAATTGTCAAAATGTATCAGTTTTAGCGCGTTTTAGAGGCGAAATGAATTTTTGTGAAAATCTAGCATTCATAGTCGGTATTGTTTCTTATTAAAGAAAGTGAAAGATATGAAAAACTGAGGGTGTCGTTTTTAAACTGCATTGTTGATACCTTACAAAGGTGAACCCAGTTGTGTTCGTTGGGAGAGAAAAGTCAGGAACGGAACAAAAGACCCTAAGCAAATTGTCTCCAAGTTATTCTTTTGTGAAAGTACTGGGGAAGGGTAATTCCCAGTAATAGGGTAATAGGGATGTGAAGCAGAATTGGGTCGTATTTTCACGACTGGATTAACTATGTTGAGGTTGCATTTTCAATAGTTAAAAGATTATGTCGCAAATTTTCAGGATTTTGGGGCAAAAAAATTTTGGTAAGATGAGGGTTGAAAATGGGATGTGCGATTGTGAAGTTGTTACCGTATTACGAAAAAAAATAATCGGCCACACAGTAGACCAATGATGGGGTAGAGATTCTAAGAGGCCAGCACCCCACCGTAGGGAAAGAACCCTTCTGCTAAATGATAGGGGGGAAACTGGTGAGATACCGGCGGCAACCTTGGTAACATTACAGCGACAAAAGATCCCGACGGAAATTTCGGTAGCATTCCGACAGAGATTCTCGCAAGAATCCAGGGTAAATCCCAGTAGGGTTCCGTTGGGAATCCCGAAATAATTACTCCTCCCTTTTGATTCCAGCCCCACCTGGAGTCCTTCTTCGGTCAACTTTTGTCATAGGCTAAATAATGGTGATAAAAGTAATAATTATAATAATGATAATGATAATAATAATAATAATAATAATAATAATAATAATAATAATAAAAACTGTAGCAAAATTCATGAAGATTTTGGGTCGCCCGAAAAGTTGCGCGACTCGGCCCCATGATCCTACGCGTAAACTGTGAGTTGAGACTGGTGACGATTATGGCCGCCATGTGTGTAAGTAGATAATGGCATAATATGTACATTCTGCGCTTTTTAGCCGGTAAACGAGCTTTGTATTCTAAAATTTCCCTTTATATCGGTGAAATGGAGTCATCTAAAGTAAGGAACGCGACTATCACTTCCTTTACGACTCTTTCTAACGCTAGTAAGCGTAAAATTGATCTTGGGGAACCCAAATCTGATAGAGGCCGAGAAATCGAAGTCAGACCGTCACGCTTATATTCTGTTATTGGAACAGTAAGTCTTTCACTCCTTATGTTTATAAGATGGTTCCTTGGCATTGTTCTCCTTGGTCCAACTCAACAGTTAAATAGAACGTTTGATCGCAAAATACCGTCGAAAAACTCCGCCTCCAACCAAGAATCGAAACCGAAGACTATGCGTGGTTTCATACTTGATGATGTGGCATCATGTGACAAACTCTTGCAATCCTACAGGTCACAGTATCCTCTTAAATTGAATTTTCTTGGAATAGATTGCGAGTGGGTAAATATTAAAGATCAGAAAAACTCTCCGGTTGCATTATTACAGATTGCAACACCCTTGTCTGATTGCTTCCTTATTCGTTTGTGTAAAATGGATGGCCAAATGCCTGAATCAGTAAGAGACATTCTAGAAGATAAGACCATTCTCAAATTCGGCGTTGGAATAATGGACGATGCCAAGAGATTGTCAGGGATGTGTGGTATTGATGTGTCTGGCTGTGTGGATCTGAGACACGTGATTCAAAGATGCCGAGAGGGGAACATTGTCCAGTCTAGGTATGTAAACAAATACCTAGTCCCAATTTCTCCCTTGAACCTTTGACCTCTAATTCTCCATACATTATTACCTCTGAATCATGTATTAGTATCAGGAGATTAAAGGAATTGATCACCAACTAAAAGAGCTCTTGATTGTTTGACAAATTCTCCTTGTCAGCAACTCAAGATAGGTGTAGAGAACAGTATGGAGAATATGCATCCTGATGTTGAGATGGAAAGGTTTAACTCTCCTCACTCTTTCAAAAGACATCTTTCTCTATTTGCCCTCTGTGTTCCTGGTTATAGAGTGTTGTAAATGCCTTTTGTCTCTCTTGTTGACAGAAATCAGAAGATGAGCTTGGATGCCTTAGCTAAGAGAGTTCTTGGTGTGACCATGGACAAGTATTGGAGAATTCGCTGTAGCAACTGGGAGGCAGATGAGTTTGAAAGAAGGCAGATTGAGTATGCAATGAATGATGCCATGGTCGGGAGTCATATTTTTCTTAGATTGGTAAAATCTAAACTGGATGCACGAAAAATGGTGAGATCTGTAGTCACACCAGCTGGGGAACCTGTTAATGTGGAAAAGAGTTTGAGCACACATTCTGGATCTGTGTTGCATGAAGAGAGCATCAGCATGGTTGGTAATCTAGAAAATTATTCCCAGATGCAATGCTGTGATTCTAGAATGTGTGATCATGTTGAACAGAAGCTTAAAGAATACAAGAATGGTTTTATTTTTGACACAGAGGAGCTTGATGTTTTAACCTTTACAGCAGATCTAAAAAAGTTGGAGTCAGAACATGATGATGACAAAGGATATCTTTGTCAAGAGGAAGTCCTTTCTCTTCTACAAGATTCAGTCTTTTGTCAAAGAGCTAGTTCACTCTGTCAAGGAGTTGTTGATGTATCATTTAAGAATGTAGAAAGTATCACAGACAAAGATAAAAGCAAAAAGCAAGAAAATGTGACAGAAATGCATAACAGGAAGCCTTACAAAAGAGGTACCATTAGAAAATCCCCTCTTTACATGAACTGCATGCTGGCTGCACCTGATGGATCAAGGTTGTGTACTCTGGATCGCAAGAAGGCTGATTGGTATATTGAAAAGGGAATTGGTAAGTAAAACCAACTTTTTTCTTGTGGTGCTTGCTTGAGTCCAAGTTTTCCACATGTAGATGACAAGAGCTAGTTGGAAAGCAAATGAAAACCGTCTTTGGAAGGGATAACATTTTTCAGATGCTTTCCACAACATACCTTTTAAAAGACAAATTTCATATGCATGTGGAATTTTGTTTTACCCAGTAAACCTTGAGTGACTATAATTTAATTTCCTTAAAATAATACTGCTGAATATTCATTAAGAGATTAGAGGGAATGATCATCAACCTAAGAAACTTTGATTGTTCAGTGAATTCTCCTTGTCAGTACCAAAGAAAATGTATGGATAAGAGTACAACGAATATAGATACTGATGTTAGGGTGTAAACAGTTGATGATTAGTGCAAAAGCTGTGCTTAGATTTAACTGAGCACCTGGGTACATGCAGATGTGTGTTGAAGTTAACTTTTGATTTTTCATTGACTTTCTATAGGCAAGCTGACAAACCTTGACCCATACACAGTCCAGCTCAACTTTGAACCCTCAGGAAGGCCTGGGTCAGAGGATTCGTATTACCTCAATTTTAAAGACAATATTTGTGTTGTGTGTGGTAGTGATAAGAGTTATTTGAGGAAAAATATTGTTCCTCACGACTACCGCAGATACTTTCCACTAGTCTTGAAAGATCATCATTCCCACGATGTGTTACTTATGTGCTCTGAATGCCATCGTCTTTCCGCGTTTCACGATGTCAAGTTGAGGAAAGAGCTGGAGAGGCAGTACAATGCTCCTTTGGGTAAGAACTAAAGCAGAGGAAAATCAGATTCTTAACCATTTCACTCCCAATATCAAAACGTAAATTCTCAGCACTATCGCTCATATAGTTCTCTTGATGTTTGATGTAGAGATTTGCTGCTGAATCAAACAATATCCTCAGCTAATATTTATATTCTTTTTCATTGCCCTTCTGCCTGAAAATGTATTGATATTGCTTCACCTCCTCTGTGTTCTGTCTTTCTTCATGCCAGGAAATGCCAGTGTGGCCCGCCTCGTGGAAGATCCCGATCTAAAGAAAGTGAAATCAGCTGCAAGAGCTTTGAACTGTGCTGGACAAAACTTGCCTTCAGCCAGGCATGAACAACTCACTTGCATTGTCCAAGAACATTTTAAGACCTCCAGTTTGACTCCTGAAATGATTCAAGAAGCTGCAACAATGGAAACTCGGAAAGAGAATTCGAATTATGTGTCTCATGGGCAAGAAGTCGTGAAAAAGATCCGGGAAGAGGGAAAATTGCTCGAGTTTGAGAAAATGTGGAGACAGCACTTTTTGGACACGATGCGCCCGCGTCACCTGCCACCTTTGTGGTCAGTTGACCATCGTCATGATAGTTTAAAGGAAAAAATTGAGGATTTAAACGACAGCTGATGAAAATATTATTCTCTTCTCCACCGGAAAAGAATAGAGATAAAGAACCGTCTATCATGAAAATATTTATAGAATAAGCAGTTTTCAAAGAATGCTTAAAGGTTCCTGTAGTAACTGCTAGCGGACAGCTGACAATTTATGTGACCTCTTAGTGATAAAGGTAGTTGGTCTAAACGCATCACGTGAACAAGTATGCCTCAGCTAGAACTGGGAAATATCTCAGGATATTTACTCCAAGTGATATCGCCCAACTTTTAGATCTTTCTTGTTCGCTATACATTCGTACGCTTTTTTGGTTTGTTTTGCAGGAAGCTGTCTTGTCAGCAAGGTTATCCTTATTCTCATTAGTAGTTCACTGAAGATTGATCAGTTTTCGTTGAAGATGATGAAGAACTAAATTGAATTAAAAAGGGTTTCGTTAAAAAAAAAATCTCATCGAAGTAATGAGCCAGAAACGGTTTTTAAACTTTCAATTGTTTTAAGCTGCGACGCCATTTCAAAGAAGATGACGAGGTTCAAAAGGGTGTAATGGTGTAATGAATTCATGATGCTTTTTAACATAAATTATCATGACAATAAAAGTTGCATTATATTCAGTTCTAAGACTCAGTCTTTCAGACAAACATTGATAGCTGAGGATGAAGTACCCTGGCATGATTTTAAGATTTCGTAACAATTCAGTTTTTACAAAGGTGCATTAAGGAAAAATGCTCTTTCAGAATGAAAAGATTGAAGCGATCTGGAGGAGGCTTGTCTTTCGGGAGGATGGAATAGATATTAACTTGATTGGTGACCCTAATCTTGGAAACAAACCCTTCTGTTCTCGGCCCGTAACTGAAACCACTGAAGGATTAAGTAGGCCTAGTCCAGTATAAAATTTCCACTTGAAGCTGGTTGCCGGCAGTATACCGCCGCTGGCTAACACCTCCCACTACTGTCTCTTAAGCCTACAAGCTGGATCTCTTGTCTGGGGTTCGGTTCAGGATGCCTCTTCCCCGGCGAGCATTACCGCCTATATATCACACCCTTTACAGCAGCTTCGGGAAAAGAAGTCGTCTCAAAAACAGTTGAAGAAAGAACCGTAGACAACACAAACAACAAGGCAGGCAGAGAGAAGCCAAAAACAAAGCAAGATGATGGGTAGTTCCACTGGGATCAGAAGGGGAAACGTCACCTAAAGTCATTGATGGGGGGGGGGGTCAGGCTTAAGCGTAAATGTCATTTTGGCAGTAGAAATTGCTAGTTTTTCTTGACGAAGAGAGGAAATCTTTGACCTCACCCTGCACCCCACGTGATTCCTTATGGGTCATGCACTTTCAAATAGTCTCTATCGTGTGTTTTCAAAAGAAAGCAAACAATTCTGATTCGGGAAAAGGAAGTGGTAGGGAAAATTGCACTGAGCGATATACTCCTCTCCTTATAGGAATCTCCCATCGAGAGAATGACTGGTTGCCTTTGGTTTTATCAAATTTCGGATCACTATATACCCTTCTTTCACTTTTATTAACCAACCCTTTCTCCAAATGTAATATTCATTAATTTTTTTTATGTGCATTAATATATCATGACCGAGTAGGTAATTTGACCAAGGGCAAGTAGTACGCCATCTTGGATACCCATAAAGCATAGCGCGGGTCATTCTTTCTGCGCATTTTTGTGCGCATATATTATTTGGTGACGTCACGCCGCTGATCACAAAATTTCTAATTCTAATAACAGTCTGAAAGGGTTCGGATTCTTGTGGTGTTTTCATTGTTTTAGCTTTTTTTAGTGCCTCGTCATGACCATTTTACCAAAGAAAAAACATTCAGAATCCAAGAAGACTGATACAAGTTCAAGCAATGACAACAGAACGCGGATACGCAATAATTCTTCTTGGACTTCATCCGCTGGCGTTACCGAAAGAAATCGCTCGACCGAAGAGTATTCTGGCCATGGCGAAGAGCAATACCTAGGAAATAGTTTTGAGAGTAGAGAAGCGGCTGATGTAGCTTCTAACACTTCGAAGAGAAGGCATAGAAGTCCTCCACATCGACACAAATATCATGAAAGGCACAGCGAAGAAGCGGGAAATAACAGCTCCGACGAATATGAGTGTACCCAAACCGACCAACCTTTGTCGACGGAAGAGGTTGGTATCGTTTTTGTTCTTACGCTTCTGGAGGAAATTGTTGAGTGTTAACGCTTACGTTTTATTTTTACTTGATTTCTTGAAGATGGAGAGACAGTTTGAACAAGCTCTTAAAGAAAAGAAAGGTTTTGTTATCAAGAAAATGGCACAAGATGGTGCTTGTTTATTTCGAGCGGTTGGTACGTAAAACACTTTCTACTTATTAATCATCTCGCGGAATAAGCGAAAGCTAAATCATATTTTTTTTTTCACATTTTGTCTTTCTTTTATTCTCCTTTCCGTGGAATCGTTTCTGTCCGTGCCTGTAACATCTGGTCGAAGAGAAACGATTTACCTCTCGATATGCGTTCTTCATTTCGACTGGCTTTCAAGTTGCATTATCAGCTTTTAATGTTGTACATCTGACCGGCTTATTGTGCATTTACATTTTTTGGACGAACATGATTTGGGAACTTCTATTAAGACCAGAAAATGGTTTTAAGCTCACTCTGATCCCCGGAATTAGCAGCATCACATGTGCACGTGTACCTTGCCCTCGTGGCGTTGTATCTGTTATACCTGTCTTATAATTTTCATCCCGGTTTTAACGTGAAGTTTCTTTGCCAATATGCAAATTAATTTTTGCAGGTCTCGATTGCAACCCATTTGATAAAATTTTGAGAATTTAATTTCTACACTAGCACTTGAGTTTTCATTAGCTTCTTTCACTGACATTTGGTTGTAGGAAAAAATTCTGATTTGCAATTTTTTTTCCTATAATTTGTGGTCTCAATATGGCTTGTTACAAAAGAGCAAATATATATTTTAAGGCCATAGTTTCACCTGGGGAAAATTCCAGAGAAGATCAACTTATGAGATATCAGTGGGGAACTGAAGACTTAGGATTCTCATGAATGACATCTTTAAAATTGATTGTCTGAAAAATTGTCTTTGCAAATTGCAACGTCTTTTCTTTCATTATCGCCAATTTGAGACTTAAAATTTTTTATGATTTTGAGGTACTTTACTCATTTACTCTTTTTGATAATTTTTTTATTTTTGCTTTCTGGTTTGCAACTTTTGTTAATTTCTCATGTCTGATTGTTTTACAACAATGCAACCACTATTACTTGGATGGAAAAGTCCTTAAATGTTGTTTAACATTGGGTAACATATGAAAGAACCACCTTAGACTTCACAATGTTATGTGATCTTGATTTGCATGAGAACTAGATATGGCTGCTATCAACCAACACTTAGTTTGAACATTGAAAAAACTCTTTAAAGGTTAAATATCTCCCTTTGTTTAGGGATTGGGTAAAATCCTTTTGTCGGCTAATTGCAAATGAAAGTTATTTCAAAAGTTTAAAAAGAAAATTAATTTATATTTCATTGGCTCCTGTACAGCCTGATATTAAAATCTTATGATGTGGTACAGTTGGTACATAATTTTCCAGTGAGAAATTAATTGTGATTCACTGAATTCCTCGTGAAATACTCAGACTTAAATGAATGCATGAAATAATTAACAATTGCTCACTAAGTTGGAGATGAAAGTGGTGGATATTTACAGTGACATGAAGTGGTGGGATAAAGATCTTCCTCTTTAGCCCTTTAACTCCCACACAAAATTTGTAATTCTCCTTAATGTCAACCATACAATTTTTATAATTTTAGTTCAGAGAATTTAGTATTGAATCGACTATTTATCCCCACATTGACATTTTTCTCGATTCTCGATTCTCATCACTTGTATGGTTGTTATCGTATTGATATTGTGAGGAGAAATTCTCTCTTGGTCACTCATGGGAGTTAAAGGGTTAACTGACACTGAGGTGAACAATTGTTGTAATATATACTACACAAAAAACACTTAATTCTATCAATGTACTGAATAATGTTTGAAATTATCTCTTTGGCTCCTTAGAGGTTATTAGTGGTTGCCAATCACTTTGGAACTAGCCAGTGAACGTGTGCAAAGAGCACTAGTCATCTGTATGGTTTATTCTAATCTTGTAAAAAATTTTTTACCTCTCTACAGCCGAACATGTATATGGTGATCAAGAAATGCACTCAGTGGTCAGAAGGCACTGTATGGACTACATGGTAATTAAAGTTTTTGGATTTAAATTTTGAAAAAGCTTTTCTGATATGTAGTTTGGGTGCATCATAATTTTATCCTTGGGAAAAGTTTTCAGTAAAAGTTAGTTACCAGCAGTCTATTGTCACTTGTAAGACCCCTCACCACCATCTGTTTAGCTTGCAAGTACCCAATACTCCATCGGCAGGCACCTATGGAAAATGTTATTCAAACCCCTCAGCCTTTTCTATTTGAACATACCAGAATATGTTAAGGGTTACCCTTAAAACTGAAGATTGCCAGTTCTCTGATGGTATAGTTTGCTGTTAAGTGAACCTGGATAAACCCTGCATGGGTGAGTCAGGTAAGAGGTGGCAGCAGGCAGTAACTTTACACTCGCACACGGATTCTTAAGTTTATTGTCATACCCTAAACAAAACAGTTTAAGTAGTAAGCAACCATAGAAGTTTGGCTTTTTTTCAGGTTGTTTCAGATTAATGCTAATCTTTTAACCCTTCAATTTGAACAAGTGATCACGACAAAATTTCTCCTTAAAATATCAGTACAATACTATGCAGACAAGTGATGAGAATAAAGAAAAATATAAGTTATGGGATTATTCATTGATCCAACACCATAATTATCCCCACTACAAGAATATTATAGCAGACAGTAAGGAGAGTTACTATTGAGATCTTGGGAGTGAAAAGGCTTCCTTCAAAACTGAAAGTTGGCAATTCTCTGTGATGATTGTTTGCTATTAACCCTTTAAACCCTGGGAGTGACTAGCATCAAATTTCTCCCTACAATATCATCCCTGAGTCTCGCATTAATGTTATGAGAATAAAGGAAATGATCACCAATGAAAGAAGCTTTTGATTTAAAGAGCAGTACAGAGAATATGCATACTGATTTTAGGGTGTAAAGGGTTAAGTGAATCTGGATGAACTTTATAGTGGAGCTCGCAGAGCATAGCCCCAAAATTATACAAACTAGTAGTAACCCATCAAGCCGAAAAAATTTAGATGTACAACCATACGACCGTACAAGGTGCTACTTTTAACTTACGTGGTCAACTGTACCGCAGGCACGCCAACGCCACAGCTTTGTTCAGTAGTCCAGTGGTCAGTGCACTGGGCTTTGAGTTGGACAACCCAGGTTCTAGTCCTGGCCAGGGCAAGGTGTTGTGCTCTTGAGACATGCGGGAAAAAAAAATGCGAGCTCCTCTTGGGAGGGAAAGGAAGGAATGGATTTGAATCCTGTTGAAGCTTGAACTTTTTCAGGCTTCTTTTCTATTCTCTGCAGGGATCAGTTCTTTAGTTATACCTTTTCCCTCAGGTCATGGGGACCATAACCTTTGTATTTTAGTGTGGTGTAGAACTGAAACACCTGCTTCGTTTGACATTTCTTTTTTTTGTCTGATTCTAGTTCAAGAATGAAGACTACTTCTCTCAGTATGTCACTGAAGACTTTAAAAGCTACATCAAACGTAAACGTGAAAATCATTGCCATGGAAACCACATTGAGATGCAGGCTATGTGTGAGATGTATAACAGGACAATTGAAGTTTATCAGTATAGCACAGGTTTGTCATACCAGTCTATCAATTTAAAGCTTAAATTTATAATTTACCTTTGATGTATTGTATTAATTAGTAAGAAATAACTACCCAGACTAGTTGAGACCACCTGCAGGTTCATGCTTTGACTAAACTCATTTTTAAAGAATTATACAAATTGAAGCTTGAGTTAAATGAAATTTTAGCCAAAGAAGAGGTTTTGGCTCATAGGTGAGAGTTTTTGGAATGAAGACTACTTCTCTCAGTATGTCACTGAAGACTTTAAAAGCTACATCAAACATAAACATGAAAATCATTGCCATGGAAACCACATTGAGATGCAGGCTATGTGTGAGATGTATAACAGGACAATTGAAGTTTATCAGTATAGCACAGGTTTGTCATACGAGTCTCAGCTTAAAGCCAGAAAATTATGGTTTATATGAAGGAAGTGCAAAATGTGAATCAAGTTTGAATTTCTATTTTTCTTCTGCAGAACCCATAAATATTTTCCACAGTTCTTACAAGACTGATTATGAACCAATCCGCCTCAGTTACCACAATGGTGTGCACTATAATGCAGTTCTTAATCCTAACAAGCCATCTGTTGGTGTAGGACTCGGACTTTCTGGTTACAAACCATGGGTAAGTGAGCATTGCGCCATAAGTATATTTCTCAGTTGTCATTTGATATTTCCTTACACATGTAAGAGTGTTACCTTGCTGATCATGTGCTAAACAGAAAATAGTAGTCATTACCTGATTCAGTGAGTAATTTGAATGCAATCCAGAGTAATAGTTAATGGTAGAGTGCGCTTGTCAGACTGAAGAAGTTTGAAAGGAGTGTCAACTCTTTACACCCTAACATCAGTATGCATATTCTCTATACTGTTCTTCTAACATTTCCTAAGGTGCTGAGAAGGAGAATTTGTTTAAAAATCAAGAGCTTCTTAAATTAATGATCATTTCCTATATTCTCATAACCTTGAGGTTTGACTCAGGGGTTAAAGTAGATGCTATCACTCTCAGTGGTTAAAGAGTTCATGTTGTCAGGGGTGGTATCTGTTATTTCATCAACTTAAAGTCACTGTCGGATTCAAGTGACGGTGATAATAACTTCACATTGACAAACCATTTGTCTTGCATAGAACAGTCCTTCTGGAATACCCTTACTTGAATGATCACACTGTATGATCTTCATGTTGGAATTATTAATGCATATATTACCCTTATTTCCTCAGGGCACCCTGGTAAATGATGCATTCAAGCAGTCAGAAGACTGGCAAATTGAACAGGTACTTTAGCTTGTTAAAATTTCACTTTATATATTGCACTAACCAAGTCAGTTTCAAAAGATGATTGTTATTGTAAAGTTGGGGTAGGTTTCAGGGAAGAATAGAAGATATGGTATGTTCAGATCTCTCAACAGATTTATTGTTGTGCAATTTTTTCTGGCCGAATGAAAGATGAAAAATACTAAATGTTCAATTTGAATTTAATAGACTGACTTGTCTGTTTTTTTTTATGTTGTATTTGAATTTTAGCAAATGTTAGCAGATAAACTGCGTTGTACTGACTGGGAAGCAACAAATGAGGCCATGGAAGAAGCAGTAGCCAGGGAATCATTCTTAGAATTCCTCAGAGAAAGAGAAAAACGATCAAGGGGAACTAGAACATTGGTAACATATTCCTGATTTCTTTTTTGTTTTCCTATCCAGTGGAGGGTCTAGATATTTTTAAATTACATCCCATGTTCAGTTAACCCCCCAGGCCACCTGTGGTTAATGCAAAAAAAGTAGTTATGGTTCTCAAATGTAGCTCATTAAATATTCATTTAAAAAGTGGGACCAGAGAAACAATTCCAGATAATCTAAAAATCTTGATAATTGATGTCTGGATAATCAAGGTTTGACTGTATTAAGTAATATCACGGAACATTATTTTACCCAAAGTTCAATTGAGTCAGAATGAACAAAAATAGTTGGTATGAATCTCTGCACAATTTAAACACATGTCTCTTTCATATCATTACTTTTATTTGTCTTGAGTTCCCTTTTCATTTTACACATTCTCCTCTTCTCTAAAAATTTTCATTTTACCTCAGAAAAGAACAGATTTACAAATCAACTTTGTGCCACTGATTGTTTAAAGTATCCTCAATACTCTTTTCTTTTTTCAGCCGTGTTCTAGTCCTACTGCAACCAGCAGTACATCAACATGCACCGAGTCTAAGCGTCCAACATCCCCTCATCATAGAGAACGTGAACGTGAGGCTGCAGAAAGTGCCCCTCCCAGCAAATCTCCACGTCATTCTCCCAGTTCACCCAGGCATGAGACTTTGGCAAGTGCATCTTCATCAGAAACAAAATCTAGCCCTCCAGCAAGTAATGCAACGATGACATGTACTGTTAGCAGTGTGAAACCAACTTACTACGATTCCAAGCCGGGATGTTCGACAGAGTCGTCTAATCCACCCTCACCCCCTGGGGCTACTGGTGGGTCAGATGGTCCAAATTACCTAGACTTCTTACCTCCCAACGGATATGGTAAGAATTATCGCTGAGATGTCTTTCAGAGTGCAGGTCAGAGTTGTTTGATTCCACATGGTCTAAACATTGTAAGAAATATGTGGAATGATGCAGCTATGATCTTGTTTGTGATTAAATCTTTTGAAAATAAGAGTGGTTTCACATGATGTCACAGCAGCAATATTGGTATTACAAAGTAGGCTTGTGGGAGTTCAATTCTTTTTTTATGAAAATTCTTTCTTCTGCTTCTATGGGAAAACAAGATAGTTTGTAAGATGAGTGAAAAGGCTCGACTATAGCCTTATGGGCAGATAGGTTTCCAACAGGTTTCCAAAGATAGGTGAAGCCCTTTTCCTTGGACTACAGTAGATTGCTTGCAGTCAAGTCTGCAAATATCTCTGGTGAAGAAACTGATAGGTTTATACATGGAGCTAGGTCTATCCTCTCCCCTCCTATCTCTCTCTCTCTCAAAAAAAAAAAAAAAAAAGAAAAAAGAAAGAAAGAAATAAAGCCTGAGAGAGAACAAACATAGTGGATCCTCAATGTGTTTGTGTATAGTCTAGGGAAATTTTGTGAGAACTGGCTTGGTGATTGCCAATCATTACTTCTCATTGTTCTTTAATACAGAACTATGGGGAATTCATCAGTCAAATAAGAGCTGTAGGGAAAATTTTCCTGGTAACCATATGGTGCATATTGATTAAAATTCTGTTTGTTTTGAGGTGGTAATCTTTCCATTGCACCTCTTGGTTTTGCAGGTTTTTCCAAATGGGAAGACGAAAGTATTCTGGCAGCTGTCTTAGCAGAGTCTCAAAGAGAATACTTCGACAAACTTAGAAAGGGTGCTGCAGGGAAAGACAAGAGTAGTGATGATGATTGCAAATCGTAGCAGTTTTACAAAGATGATTCTCATAGAAGACTATGTGAAAAACTGTTTAGATGTGTTATGCAATAATTGTTATTTTAGTGCAGATATAGTTATTGTTTGTAAATTGGGTTATGGTTTGAAAATTGGGTAACTAGGATTTTCAGTGTGGTAAATATTTTCAATTCAAGTGTGACACTTGATTTACAATGCAAAATGAACTGTTAAATGAATTTGGTTTGTTTGGAAGGAACTTGAGAAGATCCTTGAAAAGTCCTCTCCATTTAAATTACCCTTTCTAGGAAAAAACATAATGATTTATGTAGTTCATGTATAGTGATTACTTTTCTCATCTTTCAGTGATGATTATTATAGACTCATTCGATTGAAATTTTGTCTAATTCCTTGTCCAGCCCTTGATCCCTAAAAGGGGCTAGCATCTAACTTCTCCACACCATATCGCCCCTGAATCACATATGAAGGTCATGAGAATAAAGGAACTGATCACCAAGTATAGGAGCTCTTCATCGCTAAACGATTTCTCCTCATCAGCACCTTAAGAGGTGTATGGAGAACAGTGTGGAGAATATGGATACTGATGTTAGGGTTGAAAAGGTTAAGGACAGAATTGGTAATATTTCATTTTATCATCTATTGTAGACATTGTTTTATTTTCTGTTTTTCTTTTTTTTTTTCCAGTATAGTCAGGCATAGGATTTTAACTCTACTTGAAATTCAAAAGTGACAGATTTGCTTAGGTACACAATGGCTTATGTAACGGAGATTTCAGCATTTTTTTAAAGTGTTGTGAAATGGTTGCTCTTTTGTTTCGGTTTAACTGTTGTTATCATCAAGGTAACAACTCTTTGTTAGTTGGTGACGGTCTTAAACCCTGTTACGGTCAAGATGTGATGCGTAATTCTCCCTTTCAGTCGCCGTAAATTTTTCTTACAACTGAGAAGGGAGAATTTGGTGTCACACCGAGATGACACCCTTCAGTTGATACATGTGAGTTTATCTTTTCTCATCAACTGTGTTACAGATACGGTATGATCATAGAAAGGAAAATTTACATGTTAATCAGGTTCAGTTGTCGGCAGAAGGGAGAACACCGAGATGACCCTTCAGTTTTATGAGTTTATCTTTTCTCATCAACTGTGTTACAGATACGGTATGATCATAGAAAGGAAAATTTCCATGTTAATCAGGTGGGGGAGTAAAGGGTTGACTTGAAGAGTCGGCAGAGAAAAGAGTGAAACACATAAGGTTACAGAGACTGAGCCTATTGATCCAACGGGTAGGAGGAGACGGGAGATGGGTCAGTATCCTTAGTTCGTTGCTATGGTAACCAACCGCTGAAAATGAGCTGTAAGAGCCATGTAAATGCTAATGCAAGAGGAACAGCGCTAACGAGATTGTGAAATGTCATCTTGTGGGACGGTGGACTCAATGCCTTAAATTAAAGGCTCGGACGTGTTTCGGATACTTTTTGTGATTTCTCAACGTAGACATGTCCAATCCACAGAATCTTTTGGTTCCAGGCTTGGTTTGCAACAGCTATCCTTGCCAATAGTAATGGAGATTGTGCGATGGTAAACTCCCCAGAAACTGAACTGGTTCTTTGGATAGTTTATCGTTGAGTTCATATAAGAGTAACTAGTACAGAGAGTGAAAACTGTTTTATATTTCAAAGAGCATGATACTATCTTAGCACCTTGAGGTTTTTACAGTAATTCTGGGTTAAAGTGAAATCTACTGCTGTTATCTGTGTCTTCAGTCTGACATTTCATCTGTGATTCGGGATCTGTTAATAGTTCAGCTTGTTTGAGGTGTATATACAGTGTAAATGTATCAAAACTAACACTCTTCGAAAATGCAATAACATACACGTTTAAAATAAAGACTTAAGAATTTGAAATCATTGTTTTGGTTTATTACATCGTGAGGTACAAGATAAACTTTCTGAGTTTTATTCATAACCGTCGTAGATTTTGTTCGTCTTATGTCAAGAGTTATTAACCACGAACACATGGTGTGGTTTGCCAATGGTTGATACCGTGGGGGTTAAGAGTAGATTTGAAAGATAGATTTTTTCTGGAGTTTTGCAGCTTTCTGAACTGCCTATTTGCAGGGAAAGGGCGCAGACTACCATATGTTGCTTAGAATGATTTGGAAAATTATATTGTCTCCGCTCGGACGGTTTCGCACGATTTCGGACGGTCAGTTTCGCTAAGCGTAGTTCATTCTGGATACCAGCGGTGCCGTCTGATTGCGGATGGTTCGTCTAATTTCCGATGGTTTCGTCCGATAAAGTGCAAACTAGAGCTAATCAAGGTACGAGGAAAAGAAAATTACGATTTACTCATTCCCGCACAAAGGTAAGCCCGAGCGAAAGACGTGTCTGTGTTAGCTTATCAAATCTCTAGGAAATAACTATTCCTGTAAGAAATTCCTCAAAGACAGAATTTTAACTCTTCCTTTGGTTGGCTCTCGGTAGTAGATTTCGACAAAGAATGCGCAATTTCTGCGTTTGAAAAATAATCCTTTCTCAGAGAATTAGGAAATTAATTTCATATCAAAGGCTTCTCGTTCAACCTAAACTACGTTTGTGACTCAAGATTAAGGATCACCACTGAAAAATACGGACGAAATCCTGGTGTGTTAATAATATCTATATGAACATCAAGCAAAGCAAAATTTTAGCTGTCAAACTGTATCTGAAAGGTACAAGGTAAAGGTCTGGGTACGAGACTAATATCACGTTACGCGCGCTTTTCCTTACACTCAATGTTTTCTTCGGGTGTTTTCTCCTGTTTTTCTTATTTCCTCCAACAGCAAAGTAAGGAGAAAATAGAGAAGTTCGCCACGTTTCTGTCTTTTCTCATGGCCCCCCCCCCCCCCCCCCCCCGTGCGCTTCCTTTTGATTTATAGGTCGCGCCGAGCCCTCGACAAATCTGCAGTGTTAGTGTCCAAGGACCTTAGACGCCTTAGGCTAAAAGAAAAGACAATAAGGTAGCTGTTAAAAAGATTCCAGAGTGTTTTTTTTTTTTTAGATACATCTCGTTTCAGACGAACCGAATTAAAAAAGAAAATGTCAGTTTTTTTCAAACTGTCGGTCATTTTCCTTAAGAAACAGTTTTTACGATCAAAAGCATGAATTATCATTCTCAGGCCCCGTCTACATAAACGCGTATCCGAAATGCTCCGTTTTCGTCTTATCAAAAGCGCATCGCTTTCATTACGTGCACACTTGCGCTAGTGTTTCATAGCGTTTTTGACTGTCCATTGTAAAACAATCGAAAAAGCATGCATGCCATGATGTGACATTCTCGTCAATGTGCGCACGTCTGAAGGAACGGAGCCCGCGGTGTTTGTGCCATTTCGCGCGGGCGCTAAATTGTGAACAAACACAACCCTCTCAGCCTTGTTCCTCGGCCTTTGATATGGCTTACTGTCCGTGTCTTACGCTGCGAACCATTAGAGAGAACAAATGTTCTTAGAATGGATATTTTTGTTCAAATAGTTATCAACAAAAGTTTAAATAGCGCAATATTAAGCTCCAAACAAGCGATTAAATAAGTCAACAGCATTAAAAACATATCCATATGTTCGTCCGCCAAATCTGTTTTGATTTTATGACAGGAGGCTCTTTCAAAGAGGGTCTCAATTTTTTTTTTACCGATTTTGACGGCAGACGGTCAAATGTAGGAGTCTTTGACGGCTGACGATTAAGTTGTAGGGCTGACGGTAATCAGGAAGATATTTCTTCGATGAGTTTAAGTTAAGATTAAGTTTTTCATCATTTGATATAAATTATTAACCATTTTGAGGCCTATTCGGTCTTCCTTTAACTGAGGCGTACTTCTAAGACCTTAACAATGATTCATGATTAGTTTCAAAGCCTGATTTTAAACTATACTTTTTTTCCTTTTGTTACACGCGCAAAGACACATTAGGGAAGGTACGTTTTTTATTGGGGGGGGGGTGGGTCGGGGTATTTTAGAATTTTTTTGCGAAAAAAAACGTGGCCCTCCCACTTCCCAGAATGGATTAATGCATGACCCTTCACAAATACCTACACGAAAACATCTGACCGCCCCCCCACTTCCTCCATGACAAAAATAACCGGAAGTGTTACTCACATAACCGCGTCTTCATAGACTTTCTGAAGAGGAAGTTCAGTCTCTTTCAACGTCAGAGCTAGACGTACACAGCTGTAAAGTCATGGGAAAAAATGCGTGAGCTGTTGCTGAGGAAGTGTGTCTTCGAATTGACGACTCCCCAGTGCCACAGGGGTATATTTTAGCAATTTTGGTCGACTGACCAGAAAATCAATTTTTCTACAACCGCGAGTATCTTGGATTCACCAACAATCAAAAGAGTTCTGTTCCTGGGCATGGGTATTTTTTTCAAGCCAGAACAATTTGAGAGCCTCCCTTGTGGGAAAGGAGAGCCATATATGGAGTATAAGCGAATGTCGTGTCAAGAGCGAAATGGCCAACTATGTAAATTTTGCGAGAAGGATGAGACTACCAGCGCTCCACTTCCAACTCGACGACCATATCCCGACGATGGCAAGCTGCCAAACTTCCATTATCTCTCCTGGAGTGCAACCCCCACCAATGGCCGTGAGCCGGAAGACTTTCAGCCTCGAGCTCAGATTAAGCAATTGTTTGAGGAAAGTGAACTAGTCAGTGGGGACAGTGAGGCTATTAGGAAGTTTTTCAGATAAATAAATTGCCCCCGAAAAGCTTGTGGCAGAGTATGTTGAGCACCTTTCCCAGATAAAAATGCGCAAGGGGAAGAAGAAAGAGGAGACTGAAAGGGATCGAATGGAACGGCTGAACCGGGTGCACGACGACATTGACTGGGTTGGACTGTACAACTCCGATAAGCTGTCGTCCTTGAGGGTGGACGAGCTATCCTTGTACTTTTCCCATCACAAGATCACCTTCAAAGGGAAGAAAGCTGAGAAGGTCGCAATGATCAAAGCGCACATTGGCAGCTTGCTGTACGATTCAATGGAGTGTCAACAACCTCGGCAGCCCCTGCTAAGAAATATGCAGCGACAAGTGACCTCGTCACTTTCCGAGGTTGAAACTGACTCGCAAAGTGATGCAGCAGATCAAGCTGTCGGTTCAAGCCCGAGTAGCTTAGGTGACGAATCGTCACCGGAGACTGATTTTATACCAGAACCCCACGCGGAACATTACCGCCGTCAAAATATGGACGAAGGCGGGCACGGGTCGAGAGAGACGATTATGTTAGTTAGGAGAAGATAGCTTTTTGATATAATATTTCGACACCTGTTAATAATTTAAATTAATCTTGACTGGTAGCCTTGCTTGTATATACAAGTTTTAGGTTTCTACACACTTCGCGTGTTTGTTAATAAATAAGAGTCAACTAAGCGACATGGAGTGATTTTTTCCTTGCCAAAAAAAAACTGTGACCCTCCCCCGGTTGCGAATAAAACAGGTTTGACCCTCCCCAATTTGTGAAAAATTTACTAATCACCCTCCTCTCCGCTGGTATGTAATTTTTGTATATTTGGGCCCCAAAAAGGTTATTTTTGGACAAAAAATCTCTTCCGGCCATAGAATTAATAGATTAATCGTCTCCTTCACATCTGTCACATAAAAGAACCTTTCCACACACTGTTAGAGGTTTGGGCTGTGCAGGGGTACTACACCTGCTTTGTCCTTCATGATCTCTGCCTTGATAGTCCTCTGACGCAGTGGTATGTAGTTCCTTATCCATTCTTACGCGAAAACTTCCCCTTCCAGTTCGGAAATTTTCTCAGAAGGCAGAGGTTCCTTAAAAGGGACAGACTGGAAATGCACAATAGACTGGGCACTAGGTATTGGGAGCCAGGGCGAATATACTGCACTTGGCCGCCCACTTTATGACGCTAAAGGTTTCATGTTTAAAATATGAAAGGGCGTGGAAGTTTACTGATTTTACAAGTCGGTATAGCTTAAGCGCATATCAACCGAACACAAATTTTGTGGACTAGTCATTTATTCCTAGGAAATCAGTGATGGGTTGCCGAAGACTTCCGAAATTTTATGACAGCGTAATTCTTTCTTCCTCATTTCTTAGGATTTTTCTCGAGGGGTAAGGGAGGGGGGGGGATGGGTGAAATCAGTTGTGCGCGAATTTAGAATATTTTACTTTTGAAAATCATTGAGTTCTTGCAATTTACTTTTATCATAAGCTACTGTTCAAACATATTCCAGAGGACAAACGTAAATAGAAACGATTTTGACTAATGTTTCATGACCAAATAGATAATTTTCATGCAAATAAAAACAGAAAATGTTTTGAGAGAGGCACGGCTGCCCTAGTAATAATCAGTTTTGATTAAATTTTATATTTTTTATCATCGGGTGATTCTAAAATTAATGTTATCTTTGGGATCGTGATCAGCGAAGTTGTGTAAAAAATTTACGCTGGAATTTCCCTCTTACATTGGAATTAAAACAGGAAGTGACACGTGGAAACGTAATCAAATATTCGCTGAGATGATCTTTGAACGAGGAGTCAATCGAGGAGCATGATAGTTACCATGGCGATGTCGTCCTTGAAGCGCTGCGGAGGGCTGGATTCAAGGAACCATTCAAGTGTTCCTCATTTGAATTTGAAAAGCATACACTCCTGGCAAGAAGACTTCTTTACGACCGTAATTCGAGAGAAGATTCGCCTTGTACCTGGCGTCAATCGAGTTTTTTAAAGTGATAAAGATTCACTTTCTTGAAGGATGAAGAGCAGATACATGTTGCTGCTTGTTAGCTTGGCTATTCTGCCTTTGTACTTACACGGCGAAAAATGCACACAGGTAAACTTTCTTGGTGGAATTCGGCGCCCTGTTTTAATTATGCTAGATCATTGTTCTTTAGCTCAGCTCTTTCAGGTTTTCTGCCGAACACCTAACAGTGCGGGCGATGATTATCGAATTAATTCTTTTTTCGGTTTATATTTTTTATGTAATTCGTTTTGTTTGTAGGATCAAATCACTTACGATTTTACCGAATGCGATTCGGCCGAAGGAAGATGGCGAGTTGCTGTTCCTAAAAAAGATGGAGGTTGCACTGTGGAAGGCGAAGTACCCGTGCGGCAAAAGGGGTGTTGTAAGTAGAATTTAACTCTAGTACGATGCTTAATAATGGAAAACGAAAGTGTTGTATTAATTCTCTATTTTTATGGCATGAAAATTCACTAGAAACCTGCCGGGTTATCTTGACGCTACTTGGCATTAATGCACTTACGAACAATAAGTATTCCAAACGTGAACAAAGCTTTTCTGAACTGGGTTGAAAAATATTGCGACATATAGCCTTCTTTCAGCCTTTCCGACAATCTATGTGTACAAGGACGAAAAGGACGTGGATTATCTTACAGATCGGGATGTGTTTAACCCTGGAAAAGCGGAAAATTTTTCTAAGCTCACTTTCTGATGATTAGGGCGATTTATTTCATATCACGCGTCTCCACAGTTCATCGTCCTTTCTTTTGTTGTGTGAATAATTTTCTTCCTTCGCAAGCAAGTCCTTTACACTGGAAACAGATACTAAATGTTTAACTATGAGAAGGGAAAGATTGCACTCCTGTTATCTGTGGATTTTGAGGATAACCTTGACAAAAGCCCTTACTGTGCGAGAAAATTCACGCGATACAGAATTATTTTTACATGAATTATATCACGTATGTCGTAAAACCTAAATGCTGCCCTCTAAACGTTCGGAACTCCACATTAAGGCGTAGTAAATTTGTAAAATAAAAACTGCTGCCTGCCGGTCAGATATGGGCTGGAAAAGATTTGAAACTGCATCGTTAATTCCTTGTTTATTTAAGGGATCGTTTCTTCAAGGCTATAAATTTTAATTGGAATTAGAATAGCATGGTCAGTAAACTGCATTTTAATAAGTTGATGTTAAATCAATGTGATCAAAATGTATTCTAGAAGTTGGAATTTGGGAAGATTTTGAGAATGTATCGGCTTTGATACATCCCAACTAGAAATCAGATACTCGACAGGAAATCCTACTTATAAAATATTGTCTTTCGTTGTTACGCGAGCACTTGCGGTGAAGCTAAACAGTATATGACAAAATAAAGAACGCTTCCGCCGAAGGCAACAGTCCACTTACTTGATGCAAATTTTGCAGTGAATCAACTCTTCTGAGGCTCCAATTTATGACATAAGTATCCCTGTTTCCCAAACTACCAACCAGACCTTGTCTCAAAAAAACTGTTGTCATCACATAATGTCGATTTAAAAGTGGAGTATTTTCTTCTGTCATTGAAAGCCTATGTTTACATAAATACTCAATGATAATTTTACTGCCTTGAAGTCTGGAGAAGGGGCTTTACGGAGTAACAGGAAGGAGAGGAGGCAATGATTTTGTCACCTTTTTCTTTATTACTGTTGTGCCCAAAACTTGCATATATCCATTATGTTTGATCCATGTAGTCACTGATAAACAATTTCCAATGTGCAGTCACCTTAAAAGAGACTTGGTAGGATGGATTTTATCTTTTAATTACCTCCAGGAAATGGAGTGATTAGATTACAAAAGAACTAGGTTTGCAAAATCTTGTTTAATTTGAAAGCAAGTGTACATTACCTGAAAAATGCAGAAGGCATTATGAATCTGCTTTGCGCATTGTCAGCTGTCTTGGTTTTGTCTTGATTAAATGAGGGAGCATAAGAAGCCCCATGCCAAGACACTTTTTAAGTTTGCTGGCCGGCAGGTCATGTGCCACTTTCATGGTGTGAGGACTCTAAATTTTATACCTGGGATGTGGATAGCAAAGTTGCTCATGAGTTTACCACCCTAAGTAGTTAGCAGGATTTTCCTAATCAAATTTTACAAGGCTTAATTTTATATATTTTGGTTCAATTATATCCTTGGATCAAATTTTATTTGAACCAAGGATAAAAATTTTAATTTCAAATTTTATCTGAACCTTTGTTTCAAACTCATTATCATACATTACAATACCCAAAAACAAAAGAAAATAAAATTTGAACCAAGGATAAAATTGAACCACAACATATATGTGCAATAAGTGAAGAGTTGAGAGGCCTCTGATAGTCAGCTATTTAAATAAGACAAAAAAGTAAAACTGAACTAAATTGTGACCTTTTCTTTCTTTCTTTTATGCTTGGAAAGACTGATTAATACTAGAAAGACAATCATTTTTTAAATAAAGAGGAATAGATTCTCATGCCCTTAGGGCACTCACTTGTTTATGGGCAGCTGCAGTTGTTTTTAGTGGCCAGCTATTAAAAATCTCTGGAGAACATTGTGTTCAACTGAGAAAAGTCTTGGACTAGATGTCTTACTGTCAAAGCTATTTTCTCTTTCCTTAGCTTTCACATGTGATCCAGGACATTATGTTGATGTGACAAGTAAGACCTTGGAGTGTAAAGCTTGTGCTAAAGGAACATACAGTGTTGGAGGAGGGGTGCGCTTCAGTGACTGGGATAAACTTCCAACTGGATTTGAGAGTCGCACAGTAGATGAGCATTATCAAGAATATGGATATGACAATGAATACTTCAAAGAAGCAAGTGGAGCTAACTGCTCAAAGTAGGGAGATAAATTAATTTTTGTTTGTCTGTCTCCCAGCAAGTTGTTATATAGGGAAATTTGCATTGAGTAGTACATATCAAGGTCATCTAGGATTGCCTTAGTTTTGCTTTGCTTTACTCTGAGGTTCAAAGGATATGTCACCCTTTCAGCTTCTCATTCCTCTCTGATGACTTTAATGTTGGCTTCCAACAAAGCCTTGGACATTTGAACTTTTGAAAGTTTGTTAGTTCAAATTCTTGCCCTCCTTGGCAAAAAACTGTGTTCACATGCCCTGCCAAATTTCTTTTGTGAAAGGTAAAATCAATGACCCAGACTTTTTACACATAAACCATGTGTTAAAACTTAGACCCGGTAGACCTTTTCTTCTGCACTGTTCGCTTGTAAAAGTGAATTTTGTACCTTAAACTTCTCCATATTTAAAAATGTAATTCTTGTATTCTGCTGAAAAGACTGGACACTTCAAGATCAAATTCCTCACCCCAGCTAGGTAAGGTTCAAATTCATCATGCCCCAATCATGGATGACAGCGAATTGCCAGTGGGTTGTAATGCCCCTCACAGAGGCAGCACCACAGTTTCTTTAGAAACTTACTCCTCTTAGGACTACCCTCACCTAGACAATTAGACACCATGATCAAAAAATACCCAGGTTCAAGCCATTTACTATAGGCCAATTCTTGTTCTTAAAAAACTTTCTTGAGTCATTTGTGAATCTTGGTTTGTTCTTTATTTTAGGACTGGATGGTTACCATCAGGCGACAGTATCATGTCACCAGAAGATGAATGCACCTCAGAACTGTCATATGCCGTCACTGTGAGTTTCAAACAATCTTTTTGTTCTTTTAATTAAATTAACACCCATCTGGGTTCTTTGTGCTAGAATAATTTGGGGTATAATATTCTCTGCTTTTAACTAAAGGTTTCTTTCAGAATATTTATCTACAGAACTACTGTTAGTAATGCATCTGAAAAATAATCTTTATTTTTTTGTGGATACAGCTAGAAAGAGATGGTCATGTGCAATTTGATTATTACTACACTGACGACATCTACACTGTTTTCCGCGTATTTGTAAGTATTTTTTTATAGTACCCTTTGTGATTTTGAAATTGAAGAATGGCTAATAATCTGTGTCAGTATTATTAATAACTGTAATAGGTATATTCATGCATTGTTGACTAAGTGTGGGGTCAAGATGGCTGGATAGTGGCATTCTTATTTTTCACATTTTAATGGCCCGCTTCAAGAATTTTTTTTTCTTGTATGGTATCAAAGTGGGCAATCCTGAGCAGGCAAGATGGGCTGCTTTGTAGTAATGTTTTTTTTGTATACCTATATTATTTAACCAACAAAGGGAGTCAAGGAATCTTAAATGCACTTGATGTATTGAATATGTGATTATTTATTTATTTGTCTGTCGTTTAGTAACAGGTGTGTATTTCATTATTTTATATTGTTAGGTGAATAAAATAATAGAATATAATAACAGAAATTTTTAATGGTTCAGACATTCTCCTCCATCTTCTCTTTACTGGTGAGCAGGGGACATTCAAGAACCCACACATATGTAGAAGGCAAGGTAGCCCCCAGTAGTGTTGTGGTCAGGCTTTGTTATAATTCATATGGGCCCTCATTTAAACCAGCTTTAAAGCTGAACTTGGCCAGCCTGTGTGAATATTGCAAATGAATTTTTGAATAAATAAGCATCAATTTAATTTTTATTTTTCAGGTAAGAAATGATCAGTGCAAAGTTTCTAGTCTGGATAAAGAGGATAAGTTCCCTCCACGTACTACAAACAGTGAATGGGGAACAACCAAGGTAACATTTTAGGAAAGATGTGCAAAGGTTAGGAGTTTAGGCCCTTTTAGAGAACTCAAAAGTTTTGTTTTTTCCATGCTCCTGACTGAGCTCAAAATTTACCATCTTTTCTTAATTAACTTACAGAATGTAACATTTGGTTTATTTATCATTATAAAACATTATTTATCTCCCAAATCATTCTAAACAGTATACAGTGTATGGCAGTCTGCAGCCTTTGCCTAAATTTAGGCAGTTTGAAAACCACAAAACTCCACGACAACCATTTATCTTTCAAATAGGCACTCTTACCCTGGCAGAGCCGATTGTTGCTTTTCCTTTAACCAATTTATAATAATTGTGACAACCCACATTTTCTCTATTTGCTCTGATGAGGGGCTAACACTCTAAACATAAGTTTAAGAAACTCTTTATTGTGGCCAATTTACCTATCAACTCAGTTGACTAAACCAAAATATCTTTTAAAAAAATTTTGTTTCATAGTGATGACAAAATATATCTGATTTGGAATCCACATACATGTTAAAGTCCCAATTGTCCAAGACATTGCTAAATCACAGCTTAAGGGTTAAGATACAACAAATTCCTCTTGAAGAAATGTTTCGTGTATCATTTTAATTTACAGATTAATTTGAAAGCTGGTAGGAATGTGATCAATTGGCAAGTTACAGCAATCACCTATGGCTCTCATGACAGACGAGAACCTGTTTACATCAGAAGCATTGAAATTCAAGGTCTGACTTAAGTTTTATTATTTTATTGTACAGTTAATAGTTTTGTTTATACACCCTAACCATTTTACTGTTAAGATCTACATAGCAGGTCCCTGCCAGTTTGTTGTTACTAGTACATATAAATCAATTAGTATCTGTTAGTTGATATTACAGTGTTGATATGAGTAATTGACTTATGATTGAGTTTGATTGAGTGGGATGCAAAAATATTTGTCTCCTGGTCATGATGCAGGAACCTCACTGGACTACATATAGGTCAGGATGTCATCTCCTTGAATGAAATATATTCGTGCCTCCCTTTCTGTTAGTAAGCACATAGTGTTCTTGGCACCTTTTTGCTTAAAAATGCTTTTAAAGTCAAGGGAGGTTTTCTGTTATTCACCTTTGGGTGAAGGAGGGAAGATGACTGACACAGACTAAAAGATAATCTTGAGATTAATTATGTTAACCCTTTACACCCTAACATCAGTATACATATTCTCCGCACTCTTCTTTATACATTTACTAAGGTACTGACAAGGAGAATTTGTTAGCCAATCAAACGGTTTCTTCCCTGCTGACCATTTCCTTAATTCTCATGACCTTAAATGTGTGATTCAAGAGTGATATTGTAGGGAGAAATTAGATGCTTGGCACTCTTAGGGTTTAAAGGGTTAAGACTGTATGCCTTGACTGTATATTGGAAATTATCATTGGACTTTTTACTTATGTTGCCATGTAATCTAAGCCTTGCCATTTTCTTATCTTTCCGAGGTTGTTTCATTTTGTTGTTGTTGTTGTTAGGGGTGTCTTACACATCAGAGTGCACACCATGTGAAGCAGGATATTACAACAGTGAGGAAGCTCAAGGAAGGTAAAAATAATCAACTTGAAATTCTTATTGTAGCTAATATTCTTTAGTTCCCGCATGGTTTTCTCAACATGGATAATTTTAGTTCAGGCCTGAGTTATGAGAAATAAGTTCAGCTTGAGCTGCAGAAACATGTCTGCTACAATTTGTACTGACTGGGTTTTGAACAGCTTAGTCACGAAATTTTGGTTTCAAACTCTACCCTTTTGGATCTTACATACTGATTATTTTTCACAAGTGTACCTATTACAAATTCCTTGACATACCCCACAAACATTTACTAAAAAAAACATTTTCATTTCCACGATTTAATTATCAAAATGAATTCTTTACTGTCTCTTTTACATTCCTAGTGGTTTTAGCTTTGAGATTTTGACTCTAAATCAAACAACATCCCCTAGTTGATATTCTTCTCACTTCTCACTACCTCTCTGTTTGAAAATGTATTTACATGGTTTGGAGAAATTCATTTTTGATCTTGTCATAAGTCAAAAGGGATGTTATTGGCAATTCCTCCAAAAAATAATGAATTTTGATGGTTAAGTTCTGTGTCTTTCAAAGTTAATTCACTTGTAGTAACATTTGTTAATCAAGTGTTTACCAAAATACATACATAATTTCTGGTATTGATTTCTGACCTTTTGAGCTTAATTTTATTGTATTTTCTTGTGTTTTCAGTTGTAAAATGTGTCCTGCAAATACCTTTTCTGCCCCTGGTGCTACAGAGTGCTCAAAATGTAATGAGCTCACTGAATACGCTGGTAAGACTCCCATACATGTATTTGTGATATTTTATTCTCTTTTAATGAAAATAAGCAATAGATGATATGATTCTTAAAGACTTGTTTTCATCATTTGACAGACCTTGTTGAATGCGTAAAAACTTGAAATTTTAATCCATCATTTTGAGTGGTTTGTGTACAGTGAATCAAATACATGTAATTATGAATAAAATAACTTTTTATGAACAATTCCAAAATTAACATAATTTTTAACTTGAAGCAATTTAAGATATTATACAAGTTATGTTTTTGGGAATGGATAAATTTTTCACACCAACTGAATGCAAAATCCTGTGTTATTTTTTTCAAAAGCTCGTGGAGCAAGGAATTGTACATTAAGGAAGCCATGCACAGAGCAAGACTACTACGACATTCGCACAGCATGTGATAGTGAACACAAGGTATGTGTATTGTGATTAATGGCAGCTGAATTCTTTGTATCCATTCTATGAACATCAAATCTTTTCTTGGAAAAGTGATTATTTTTTTATGTTATTGTGGTGTAACCCAAGTTACTGAATGAAACATGGTTTATGCTTCATAAAATATTAGGCTATTATTATCCAACTGCACAAAGTAGAGTACAAATAACATGTGAATAGACAGGGCATGAAATTAATTTTTTTTTTCTGATAGCCACTTGGCTCCTAAATTCTTCAAAGTGGTAGCCAATTCAAAAAAAGTTGGTCACCATTTTCAAAGACAAACAAAACCTTTTTTTATGCTGTCAATGTTTAAGATAGACACTCCAAAATTAATTTAGGGAAAAGATCTCTAACGTTCTACAAAGTGGACACTAGGATGGATGATATACAACCTTCAAGCTCACCTAAATCCAAGATGGCGTCTAGTTATCGATTGAGATACTTGATCTGAGTTTTGGAAACAAACTTAACGAGGAAGTTTGCCGCTGATTTATCTTTACAAATCTTTTTGATTCACTATATCTCTCAGTGAGGTTGTGATGAAACGTTCTAGTCACCAATTTGGCGACTAATTTTCAAGGTTTGGTCACCAAAGGGAAAAATTTAGTCGCATTGGTGCCTGTATTAGGCACAATTTCATGCCCTGATAGAGTATAAATATCATGCAATATTGCATGGTTATTTGGACAGTTGGTTATTTTGTACTGTAAAAAACCTGTTTAACCAGTTAGCTGCGCATGCTGTGCTTCTCTATCTGCTTTGCTTTTCTCAACTATGAGAAATAATAAGAAAGACATAGCAGAAAAAAATGTAGTTCTTTGTATTTTGACTGGCCCCATGGGCTTGTCAAAATATGACACAACTCTTAAAAATACTCAGCAATACTACACACCTAAATGTTCCATGAGATATATATATTCTTTTGCCCTCTTGTCTCTCAGACCCAAGTGAAGTATATGTGGATAGAACCAAAGATCTGCAGAGATGACGTGGATGGAGCTAAGAAGTTGCCTGCATCTGGCGTGAAGGAAGATTGTCCTCCTTGTAACCCTGGAATGCATCTTAATGGCACAGGCGAAAGCAGTTCTTGTGTCTTTTGTCCTGTTAATGAATTCAGTGATGGCAAAGCAGGTGAGATCTGTTGTGTAGTAGAGCTTCTCATGGTGGGTGATACATTAGCTTGATGGTTAGTGAGACTCTGAATTTAGAGGTCCAGATTTGGCCTGGCTAGACCATGGTGTTGTGTTCCTGGGTACAACACCCTGCTTTCTTGTTGCTTTGATCCACAAATCGTTGCAGAGGTGGGAGTGGGAAGGGTGACCTGTGATTGGATAACCTATGGTGGAATAGCTCCCTGTCTAGGAACCAGTATTCCTACACAAACAGAACCTTCTGAATTCTGGGAATAAGCCTCTGTGGGGGTGGAAGTCAACCTTAATTAAAGACTTTACATATTTGCAGATATCTCCTGTAGAGAGTAAACCTTGGACTGTGAAAATCACATGCACCTTTTCCTCATACAGGTTTCTATACAGTACTAACAAAGTTCTTTATGTCTTGCTTAGAGTGTAAGAAGTGTCCAGTGTCCACTGAGCCAGTTTATGGGCATCACCTCACATGGTGGCATAGTGTTCCAGAAAATTTAAGAGCCACTTGTTTCTCTATGTCAGGTGTGTGACACTTCAGGCTGGTTTACATGATGATTAAGTTGTCCTGCAAATGTGTAGCGGTTTGTTGAAAGATGTTTAATAATGTATTCAAGTTCTTATCTGTGAATTTGGCAATTTTTGCCCAAAAAATTTTGTTGTGGCTGATGTTTGCAGTTAAATTCTGTGAAAACTTCAAAAGTTGAAATGACTCAGTTAAATTGTTGCTGTGTGCAGGGAAGGTTAATTTAGTCTGCGTTGTTGGTTGTTGGGGGGTAGTTGAGGGGAGGGATGGGTGGTGGCAGTTTTTTACTGACTTGTCTGTACTTATTTTATCAAGCAACTACTTTTTTTTTTTTTTCAGATCGTGGATGCACCACAAAGCAGGGCTGGCAACCTCGTGGAAACTACCTTGACAGTGGCATCAATCAAGCAGATGATGTCTACATGACACTGAAACTTCCTGTAGGAGGCTTTGGAAGTCCTGAGGGTCTTAAAAATCCCAAACGTGGCCAGTTTGGTGTTGTGGAGTTTGTCTTTGAATTGATCTGTGATGGAGAGTGTACTTTTAAATTCAAAGAGGTAATTCATATTAGTCGGAAGAGTTCATGAATGTCTACTTACTCCTCTTCACCCTGAATTTCTATATTTCTCAAGAGTTAATTCTTTGAGATATAGCTGTTATTTAGAGAAGTTGTGATGACTAGATGATAATGATGATGATGGCCATAATGGTTATGTTGAGATGGTTTGATAATGGAGATGATGATGATTCTATTGATGACAAACAATAGAAAAAATCCCAAATTTATTTTACTCTTGTCTGGGGAGTAGGAGCAATAATGGACTAGTGGCAAGAATGCTCGCCTCCCATCGCTGTGGTTCAATTCTTGCACTGTGCATTGACATTGAGTTTGTTGTTGGTTCTTGTCTTTGCTTTGTTGGTTTATTCTCTGCGTTCTCTGGTTTTCCTACCTCCACAAAAACTATGATGTAAAACTCCAATTTTATCTGAAGGCAGTGGACAAGGAGGGCCACCTCTGGGAATGTCTGCTGCTTAACTCCTAGTTTAATTACTCCCATTGTTGTTATGGATGTCAGTTATGTTTGTAATGGTTAATTAACTAGTAAAGTTTCAACTCATTTAATTAATTTATTCTTTACATTTTGTCTTTCACACATGCAATTTCTAGAAGCCACAGTCTAAAACTACAAATGTGATTCAAACATGGACAGGGAGAAATGGAAAGCAGAAGTACAGGTAACAATAGAAATTTCATTTAAGTTATTTTGATTTTTACCAGCATTGATTATGATGATTGTTTCCATTGATGCACATTTAATAAATAATTATACAACCAAGTCTTTGTAAACTAAGTTACAAGGAAGTGTGTGATAACTGGAGGGGAGAATTACTATCTGATCTAGGGAGTCAAAAGGTTGATAAATAATTCCACAACTGAGTGAAAATTTTAAAGGTTTTTTCCTTTTGTTTTTTTTTTTAGCTACATCATTTCCTCACAGAGGGAAACTCAGTTTATCTGGACATTTCAAAAACAGAGTTCCTACTCATTTAGTGATGATCAACTGTCTTACACCTATGGTGGTGATCGGTATGTTTCTTTATTTGTAATTACTTTTACCTGTAGTTATGAAGACTAGAAAAAGTAAGGCAATATGTTTTGGGTATTGGACACAGTAAAAATTTGCTTTATATGAAGTGGAGAATTTTTGATGAAAATCTTTTTCCCCATCTCAGATGGCTCAATTTTAAACTGTTTGGAGTCTTAGTCTCAGGGAACTACCCCTACAAATGCAGGAAAAATAAAAAACTTTTGAGTTTGGCTACCTATGAGGAATCAACTTCAGACCTTTTTCCAAAGGATCTGTCCCCTTTTGTGTCCTGGCCTTTAATATGTATAATTTTTGATTAGCAATTACTTTTTTCAAAACAGATAAAAATCTTTGCCCTTAACTCAGTGGCTCAATTAAATTGGTTTGAATCTTTGACCCAGGGTCTGCCTATTGTAGTGTTCTGGCCTATATTATAGCTTAGCTATTGATCTCCTGTAGTGTCCTGGCCTTTATTATGACTAAGTATAGTTTTTGATCTGCTATTAATTTTCTCAATAGAGAAAGTTGTTTTTCTGTGTCATTGCAATTGCAAGGGAAAAAGAAAAAAAACCTGAGTCCCCACGAGGAATCAAGCCTCAGACCATTTGTGTCCTGCTCTGAAATGCTCTACCACAGAGCCACAAGGAACTTGTTGATTAACATTACTACATTCATATGTGACTGGTTATCAAATATGTGACAAGTTCTCAAGTTATGTCATTCTTGTAATGTTTTAAGACTCAATATAATTATACATTCTCTTTTCCTCCAGAGTGAAGATTTACTCCATTACTGTGAACAACACCATCGATGGAGGTGCTGATCATTGCCGATCCTGTCCAGTATCCTCAGGGAGTGGGTACGTAGTGCCCTTCCTAAAGCTGTGCCTTAAGTCTGCGACACAGCTCACACAAGTGTTAACTACAGTACATTAGCCTGTGGGGTTTGTAGAAACTCTCATACTCAAAATCCCAAGTTTGGCATTTGACCCATCCTATCACTGCAAAATGTTTTGGTAGCAATATGTTTTTTGTGGCAAACTATAAAGGGTTGTTTTTGAAATTCAATGGGTGGTTTTTAGTGGTAAACAACATTCAATCCTGCAATGCACTTCACTGTTATGACTGATGCATCATGCTTTGTCTCTGTTCTTTTTTTTTTTTTTCTCAGATGTATAAGCTGTCCCAAGGGTAACTATGTGGATACTGAGAAGCACAAATGTGTGCCGTGCCGTATAGGTATTTTTTTTTGTTTTGTGCATGGAAAAGAATGACTTTTTTCATGTGCTTTGTCAAATCATTTAGGATTCTGCTTTTGCAGTGGAAAGGGGGCCTGAACTTTCTACTCAGATCCTCTCTTTTTTGTCAACAGGCACCTATTTGAACACCAATGACCCATATGGATCTAAAGCTTGTGTCAAATGTGGACCAGGTTTAACCAGGTGCCAAAGATTAACTTGTATTTTTGCCTGTCCATTATTAATCATAAAAGCAACAGGCTAGCTTAGTGAGTAGCTTGAATCTTGAAAGAGCAGGAACCTTAATTTTGCTTTGTACTAGAATTGGACTTCATTTTTGTTGTGTTTCATTTTTAGTGAGGCGGGATCCACCATGTGTCATTCTGACTGTTTCTATACCTCCATCAAGCATATGCGACAATTCAACTTTACTGGTCTCCAAGGGTATGTACATTGTAGAAACAAACAAATCTTGCTCAGTTATTAATTAGTCTTTTTTAAGGATGTGTAAATGACTGAATATATATTTTTGACAAAAATTGTTGCTTTCCGAAGTGGTAAGGAGTAAAAGTAGTGTGATTGTGAGTGTGCTAAACGTAAGTAGGGAGGTTTAGTGTCAATCCAGGGTGAGCCATTGTGTTGTGTTCTTAGACAAGAAGCTTTTCTTCTCACAGCGTCTCTCTCGGCCCAGGAGTGTTTTTGAGTGCCAGTAAACTATCAGGCAAACCTGATGGACTTTGGGGGGAGGTGTGGGTAGTAATGATCCTGTTCACTTCACGCTCCAGAAGCTAGGACAACCTGCAGCAGTAATGGGTGGCTTGGATCATGATGTTGTATGGTTAACGTAGTTCCGTTTGTGATTATTTCCACATAGTACCTGTGAACTAACTACAATAAAACAACAAGGTTCCTTTACAGACTCTAATTCTCTTTTACTTTATTCATAGACCTCAGAGCGTTGCCACTGGTCCTTCGTTCACCAAGCGTGGCTTCCGGTACTATCACCTCTTCAACTTGAATTTGTGTGGACATCCATACAAAATGGCAAAGTGTCACAATAACATCAGTCTTTCCACTGGCAAATCAGTGAGTGTCATCCCTAGATCGGATTCGTAGTTCTCCCATACATTTCTCACGAAGAGCCTACGAGAATTTGCCACTCGATCTTGACGTAATCCTCTCGGCAAGATTCTGTAATATGTCCCCGTAATTAACTTCTTCAAGTCAAATTAATTCGTTTTATCTTTGCAGTCATGTGCCCCACTGCAAACTAGGTTGAATTTTTACAACTTGTATTGAAGACAAAATTCTGTTGCAAGGATTTTTCGAGTTGATTTTCGTGTCACACGAAGCTGTAACCTGTGGACCATGTGTACCAACCGAAACCCTTTACACCCAAATATCAGTATTCGTATTCTCCATACAGTTCTCTATAAATTTCCCAAGGTGCTGATGAGGAGAATTTGTTTAAAAAATAAGAGCTTCTTTTATTGGTGATCATTTCTTTTATTCTTACGACCCAAATTTTTGATTCAAGGGTAATATTTCACGAAGAAATGAGAAACCAGTCACCCTTGCGGGTCAAAGGGTTAGAAGACCGCTGAGAGTTCTTTTTATCAATCTTAACAGGAAGCCTATAATTTGACTTCACCTGTTTGCCGCATGACCGTTGTTCCTGACCCAGTTCTGATGACTACACAGACATTAAGGTGAGAGAATCACGAGTTACTTCTTCCACAAAGAATACAACGCTCGTATTGAACGTTGGCTTTTCAACAGTCCATGCCGTCTGTAGCCGAGTTGTTGGCAAATTCGAGAGATCTTGTTGACGATTTACTGCAGAAAATAAAGAGTTAAACTTATGGAATTTCAACCGACCCTCACTCAAATTCTCCCCCTTCCCCTCTTACATACATACATGACATCCCACTCTAGTTGAATTCAAACGGGATAAATTTATATTTTACTCATCTTCTACCAAAAAAAAAAACATTATCAATGGTTTTTTCTTATATTTCAGCATTGCAGACCGCCTTGAAGGCATTTATGAAGACATTGCCGACAATAAGACCAACGAAACCTCAGTATTCGCTGGAAAAGAAGGTATGACGACAATGATCAGCGAGTAGTCTAGGAATTTTGATAGTCGTACACTAGTATCAGTGATAGTGGCAGTGGTAGTGAAATTGAAAGTAACGGTATCAGTAATAAATTTTGCTCATTTATGCCTTTTCTTGTATTTCCGGTCTAGTGAAAAACACCTCAACCTTTTTCTTGTTCAAGTTCCACGGTGACAAGTAAGTGATATATGCCTCGCTTGTTTTCATATTCTATCACTATCGAATGTTTCTAATTGTGTACAAGGTTATACAATTTTGATAAATAGTAGTAAGGAAGTTAAACGAAATTTGGAGTTTGCACCCTTTTTTTCAACTGAGAAAGCAGAATGTGAACCAGGAGAACGTCAGTGCAGCGTCTTGTTGCTTTTATTTTTTGCCAAAAATAAAACAAAACGTAGCCAGAAGTCAGTCTTTGCCCGAGACTCTCAACTTTTGTCTGACTATAATTTCCTATAAGCTGTTACCGTTTTTGTACTGAATGTGTAAAAATAACTTGATACGTCACTACAAACCTTTTCTTTTACGACGTGTAAACTTTACAACTTGCTTAAAACTGTACAAAATATTTGTTTGGCAAGTTAGAAATTAAAACAAGAGGTGACTGTAAATTAAGACGGAATGAGAGAGCTTAGGATACAGAAGATTTCAAAAGATGGCTGATGACGAACTTGTAAAACTGAGGCTAAATTTCTTGAGATGGACAGGTTATGACACAGCTTTTTAAATTAACGTATTTCAGACCCACTCAAGCCTGCCCTAATGGCCGGTCAGTTTGGACAACAGTGCTGTGTGACCCTAAAGTAGGAAAGGTACGTTTATAGAATTGTTTGTCAACTGAGGCTTAATTTAGTGGTTTCCCTCGAATGGTGTCTTCTCTTATTAGAGTTGTGACTAAAGAGTGGTCTAATGATATTGAGAAGGTCTTGACGCCTCTCGAATCTCCAACCTTGCTTCTTGGAAGCTTCAGACATTGAGTATCTTGTATTGAGCATTCGAGGTTCGACTCCATTTATTACAGTACAAAACGCACTTGGTTGCGAAAAAACTTTGACGTCTGCTGAGCATGATCCACAAACAATGAGACCAAATGGCCTTATGACTGTTTACAGTGCTACGTGTACTATGTGATTTTTGCGGATATTTCACAGAAGTGTACAAAAGTATATTGATATATTGCATATTAAGGTAAACCGAACCCCCCCCCCCTCCCCCCAAGGAATAATTACTACAAACCTTTGGTTTCGTTATAGGGTTCGTTTGAGTTGCCCTCCAAATGCCCGGATGGTACCTGTGATGGCTGCCGGTAAGTGATTTATTACAAACAAATAGAATAGAATCCCATTAACAGTCTTTGGACTGCGAGTAACGTTTGATGAGTGCATTGGTATGTCTGTGATTAACATGTTACGCTCTCGTTCATAGGTTTGAGATCCTGTGGCGCACGCCTCGTGCGTGTCCAACCTGTTCGCAATTTGATTACCGCAAAGTGATTTCCTCTTGTGAGGTAGGTTTGAAGTTCGTATGATATTATCACAATTATCTACTTGAAAGCTGTTCTCCAGATCTATGGTAACATGGTTTAAGGCAAAATACAGAAAGCTTTTAGAAACTGGAAAAACGGGGTATATCAAGGGTCTGAGGTTCTGGTGGAGGAAGGGGGCGTCTTTCAGTCTTGAGCCGCGGTTTGGACGCGAAATGGGCGCGTCTATTTCAATCCAACCGCGCTAATACGCTTTAAGTTTGTCGGGCAGGCTTCCCAGGATAGTCGATTGTGTATCTTTTTAGGATAACAAGCCAACGAAAAGAATTGTTTTAAACAACTGACTTTATTTTTATCCATTTCAGTAAGTAAACTAATAATAAAATATTTTGCATTTAGAGTGGAAAGAAGAAGACTACATACATGTGGAAAGAACCAAGGTAAGAGGCCGCTATCTTTATGGTTTTGAGGTGGTTTTGTGCCTTAAGGCTCAGAATGTTAATCATGCGGTGTTCATGTGTGGTTTTGTTGATCATTTCAGAGTTTGCCAAGGAGGTGTTCCCTTACCTGCAGAACGAGAAACCAAATGCAGTATTTTTGAACAGTCGGTTGGCTCAGCTATGAGGGACTTCAAGGTATAAGCAACATTCGCTATGCTGGCCGGTCAGTCCGTCTGTCAGTTAGTCTGTTAGTCTGTTAGTCTGTCAGACGGCCTGATAGTCATTCAGAGAGTTAGCCAGTCCGTCAGTCAGCTAGTCAGTAAGTCAGACGGTCGGTTTATCAGTCAATTGATAAAAACGAGGTAAGTTTCGAAATAAACTGTAGTGTTGCGTAGGTTTGGGGGGGGGGGTATAAAAAGACAATTTGGTTTTTTCAATCGAGTTGATAATGTAAATTGGCCATCGTAAAGAGCGACGACTGGCCAACACTCGAAACGTCAGCTGAGAAACTCTTTACGGTGGCCAATTTACATTCTCAACTCAGTTGTTAAAACCAAGCTATGTAATCGGTCGATTTGTCTATCCGCCAACCTTGCGGTCAATTACTCATTCATTCTTGCGGTTCATAGCAAACGTCTTTTTTTTTTCTTTCTCATAACGATGACAGGCATGTTACTACTTATACCATGATTGTTCTTTTTTTTTTTTTTGTTCAGATTGTGATTGCTGTTGTTGCTGCTCTTGTTGTGCTGATGATCTGCGCAGTCTTTGGCTTGTGGTACAATAACCGAAAGTACGTAAATCAGCATTCTCTTTGTTAATGCTTGTTGATGCATTTGACCTTTTCCGGTTAGTTTTCGGGTTGAGTTGCCAGGTTTTCAGCTTTTTTCTGGTTATTGTATTGTGTTCTTTGGGTTGAATCTTTTCTCTCACTGTTTCTCCTTATTCGACCAAAGAGTCAATCTGCTAGGGGTAGGAGTGGGCGAAGAGTTAAAAAGATGAACTAGAAATCCCGCTAAGTAAGAAGAAACAGTTCAGGAAGCTTAAGGCTGCAGATACCTGCGTGGCTGTGTGGATCACGCCACCCATAATTGGCATTTAGGCCATGAAACGTAAGTGTGGTTTACGTTTGTCGTTTTCTTTGTGGCAGGCTGACATACAAGTATCATCGCCTGGTAAATAAGAGTGGTGATAATTCTGGTGAGTTGCCAGGTGTGGAGAGATGTGTGGTGGACGACGACGAAGAGGACGAAGAAGAGGTAATTTGCCTTTGTAGACCGCAACGCCTTACATTCTTTTTCGTTTGTTTATTGTTCTTGTGCAAGAGTGCTAATTGTAGTAAAATTTTGTGTGCGCTTTCTTTGTGTCATTGCGTAACGTTGCGTAACGTAGCATGTATTCAACCGTATTGTTCATCGTAGTTTGGTGCAGTTTTTGCAGTGTAGTTTTGTCGAGTGTAGTTTGGTATATTTGTTCTTTTCGCTTCGTGCAGTTTGTTCGCCACTAGGCAGGATCTATAACATCGCAACAAATGTAAGTTTTGTATCATGTAGTTTTCTTCGTTGTTTTCGTTGTAGCTTTCCTTGTGTATTTAGTCTAGTTTATATTGTAATAGTTTTCGTTCGCTGTTTTATTTGCAGTTTTAACCGTACCGTGTCGTTTCATTCCGCGTTAAAAATTGCGCTAGAATTAATTAGTATTAGTCGCCAGTGGCAGTTACAGCCTTAGATTATTTTCTTTCAAGAGTTCTTGAATAATGCTCGGGTGTGTGCACGTTATTTGTTCATTTCGTTTATTCTCGTTGGAAACTTTTTGTGTCAATTCTTTCGTGGAAGTCCGTAAACCTTCGCAATTTTGGCATCGACGGACAAGAGCTGCTCGTTAACCCCTAGAGCTGCATATTTCACCACATTGCATTTTACTTCAATACTCCACAACTATACAACAATGGGCACATGCAGTCATAGACTGCCTTTTATGTGTAATGTTAAATCCGTAGCAGCCATCTTTGGGTGGTTTCCGTGTGAGTTATCAGTAATCTTCGGAAAGGCTCGGGCGATATGAATCACACCTCGGGAAGCGAGATTTAACTTAAAGAGCATTCCTTTTATACTGCTCGTAATGACATTGTTTTAATTAAGGTTTTTTTTTTCTCTTTACTTAGGTTCACTTTAAAGTCGGTAAGGACCGCGGTAAGAAGATTCTGAAGAAAATAAAGGACATGGCCAGTGGTGGAAAGAAGAAGGTAGGATTTTTTTGTTTTCATGCACTCTCTTTTACTCCTGTAGAATTCCTGGAAAATATTAGAAAGAAAAAGAAGGAAAGTTTTTTTTTTCCAGTTCGTGCTCTGGTTTTTCCTTCGTTTCAAAGCCGTCCGCCTACGCGAATTTTTTTTTGTAATAGTCGTTCAGTTTTTCAGTATCTACAACAGTTCAACAGATGTTGTTTATTTTTCTACAAAATTTTCCCCGGGAAGGTTATCAACAAGCATCCTCCTCGCGCCCTAGACCTATTTTTTCCTGGCGCACGTCTTCATGTCGCGCGTGGGATACTGGGTGAAAGAGGCCCCGAGGCCCTTACGGTGCTGCTGGAACAAGATAGTCCCAGGCCCTAGAATGTCTTGTGCTGCATACCACAATCTACCGTTTGAGCACAATGTACTTAGTGATGTGTTTAATCCTAGGAGAAGGTTACATTTGATGACGAAGACGATGAATATTTTGAGTCTGTTCACCTGGAGCCTGGGAAAGACGCACTCGTCGGCGACTTCCAGTAAACATGAATCTCGACACATAAGACATGCTGTTATGCAATCACATGAAATTCAATCATCATAGAATTGAACCTCTTGTCTTCACCGCTATTCCACCGTCAATACAAATCAAGTAGTTGAAGGAGCAGTAAACTAAAGAAGCTACGTCACTGTGTTTAGTTTTTGCGCCGTGCAAAACCCACCTTCATATTTCAGAAGGCTTTGAAATATTAGCTCTGTAGGTTTGAAAAAGCGCAAAGGAAGCGATATTATACCAAGAAGGAATAAGGGTGGCTTACGATGGAGAAGGTTGACACGGATTGCAAATAACGCCATTTTTAGTTATGAATAAGCCAATTTTTGAGATTTTTTATTGTGGCGTAGCTTCTTTCCCAATTAAATATCGCACGGCATTCATAAGTAGCAGGATAATTGCTGTCTATTAAGCAAATCTCATAGAAATATTCTAGTTACTTTTCCTTGATCTTATTGTAAAAAAAAACATAGCAATCATTGAGGACAACTTACGTGCTAAGTAATGTGTCCTGTAGTCTCAAAAGAAACATTTTCATTGTCCATGGATGGGGGGGGCTAGTAACGTGATGAAGCTCAAGTGAGGCATTGCGTTACCCTAATTTCCTTCGGTTATTGTAGACATCCCATTTAAAGCAAGCAAGGGAACTTGATGTCGATCGCCTTCCATTTTGGTTTCATAGATATGGAAATTTGATACACCTTTTCTCTTTCAATCTATAAATGTCAAACGCACCATTTGTTTGCTGTCGTATCGCGCAATATTGTTTTAGAATTGATTACTGAAGAATTAGGAGTTATTTAAACTTGTATGATAAGGAAACACGAAGCAGGAAGAAACAGCGATGAGCCTTGTAATAATTGTACAGGAATTCGTTGTCTCTGCCTGGTAAAATGTTCGATACTATCAACTCAACTAACTACGTTTGTTTGAGTCTGTGGTTGCCTGGAAAAGTTTTCAAACAAATTTTTCCAAAGCACAGTTTATGAACGTAATTTCTGTCCATTTGCGTCTTGTTGAGTATTTTTGAGTGCAATTTGATGTTGATAAGTACGGTTACTCTGGTTTTACGTGGAAAATAATAAATTTAATGCCGACTCTTCAAAGTACAGGAATGAAATCAAGAAGAAGAAGAGTTAAGCCATCCAAGTAGGGAACTCAGCCAGTAAGGCAACTGACTACGACGACACTCGAGCGAATGTTGAACGCGGTCAGTTACAGGCATCCCACGTATTTATGTCGCGTGTTTTAGTAGCATTTAGTTTCCACAGTAACCACTATCACCTTTTCGCACTTTATTTGAATATTTATGGTCAAATTTAAGAAAACACTGAAGCTATAATATTTTTAGTTTAGCTAGAATAGAGAGTGTGAAAGTGCTCTACATATTTTTATTCACTTGCCCCAAGAGTTCAAAGTAAGACTTTTACATTGGAATCAATCTTCGTTGCACTGAATACCTTTATTAGAGCGACAAACGTTTTAATTGTTCGAAGATTGCGAGAGGAGCTCGGTAACGACTAAGTGATAGATCGGCTTAGACTCGGGAAACTTTCGAAGACCTTCGACCTTTCCGTCGTTCACCGAAAAGGATTCTTTGCGAGAAGTAAACAACCATGGTAATAAATTATCTGTAATTTAATTTCTAAGCGTTAACATTAAATTCACTCACAGAACGTGGAGAATGAAGTGTATTTTTAGCCTTGAACAAAATTTTTACAGTTGGTGTTAGTAGCACGTTTGTAAAAATGCTTCTCGTATGTGTTTTTGTTGGTGCTGTAATGTTTTGGAAACCTGCTAACACAGCAAAAAGGAAGGATCGATGGAAGCCGCATAGGCAAACTTCCAGAGGAATATCCCATGTTTTCACTTAACATCATCGTTCATTAACTTTCTGCCAAGGGCAGGAGTGTTGAAGGGTGAGGAGCTCGCTTCTCTTGCGGGACACGCGCACGACTCAAGTTTGTCTTCGCAGCGCCCGAATGGCTGGTTAAATCACTTTGGAGGTGATAGGCGTAGTTTCGTCGGTCCCTTTTATTTTTTCCTTAAGATGGAATACGACTTCTCTTTAAAACCGGTTGATAGACTGTATTGTCCATGTATGAAGCAGGCTGGTTCTGATGGGAACTGACACTACTGGTTCTGGCCGAACGGGACTTGTACTCTGGTTAAGTTTTATCCTCTTTCACACTTGCGTAAGCAAACTGCCAATGGGTTTTGTTTAACCCTTAACACCATAACATCAGTATGCATATTCTCCATACTGGTCTCTATACATTTCCTAATGTGCTTGCAAAGAGAATTCGTAGAACAATCCAGAGGTTCTTCAGTTAATTATCATTCCCTTTATTCTCATGACTGATGTTTGATTCATGGGTGACATTGTAAAGAGAAATTGGATGCTGGTCACTCAGGGATTAAAGGGTTAATAAATAGAATATGGAAGATGGTAAGTTTTGAGCTCGGTAGGGAAATATAGGAAGATGTGGGACAAAGGAAGGACAAGGGAGTCCTCATGAGGAATTGAACCTTTCGTCTAATTCCGCGCTCTGACCAGTCAACCACTGAGCCACAGAGACAGTGGTGAGCGGGCCCATCCGAAGTTCATATTTGACACGCGTCCTGCATACTGCTAGGTCAGCAATGTCAATAGCGTCATGTTTTGTGGATATAATACGAAAGATGGTAAGTTTTGAGCTCGGTAAGAAATAGAGAAAGATAGGTTTTGTTTAATTTACCCAAAAAACACCTTTCGTGTACAGTTGCTAGTTGAACCTGTATTAGGCGTGTCACCCACGGTGAATGACCGCTTGATAAAGTTTGACAGAATAGGGGTATTTTAAAAAAATAGGCAGCCTGAGACCTCTAGTGGCTACTGATATAGCACAATTTTTCATAGCATTGAACTAAAATAAAGGTTGTATAATGGCGCTTACAGGTGGTGTTGCAGAAGATTTGTATTCACACCTGCCCCACCCCACATATTCATCAGTACCGTTTTCCACAAGATGATTCACCATGAAAAGAAAGCTAATTATTCAGGACCAAGCTGCTAGCCGTGATGAAGAGACATTTGCAGGAAGTTTGTATCCTAATGTGTACAGTTAAACAGCGACCATGCTTAAGAAGTATTTGCTATATTTTTTTAATGAACACAACCCCAGGTACGATTTGAGAGAATCTGATTTTTCCACTAATAGGTATAACTCTAGGAGATGAACTTTGTTCGTTTGTCTCACGATAGAGTCACTTTTGATGTTGATCGCGACGTTTCGACTGCAACACTGCAAATCTTCATCAGGCGATGAGGTCGATTGTTTACGTGTCGCTATTTGTAGCACGTTGGTACGTTGCTATCGGTGCATTTCAATCCTTATCATTATTCCGATTGTTACATGGTATTCCCTCATAGGTCCTCATAAATCGGCTGTTGTGTTGTTTGATCGTGGGTATCCAAGCTTCGGGAATGTCGATTCCGCTATCCCTATTGATGTTGTTAGGATGAAGTCTTGTATGGATAGCCACTTTGACCCTACTTGTGTATCAGTGGGGGTCACGATCAATAATCTTAACCTTACTCCAAATAGGAATATGCCCCGTTTCTTTATCGTGCTCAGAAACCGCAGAGGTCTGAGTACGAGAAAACCGAAATGAACAGCCAAACCGAAAAACCGAACTTTTTTTGCACAAAAACCGAATTCGAAACAGCCAAATTAAGACCGAAAATCCCAGTGCCCTCCTCCTGATTGAAGAATGATATGCACTTCTCGCTTGCCTTTGTCCATGGTGGCACTACTCAACACTCCTTGACACTCCTCGACACAGCCGTGAAAGACAGTGACTACATGGGGTTTTGGGGCAAAAAAAAAAAAACTCCCAGTGGGGCCTGCGCTACATTATGTCACGCAAACTTTATTTTGGCTTGTCGCACAAAATTTCTAATTTTATTTGACATGATCCGATCCATGATCCGTGGTCCGATCCGTGATCCAATCCATGGTCTGATCCGTGATCTGGTCCGTAATGCGATCCGGTCCGATCCAAGTGACGACTGACCTCGTGATTGCCGCATGAGACAATCAGTCACGCAATCGCGAGGAACTGAAAAATGGCGAAAGTCGCTGTGTGGAAAGCTTTCGTTAGTTTCCTTTTACTTTTCGCTAGGATTTCTTTTAGCAAAGGAGATTATTCCATGAATGGAACGGTTTATTACACAGATGGGTGAGTTTACTATTTTTATTCCGTTTTTGTCACAGTCAATTTGATCTTTGGGATAATATTGTGATCTACATCTACAGCTAAAAAGCGAAAGAGAAAAAAATTAATGCATCGTATTTTGATGTTTATCCTAGAGATTGTATTTTTATGGGCTGGGAATGGTTAATATAAGCTTAAGATTGGATGGCTAAGGGCTAAGGATCTACTGGGCTGATCTCACCTCTCGTTTCCTCGTTGATATGTGATCACGAGTTATGTAACACTTCATAATTAACGAAGAAAGGTTCCGATGAAATTTCATTTCGGTACCAAACTTCAAACAATTTTTAGCGCTAAAGTGTTTCTGCTGACAAGTAAAGTAAAATTTCCGCACCGCCCCATACTATTGTAAAACAGATCTGTTGTCCCAATGGCAATGTATGTTTTCGTCATTGTTTCCTCTATCCAAGAACTGAATACATAATATAGTATAGGGCTGTGCGGAAATTTTACCATAAGTAATAGATAATAAATAATTTATTTAGAAATGATTACAGGAATCTCGTGTTCGGACGAAAAGTGGCGGATGCTTCAATTCTGCTAACTTTGACCAAGTGTGACATCACGTTATCATGGTTGAATATTGAACAACTTTCTAGTCAATATGGGATTACTGTAATATTAGATTTAGTACCCTCCTTCCTTTTCTTTGGGGAAAGGAAAAGAAGGAATGCTGTGGATTGTCTAGTTTTTGTTAGGAATCCTAAAACACCTTCCTTCTTCCTCACAAAAACATAAAAACTTTGCAAACCTTATCATTATTTTATTAAGTTATGAATAAATTACAGACACAACTTACATATAGCATAAATTTAAACTAGTCATGAGCTTGTGACAACAGTTTATCAGGAATAATTAACTAAACAGCTAGACTATACAAATCATTAACAGCCTACATAAATATGGTCACACAAAGACTGACAATGGATTTCCTTTAACAATTTCACAGGAAGTACCACATAGAGTTTGGAGTACTTGACAAAGAAAATGGTGTAGCCTATGGAACCTATGATGATGCTTTGATTACTACAGGGTATGTGAAGCAAGTATGACCAAAGGAAAACATATAGCTGAGAAAGGGGAGGAGGGTCCTTGGATGATTGCTCTCTCACCCCTCCCTCTTTGTAAAGGAAAACCAAGTCTCTTTTGCAACCGGAAAACTTCTAATGTTCTCAAATGTTGATACAATGTTAAGGTAGGACCCCCTCCCCCCCCCTCAATCAGTTAATGATGCTCGGAGTTCATGAAAAATGGGATGCATATGAAACTTGGTGAGGAATTTTTCACCATTTAACAAATAGTGGAAAGTGAGCTATTTCCTGGGTTAGGTTAGTAAATTTATATTTGCTGGTTTTTTTTTTTTTTTCAATTTTAGATGGGGTGAACTTAACATTGCTTCAGGTTCAACAGGAAGTTACAGTGATCAGACTATCATGTTTGCAGCAGGGTATCTTGAGGGAGCTTTGACTGCAGGGTAAATGTCTTGAAGATGAACTCATTATATTGTTAACTTCCCAACTGAATTTACTTCTGATGAGTAAGAGAGAATGTTTAATAACCCTTTACACCCTAACATCAGTATACGTTTTCTCCATACTGTTCTCTATACATTTCCTAATGGTTCTGACAAAGAGAATTTGCTTAACAATCAAGAGCTTCTTTAGTTGGTGATCATTTCCTTTATTCTCACGACCTCAAAGTTTGTTTAAGGGTTGATGCTGATAGAAGAATTTAGTTTCTAATCACTCTTAGGGTTTAAAGGGTAATAACATCTTTATTTTGTTTCCTTATAGGAGGATAAATGAAAATTATGAGAACAATTATTACATTGCCTTCGGCCAAAAATCAGAACAGTTTGTGAAAAAGGTTGAAGAATGGTTTGATGCCCAGGTAATGACAAACAGTATTTTTTTTGCTGAGTGGTGTGCTAGTTGTCTTCCTTAGGGTACCTTTGAAGTTATGATGTTGAAAAGAAACTTTGTTTGAGCTTGGAAACATCTTCTGTCCTCTCCTCTGGTGAACTATGTTGCTCTTCCATCCTCCATTAACACTGGCTGGCATCCATCATTGTTGTGTTCCCTTGCTATGTAAATAACAATTGAATAACACAACTGCACACAAAGAAGTTGACCTTGCTCTTTTTTATTTCTTTGCTTCCTCGTGCTCTCTTGTACATGACATCCCTCCTTTTCTTTAAAGAAACAGAGCATAGCAATCATTCAACCTAGTTAGGAATAGAACAAATCACTCTTGATTTTTTTTTGATCATTTCTGCTGAATTTTGCTCTGCGCAAAGACATATAACTTGTTGATACAAAAGTGAAAGATTTTTCCTATTTTATTTCTTTTGTAGGAAGAATGGATGAGAAACAAAATAAAAAGCGAATCAAAGAACAGCTCACTTTGGAGACAAATGGGAAACATTGTGTCTCAATATGATGGTGAACAATATTAGTCAAATATTCATTAATTTATAGAAGGCTCTGAGCTTAGTGTTTATAATAATTGTATTTGAAACTCCATTAAACTTGTCTATTTTGTAGGAATCACTCATACATCAATTTGCTCGATCAAAAAACATTGAAACTCTCAAAACGAAATCAGGATGTTATTACAAAAAAAACACACGTGATCAAACTGGTTAAACAAGAATATGTCAAACAAAATGCAGTGTCTGATGTTACTGATTAACTTAGTTATAAAACAGTGTGAATGATTTCTACAGTGTTCCTCAAATTCATCATTTGCCAAAAACAAGAGCAGAGTTTATTCCCATGTAGACTGACCCAGACTGGCAAATCATCTTTTTCCTGTTGGTTTGCTTTTTTCCACTTTGCCGTAATGGCACTGAAAAAAATTTCCACTCCACAATCCATTTTTTGTAAAGCAAAGAGCTTGAAACAGATTCAACAACTTTTGCTTTCTAAGATGCTTAAAAAAATGAAATTTGTTTTAGAAGTAGCATTTGTGAGTTATAATTGATCTGTTTAATCTGTTAATAAGAGTTTGGTCATTCTGTTAAGGTAATGTTTATGGTATTAATTTCATTGAGTAAATCTGTTGTAGGGTGTGTGTAGTTGTTAAAAGATTACCAACATCTACTCCAACTCAGGTTGTCTAGGTATTAATTATTGGGTAGTCTGACCATTTTAGGCTTTCTATCTTATTTTCTTTCTTTTCTTATTTTCCTTAATATAGGGCTTATAGCTGGTTATACAGAGAACCCACCCAAGGAGAAGGTAAATTCTGATTGCAGCATAACATATAAGTTTAGGAAGTCATGCTGCCTAAGATGATTTGGTGTTGATGAATTTTTCCCAATCTTTTTAGGAAGTGCTGGGCAAGTTTGCTTTCCAACTTCTTAATGGTATTGGTGATTACTTGACTCTGGGTGATGTGATCAGTCCTGATGGACCACCCGACTGGAGTAGTATGACAGAAGAGCAGATTACAGCCAAGGTATTTTTTAGAGTTCAATTTGGGTGTTAAGTTATTTTTGTTCTTAACCCTTTACCTCCCATGAGTGACCAAGTCAGAATTTCTCCCTACAATATCAATATAATGTCAACCAGATAAGTGATGAGAATAAAGAAATATATCAATTTGGGGATAATTTGTCAATCCAATACCAAATTCTCTGAACTGACATCATAAGAATTGTATGGTTGACAGTAAGGAGAATTACAAATTTGATATGGGAATAAAAGGATTAAGGTACAAGGTGCTTTTGATCTTGATTGCATGCATTCATAACACGAACTTCTAACTCTACTGCTGCATGGAAGAGTATTGCATGATAAGCTGAGTTGTTCATGCGTTTTGATTGGTTCTCACTAACTCTATTGGAGGGAATACGCATAGATGACATCACTATGAACAGTAGTTTGCTTTTTTATTTAATGAAACAAATAGATTCCAGATTGTTCATGGATCTGTACAGTTATAAATCGCAGAAGATGTAAAAAATGTGGTGAGAACATCAGTGATATGCTCCACTGTGCCATGCATGTGTGGCACATTTTTGTTCTCATCACATTTTGACATCATCTCTGATCTGTTACAGAACAGACACACAGCAACAGGGAATCTATCTGTTAACCCCTTAACTCCTAAGATCTCATTTTAATTCTCCTTACTGTGTGCCATACAATTCATATTATGTTAGTTTGGAGAATTTGGAATTGGATCAAATTATAATCCCCTTATTGATATTTTTCTTTATTCTCATTACTTGTCTGCTTGATATTATATTGATATTGTGAGGAGAAATTCTGTCTCGGTCATTCATGGGAGGAGACACAGTTACCTCTTGGCTTAACCCTTTGACTCCCAGTAGTGATTAAAATGTAACTTCTCCCTATAATACCCATACATTATTCAGCAAACAGGTAATGAGAATAATCAAACTTATCAGGTAAAAGTCACTATCTTGATCCAGCACCAAGTTCTCATAACTAATTTACAAGGAAATGTGTAGCAGTGAGAGTAGCCTGTAGAGCAGGTGTAATTTAGGCTTGCCAGTGCTGAGTAATTTCTTAACGAATATTATGGCCGCCATCTTTGATTTTAATGGGAGCGGAAGGCTGGGGAGAGGAAAAATTTATACCAAGGGGGTGGTCGACAGTCAAAATTAAGGAGAGGGATGGGGTTAGGGGAGTGAGGATTATGCTGTCTTTTCTCCCCTCCCCTGCCCCCTACCCCCACCGTCCACTCTAACTGCAAATCAAAAATGGCCGGTTGAACAAACAATTGCGAGCTTTTTAGCGTTAGCTCGCACTATCAAGATGCCTGCATTGCAGGCTACAGTGAGGGGGAGAATTAACAATCAGATCTTGGGAGTAAAGGGTTAGCATGCTGGACACTGGATTGAGAACAGGACACTTACATCAAGGGACTTCTTTGAAATATGCCAAACTAACACTTGAAAAAATCTGTAGTAAATTTAGGTGATATTCCTTTGTTGTATAATTTATTCCCTTTAAAATTTCAAATAAATTTTTTACCAAGTCAAAAAAATTTCCCAAATGCAAAATATTTTTCTAAAATAAGTTTGGTATGTTATCTTACTTTAAATATGGGCACTTACCTTAAGCAGTAGTGATATTAGGCCTTGGACCTGGAAGATGGGAGCACATGCAATAGTGAGAACAACTTCTTTTCAGAAGTAGTGTAGACCACCTCCCAGTTGGCTTCTTAGCTCATTTGATAGAGGGAAGATCACACTCATATTCACTGATTAATCTACAGTCTACACATACATGTATGATATTTATATATTCACAGTCATTTATCTTACTTTAGTTAGGAAGAATGGGCCATTGTTCTGCACTTATAAAAGTTCTTCCAGGTTATGAAGATATCTTCGCAGGACATTCAAGGTGAAGTATTTCAGATCTATCTTCCTTACTTTTAGCTTCCTACCTGAATTATTTTCTGACTTACATTTCTCAAGGTTACCAATCATCTCATTGATTACCTTATCTGTATTATGGCTACTTAATTTGCTTTTAAACTCTTTTACTTGGTTTGTAGCTGGTTCTCATATGGTGCAACAATGAGGATCTACAAACATTTCTACTTCAATCTGAGAGATCCAAGCACAAGTAAGTTCTAGAACTTTTTAATTAAGCATTTTTTGTTATAATTATTAAAATTGCATTACTTGCACCACTGAGCACTGCATAATAAAAACAGTGATACATACAATACTAGCATTATTTTACATTTCTAATTTACAGTATGTAAAATACTAATATTGATCACAATTATTACATTGATATTATGCTTAGCAGTATAATTTATCAACAATGCATGGTTAACACTGCAAAAAAAACATTTCTCACAGGCGCTGCTTCATGCATTATTATTACAAGGAGATATTAATGAAGATAATAAACAATAACAAGAACAAAGAGTACATAAATAAATAAAATATAGATAAATAAAAAAATAGGCTTTTAAACTTTACAGCGATTGGACTGTTTAAGTTTTCTTTTTTTCTAGGTGGTTTTAAAGTTCAGTGTTCTCTAACCACATAAGCACAAGCCCAAGCACAAATACAAGAGCATCAGCTCATATTTTACTGTGAAAAGGCCTCTACACAGGCAAAACACAAGCACAAGCAGAAGTACAGGGCACAGAATTTTTCTTTTTTCCTGTGCTAGTCTTTGTGCTAGTTGACTTTCATTTTCACTTAGCTTATTTACCTTATGCATGCGGTTGTGCTTGTGCTTTTGTCACCTGTGAAAACCACAAGCTTCACATTACCATGACATGTAAGTTGTTATCCTTTACAAAATCAATAGAGAATTATTGTGGAATGTGATGGAAATTTTCAGGTGCAAAACGGATGTCTTTTTCAAGCTATCCTGGCTACCTTGTATCACTGGATGATTTTTACATCATGGACAGGTTAGCTTGATTTTAATTTAAGTTGAACGATAGCTGAAGGGACCTTCTCTGACTAGGAAGAGGCTGATGATGCCCAAACAGGGGGTTCACTGAACCAGCTGCAACTAATTTCTCTTGCTTGATAAAAGTTTCTCCAAATCTAAACTAGAAATAGCTTATACATTTTCACTTATCAGCCTTAATTGTTTTCTTGGTTGAGATGCATAATATATATGAATGGAGAAAGTGAGGAACTGTTGAAAGCCAACTCCAATCGGTAGTGGATACATCATGTTAACTAATATGTTGCAATTTGTACCTTGTTTCCACATTACACTCTTCACAACACTTGGAGACAGTGTTGGCTAGTGGTAGGGGTGCTGGGCTTTTAATCTTGTGATCCTGGGTTCAAGCCCTCCACTCTGCTACTCACTGAATTTGTTCTTGGTTTCCCCAAGGTCAACTCCCTCGCTGCACTTTTTATATAGTCAACTGGTCTGTCTCTGGCCAGTTGGGATTTTTAAACACTTTGTTTATTCATTCATTCTATTACTCATATGTTTGTATTGGCCCTGAAAAGCTCCACTGGGGGATTAGTCAATTAAGTATACTTAGTTCACATTCATAAATTTATTTCTCTGAAGGGGGAAGTTTGTCACTGAATTTCCAGGTAGCTGCACTGCTACTGTACATTCAGCTAGTGTCTATTTTTTTTTTGGTCTTCTGACTTTTTAGTGGCTTAGTTATGGTCCAGACAACAAACAATGTTTTCAACACTTCACTGTATAAGTACGTGTCAACAGAATCCCTTCTAGCCTGGCATAGAGTACGCCTTGCTAACTTGATGGCTCACAATGGTGAGGAATGGGCAGAGGTTTATGAACAGTATAACTCAGGTATGTAGACTCTTTCCTGCATTATGCTATTGATGTTAATTAACACTTCACATGTTCAAAGATCAAGCAGTAAAGTAATGAGAATAAATAGAAATATCATTTAGGAGATTATTAGTTGATGTAATATCAAATTCTCCCAAGTAACATCATGAGAAGTATATTGTAGACAGTAAGGAGAATTAGTAATGAGATTTTAATCAGCGTTAAAGGGTTGACTATCTTTGTCTTGTTGCTGACTCATGGCATGGGACAAAATAGTGAATCAGAGTCCCCAGGAGGATCACACCTCAGACTTTGGGATTCTGCACTAAGCCTATGATCCTACCACTGAGGCTAAGAGCTCACCACTGAGGATAAGAGCCCACTACTGAGCCTAAGATCCTACCTCTGAAGCCAAGAGCTTACCTCTGAACCTAAGAGCTCAGTGGTAAGCCTATGAGCCCAGTACTGAGCTTAGGGGCTGAGCACGAAGCCTAAGAGCTTACCCTAAGCTTAGGAGCCTACTGAGCCAAGGAGCCTACTACTGAGCCTAGGAGCCTAGTATGGAGCCTATGAACCTACCACATAGCCGAAGAGCCTACTACTGAGTCTGAGTGTTTTGCCCAAGAATACAACACAGTTCAGTTTATAATTATATGACATGCATCCTGCATGCAGCCAGGATCAATGATGTTGAAAGTGTTTAGTGATTAAATAGCATAAGAAAGATGGTAAAGTTTTAAGCTCAGTAAAGAAATTAAGGAAGATGCCTTTTGTCTTGTCACAAATGGGGAGGCAAGATGAAAAACTAGTCTTTTTTTCATACAACTCCTTTGGGTAAATCCTGAGAATTTTGTGTTTTAAGTGCCATGTGCCTGGGTGCCTAATGGTATGATGATCAGAAGGAAGGGATGTGCCACAGGTAACATCCCTTTATGAGTTGAATGGACCCTCTTCAACGCTTGTCCTTTTTTTTATGTCTCATAGGTACTTACAACAACCAGTACATGATCCTGGATCTGAAACGAGTTGAGTTAAAGAAAAGTTTGCTAAGCGGAGCTCTGTGGGTTGTGGAACAGATTCCAGGGTAGGTTGAGAAAATCACATTCACAAATTGCCACAAGCAACACTGCCATTGACTCCTCTACGTTCAGTTACATATTGAATGTAGGTTTCTAAGATAGTTTTTCTTGGCTCTATGACTGACTGTCTTTCATTTATTGTGTGAAAAAATACTCCGCAGTTAATTTCACCCAGGCAAAAAAGGGATATGTGTTAAAGTTTGTCAGGAGCTCACCCCTGTCCTGTATCTTTTTATTTTTAGAAGCACCTCCCACAGGGTTTCTTGCAGGTGTTTACATAATAGCCAATCATAAGAGAGCTGTGGTCCTCTATTGCTTACGTCACTTGCAGGCTGCACGAAAGTATTTCAATAATGGAAAAAAGCGCGGAAAGTTTACCATTTTTTTTCGGGTGTTATGCGAACGTCAGCGTGTTTTCCCGGGAAATTGAAGAACCCCCCACGTATCTCAGTTCTAAAAATAAAAAGATACGGGACAGGGTTGACTCAAGGGTACAATTGGTATGGAGGCTCCGGGTAATGGGCTCCTGAGTTTGTGTAATTTTGAGGATCAATCTGTGTGGTATGTCTGGTGGCCTAATAGCTTTCAAGTTGGACTGAAGACAAAGCAATGTAATTTCATTTTTATGGAGAATCGAGACAGTAAAGCCCAAGACAGCTATTTGTGATGAACTGAAGCCTACATTTTTTCAATGTTTCCAATATGTGATGATCTGTCTTTCAGGTTGGTGGCCAGCGGAGATCAAACTGAGATCCTCAGAGCAGGTTATTGGCCATCTTACAATGTGCCCTTTTATGAAGAGGTGAGTCCAACAAAGAGGCGCTCTTATAACTGATTAAAATTCACTTTGCCGTTTACAGTTGAGAGAATTTGTTTAATGCCAAGGCAGTGGCTGCTAGAGTGTTCACAAGCTCACAGCTGGTTATTACATCTACCCCTGCCTCTCCCCATCCCTGATCGTGACACAAGTCAAGGTGATTTTAAGTGTCCCCTTCAAGGGTGGAAGGGAGAAGGGAGGAGGAGGGGGGCACCGTTTTTTTAAACCACCTATGTTGGGGTGCACATTTACCATTGCTGCTTTTGCTGTATGCTAACCAGGATTTACTTAACGTGTGGGGACTGCTTTGAATATAATACGTAAACTAAATGAAGATATCACATCTGGTGTATACACGAGATACATCTTTTCTGATATCTTCAGTGAACATAAATTGTTTTCCTTTGACAATAGTTCTTAGCCTAGCTTAATAAACTTGACGGTTTAATTGTTTTTAATCAGGTGCTTTGTTATCTCATTAGATCTATAATCTGAGTGGTTACCCTGAATTTGTGAAGAAACACGGCCCGTCTCGATCATACCAGCTGGCTCCAAGGGCTGAGATATTCCGTCGTGACCAAGGACTGGTAACTTACTGCATTTAGATCATTGATCTGTCTTTAAATGATATATTATCGCTGGTCTAGTGACAAGGAATTCTGATTCATAATGCTGCTCGACCATTTTGTAACAGATAAATTTTCTGACTTTACAGGTTAAGAATTTGACATCGATGAAACACATCCTACGTTACAACGGTACGATTGTGCTTAAATCATTGATTACGTTATTGTTTTCGTGCTCACAAGCTTGCCTCTTTCCCAGCTAAGGTGGATGAAGGTCAAGAGGCCATTTTATAGTTGTGTACTTAATTGCCAAGCCTTTGATTTAGAGTGTGGCTGAACTTGACCATGTCGTGACAGAGACCAGTATCTAGTTAGCATGATAGCAAAGTAATTTACATTTGAGGCAGCACTAGAGTTTCCTTAGTAACTTAGTATAGCTGATAACATACTAGGTAAATATTTCCGTAGACAACAAAATTGCACGAGTCCACAGGGCAAGGGCAATTTGTAGTCTTTGAAAAATTTACAAGTACTTATTACACCAAATTGCAAGAGAAATCATTTTATTACTTGTAAATAATGTACATAAAACAACATCACAGAGCAAAGACAGACGAAATTTTGAAAGCCTGCACGTGCTATTCGTAATTTGCGCACGTGTTACAACTTTGCACCCGTGTTACATGAGAATGCACTCGTTTTCAGCCAATCAGAAGCGTGTAATTTCTTCAGGTACATTATTACTCTCTAAAAAGGTGGATGAAGTTTTTTTAATCTTTTGTGTTCTTCCCGATGAACACAGAAACGCTACTCTGTTAGGGTTATATGTAGTTTCTTTTTTATCCCCTCGTGATAGGAAACTCTTCCTTCTTATTCAGATTATCCTACAGACCCGTACTCAGACAATAATCCCTACAACTCTATTTGCTCCCGAGGGGATCTGCTTATTCCATCAGACAGAAGCCCAAGTGGTTGCTATGATACCAAGGTAGAGTTCTGCCGTTGGCTTATAATAACTCCCCATATGGGTAGAGTGAGTTTCGATGGAGTGTATGTAAAGTAAAACTGAGGTTATCGCAATGGACAGTCAGAGCAAAGGCCAACATCACCAGGAGCCAAAGAAGGTTCAGAATAAATTCAAGAAAATTTACTGAAGCGCAGGAAAACGCAAGTTGGTCTGAAGGACAGTGAATTTTTAGAACGTTTGAATGCATGATACATAAATTGTAATTTTGCTTAAAACACGTGATCTAGTTTTGAGACGGAAAAGCACGGGGAAAGATTTGGTTTGTTTGTTTGGATTAAAGAGAAGCAAACCATTATTATCCCGGGCTTCCTTCGACATTCAAACTTTATGATAGATACTTTTGTTGATAGAGCCATACTTCGTTTCACTTATGGAACCCGGAGTTATTTCTCTCCTGTTTTGAAATCTTTTTTGGAAATGTCACCTAAAATCGTTTTCTGTTTTTGTCTTCAGGTGACAGATTATGGGATGGCAAAGTCGTTAATGTCGGAAGCTATCAATGGTCCAACTCACCAGGTAATCTTAAAACCCTTAGAAGACTAGCTGCTTTGTTACCCTCTGAAGCAGCCTCCTTGCTAATAGTTGTGTGTGGTTTAAGAAGAAGCAGTTTTCTGCAGTATTCCTGTGGTACGACAAGCTTGTGACCAGTCAGCGAGGGACGTGTAGCATGCCATGTGACCACTGGAATGCATTTAAATATCACAAAATGCTGACCAAAACCGTTTACAAGTCGTAGTAAACTTTAGGTACGCACTTGGGGTTTAACTCCTCCTCTGCAGATTCCATACTCCACGCGCATTCGATCTGTTTTCTTAGCTTGCTTTCGCGTATGTCGCTTAAAATAATCTTATCTCTTACATGTAAAGTAATGAACGATATTCCACTTATTTTTCTTTTTTCAGGGCTTACCTGTCTTTTGTTGGAGTCATTTCTCTTTTCCAAACAAGCATGTTGGTTTGGTGAGTACAATTTCAATTTAACGCAACATTTTTTAGCCAGAAATTCCTCACACCACTTTATTTCTATAGAGAATGGGGTAAACTTATAAAAGCATTGAGAATGAATACCACGTGATTTCGTCTCCACTTTGTTTCTCTTTCAGCCTGATTGCTATGACTTTGACTTCGTGACCATGAAGCCGAAATTTTAATAGTCAGTAGTTTCCTGGGTCGCCTAAGAGCTAATGATGACGAGTAGCAATTTTTGAATACTTACTACTAATCGGATCTGATTTGTCAGACTCGTCCCTTACAAGAATTACTTTCGTTATAAATCAGAACTTGCCGACGTGAATATTTAAATCCTGAACTTCAGTCAATTTCCAAACTTCAGTTCATTTCTGAATTTCATCCACCTTTTTAATGGAATTTTAGTCTGTTCCAGGCGTGCAGTGAAACATAGCGGCTGATAGCAGCAGTGGAGCAAAAGAAGGGAGCGGGCTTGGGTTGGGGCGCGTGATGAACTTACGCGACTCGATCCAAGCCTCCCTCGTTTTTACGCTCAGCCGCTTCTCTCACACCGCTACCGCGAACTGACTGTACGCCTGGAACGGGCTAGTGGAATTTTGATAATCTGACCATTCTCAGTGGCTAGTGGAAGGCGCCTCCATGATCAGACTTGGAAGATGATTTGTTCAACACAAATGATAGGTCTCTTAAACAACTTTGAAATTAGATAACGCAATATTTATTTAGATAGACGCGATTGCATGCTTACTTTTCTGAGCGCAAAAATTTTCTTAAGGTAAACAAGAAGCCGTCAAAATTTTTTTAGAACATGCAATTTTTTTAAATTTGGAATAGTAATATATTGTAACAGTATAATATTTCTTACTATAAATCGCACAAATCGTCAAAAAAAATCCCCGTCACCCTCTAGTCTAGCTATTAAAATCGTGTGCTTTATTTAGAAAAATTTATTGATGTTATCTACTAGTAAAAATTTTGGAAATTAAAGCATCTTGTTTCTTAGAGCGGACCAGCGTGATAGGTTATCATATGGGGGGGTCCTGGCGGGCCCGAGACCTCCCCCCCCTTTTTAAACCCTTTTTGTCACATTAGCTAAAACATGACATGGTGCATAATGTGTACATCTACGAAAGAATCCCAAAATAGAGCTACCTTTAGGTCCATTTCCTTGGCAAAAAGGCTCCTCCGGAAAGGAAGAGAGGAAGCCATTCAGTTTTCAAGGAAACTGGCTACCACCGGAATGCAAATACCAAGGTAGTCAGATGCATACAAACAAAGAACTAAGGAATCTATTAGAGAATCGATAACTCCGATAGAATTAATTACCTTTTATTCCTTTCTATTGAAATCCATGAGACTGCGAAAGAAAGTGTCAGGAAGTACGTATCATCAATTAGTTGACTTCCGTCGTAGCACTTCCGGAAGTATATTTCCAATAGACTTCAAGTTTTCCATTGGAAAGCATATTTCCGCTGATTGAAGTTATTCGCGTGTCTTGGTCAAAGCTTAAATATGTCGAGACTGACCTGCGCACCATATGGTTTTATATAATATGAGACACGCTAAGAATAATTGCGAATTCCACTTGCAAGTTGCCGTCCAGCGCAGTTTATGAAGTGAAGCCGGACAATTTAGAATTAGTTCTCTACAAGTAAAGCTATACTTACATGTCCGTCACTCAGAAACGCTGAGAAGTATTCGTAACAATTTCAAAGGCAGGCGTACAAATTGTGAATCATTTAAGTCGATCCTCCCACAGCAAGTAGAAACTTGCTGAAGACAGAAATTCTTCACTAGGCGGTACATTCAAACTAACTGGATACTCGTAAAATAGAAGATGACCAATTCACGCCGAATGGCCGATAAAATTATAAAAAGATTAGTTCAGGGAAAAAAGATAGACCCTCGTGAGTAGCGTTTCAATTGAAGGGAAGATTCAACTCCACATTTTCGTAAAACTAAGCCTAGTCCCGAAGGCAATCTACTGTTATCGCCATTCTCTTCTTTATCCAAGAACTGTGTGGGGCTGTGTGGAAATCTTAACAAATCAGATTGCGATGACACTTTTCTGATCCATTTTGATACAAGATGTGCAATTACATAACGAAGCTGTTGACTGTCTCTTGAAGATAACTACTTTGAACAACCCAAACGAAGCACAGCGTAATGGTGGTCTGTACAGATTTTAGCATGGAAACCAAGAGATCGAGACTGTACTTTAAAATATGGCTGAAAACTGTAAGGAAGGTAGCAAAGAAACAGATTTCAGTTTCATTCAAGTACATGGCATTTGTGAGTGTTTCAGACATGCTTTTCACTACAAATGCAGCGTTAGGGAAAATAAACTTGATGACTTGTTTGTAAGGAACAAGGAATTTTCTAAACCATATGGGCATCCACTATGACAGTTTTGGTATAATACGTAAAGGTGCAACCTCTCAGCCACTAGAGCAGTTCAATCAGAATGTGAAGAAGGTACATGGATACATCAAATCCATTATTGGGAAAGAAGAAGAAACAAACCATCTCAAGAAAGACTCAACCATGAATGGCCCTGAAGGATCTGTCTCTCAAAAGATATCATATTTTATCGAGCTTTGGAAGAATGGTGTCAACAGCCTTGTAAGAAAGATAGAAATTATTAACATTGACTACAAAGATAACGTTGATTGGCAAGCTTTACTTACGACACAGATAGAGGATCTACTCTCGGTATCTTATTTTTCTCATATTTCATCTCATGGATAATTACCGTTCCGTGAGGCAAAGATTAGTGAGGAGTGAGACTTCGTAAGATAAGTTAGGGGTTTACCACCGGCAGTGTGTACGCGGAACAGAAACCTGATGCTGTTGCAAGGGTAAAATTTCCAAATGACCAGTGCGAGCAATCGGCTACTGCCTTAATCTCTCACATTCACTCTGTGTGGAGGGGTACGAAGACGATTTGGAGGCTTCTGCCTCAGTCTCTTAGATTCCCTCTGTGGAGGGGTACGAGAGTGGTTCGGAGGACAACGATAGTGAAATAGAGCTTGATTCGGAAGAACTGATCATTTGTAAGCCAATGATAACAATGTCTCGAGGAAAAGAGAAGGTGGGAGTACAGTTTGATGTCTGAGCGCAGAAAGGCAAGGATGTGAAGTAACGTCATGAATGGTATGATGGCCAGCTAGCGTGTTTGTTATTTAAACAGTCTTAGCAGGAAGACATAATTTTGATTTATGCTAATGATTTTTTTGCTAGCAGCACCTACAGATGTGACAAATGTGTTTAAAAAAAAGTTGAAATTAGAACGCTGCTTCACCTTGGAAGTATTGTAAATGCAACGGTTGTCGTCTTCGTAGCTCAATTTGATCTCTCAACCTGCAAAGGAAAATCCCGAGTTCCGTTGCAATACAACAGAAGTAACAATGAAAAATGTCAATAAAGATGAACAGCCAAAAAAAGAAGGACTTAGCTGCAAAGCGAGTCGCTCAAGGGGCGTTATTGAAAAAATTTTTATTTTTTTTACGCTCTACCCTAGAGCTAGTTTGTTCTCTCTTCCTGGTTTTTCCCACTGGCCTGGACTATACTAGAAATTGGGACTTTGATCGCTTCAGATCAGATAGGATACGAGAAATTGGGACTCACTAGTAATCTGATACCGAATAGACTTTGACCTCAAATATTCGTTGCTATGTAGCGTTCTGTTTTGAACACACTCCACAGTGGGCATGATATGCCGTGATGATTTCATCTACCTGTCATGATCTATATTAATTTTTCAACAATATACTATAGACCTGTGCGTTTGATCAAATCCAAACGCAAAGTGCCGTTTCACAGGCCTACCCTATTACAAAAGGACAGACAAATTTGCTCGAAAAAGAACCGTGGACGTTCTATCCGTGAATAATGCGCGCAATGAGAAGGTGATCATTTCTCTGGTTGCTTGGGTTCTTATTTAAACTTGATGTCGATTGAGATTTCCTGTGATGATTACGAAGTTCTTAGACATTCCAATCACGGGTTTGAAAAGCATTGACGCATTTTGCTCATTCTATCTTTTGTGGTTATATCCACAAGAATGCCTCATTGATAATAAAGAAATGATCAAAAATACAAGAACGAGCTAATTCTGTGATCAAGCGGATGAATTAAGCCAGGTTACAATCTGAACTGGTTTATTCGTTCGCCAAAACGTACAGTGCAAGCACAGCAAGAATTTGCTGATTATCGGTGACCTTCTTAGTTTCACAACGTTTTTACAAAGGCCACAAACGATCACGGATTGGATTTTGTTTTGAACAGCCCTATACTAACTTCCATTAGCCTTCTGTAAGTGAAGTCACCTCATTTCGCCTCTTTTTTTTAACGTCGAAGAGATCAGACTAGTAGAAAATCCTGAAAAAAGAATAATAACATGGCGTTGAAGTCGGACATACAACTGAGGAAGTGCGTAAGCGAGCTCCCACCATTACAAAAGGAGCTTTTAAGAGCGGAATTTCGTCATTTAGTTAAGATGAAGTAATCTGCAATCCTAAATCTTCGTTTGTGGCTTATAAGCCAGGTGATAAGCACCAAGTTCTTAATTAGCGAGCGGAAAGTTATTGAAACTTGGTTTTCGATAATACTCAATGCCTAATATTTCTCAACATAGAATCATCAATTCCAGGTTAGAAGCGTCATAAAAATGTTGTGAGCTTATCGTTGGGGCTCTTCGTGCTCGGATTGAGGCAGTTTGAGATCCAAAGGTCCTCTAGTACAGTATTACCACGTGTAAGAAATCTGCTTTGAACATTATTTTAAGAATAAACATTCTGTTTATACTTGAAGTCTCCTTGGAAATGCTATTTGTGACTGGAATTAAATACGGAAGGTTGCGTGGGCAGATCATTGACCGAACGCGGAAGAACGGTTTACGCTAATTGCATTGCTGCCAATCAGAAGTGAACAGAGATCTCGGTATAAATATATCTCCCACCGAAAAGACTGCTTCATACTTGTTACAGAAGAAGAACTAAGGAACCAAAGAACTAATCGAACCAAACCTTTAAACAAATACAAAGGAAAATATGTGGCTGAAAGGAGCACTTTTCGTTATTCTTGTTCAAAATTCGTGCGGAGGATCCTCGCCGAAAGGTCAGCAAAACAATTCTTTTTACAATTCTTCCCGTCATTTTTCTGTTGTTCATCCTTAACGAGTGTGATTCTTTGCCATCCATCTAGTTGTCAACATTGCCTCTTTCTTTTGGTTCCATAAAACTTTGCTATGGACTAAAATAATTACATTTTATTTGAGGCTAGTCTCGCGGACAGAGAACGAGACTCTATCAAATGGACCCGATGATTATGTTGAAACACTTTGTCTTAAATTTAATGAACCAAACATCTCTGAAATCGCAGCACGTCGGGGGTGAACACACATGCATTTAATGAGTGGCGGAAACGAAAGACGTCTCGTCTAAAATAATTTTCGTCTTATGTAGCTCGAATAGCTGACATTTTCTTGAATTCAAGTCGTCTGAGAGTCCAAATTTCTTTTACAAGGATAAATGGGATGCTCAAAACGATAAAGCAGTTAGGAATGAAGGGTAATTATTCATAAGTAATAAAAACATAGGTTAAATCAATTAACCTTTCAACTCTCAAGATCTCATTAGTAACTCTCTTTACTGTCTGACATACAATTCTTATAGTGTCAATTTGGAGAATTTAGTATTGGATCGAGTAATAATTCCTTAATTGATATTTCACTTTATTCTCATCACTTCTATGCTTGATATTGTATTGATATTTTAAGGAGAAATTCTCTCTTGGTCACTCATGGGAGGTAAAGGGTCAAACCACGCTATTCACATTTGTTAGCGGTTTATTCTTATCTCTGCGGTGTTTGTCTGCCCGAACGAATTTTAAATTTGAGTTATAAATTTTAGTTCAGTGGTCAAGTGCAGCCAGGGTAGGATATGACTCGATTCATTTGACGTTCATATGTCTTTTTTTTTTTTTAAAGATAATCAATTGTGTTAAAAAATGAATATTACCCTTTAATGCCGTTAATGGATAGTATTCGATTCCTTTGACATGCACGGCTGATCTTTAAGAATGAAACTCCTGCAGATTGATAAACCATTTTATTTCCACTCTGAAGAAGTTAGAAGGAGCTATTGTAAACCCATTCCATACCATATTGGTCCTCCATGCTCTCAGCTGTACGTTTTCGTTCGCCTCTGTCCATTTTCTTTGCTGTCTTTGTTGCGGAAACGGTAGGGAGTTATCCTAAAGGTAAATATGCACGAAACGGTTTCCTTGTCGATTTGTTTTGTCAACAGTGAACAGTGATTCCTTCAGATTATCTGAAGAATTTGAAGAAACTCACGCTCTCGTATGATGAAGCATTATTCATATTTCCACTTGGAAAACAAAGTATTTAGTTAAACGCTGCGGTACGTAAGTTTCAGCAAAACAGACAGTAGTGATGCCAGCAGTTATCTGTTTATCAAGAAGTTATTTTCGTATGATTACGAACTCTTCGTAGCCTATTCAATATCTTAAAGCTACTATGAAACAAGTTCGCGAGCGACTTTGTTATATTTTGAGATTCAGAACGAATATTTCTCACATGCCTCAGTTAAATCGGGAAACACTTTCTATTTATATGTCCGTATGATTCAAGTTATCAAAGGGGCCTTTTGTCGGTAGTGCGTTACGATTGACAGACTGTCTAGGGGGTGAATACAGTGATGAGACTTAATTACCGAACAAAGTTTCAGACTAATGAAAACATATTAATCGCCAGTTGTTTTGGAATTTAGTTTTCCTTTCAATGGCCGACCAGCTTGAAAGCTTCTTAGTGTTTGTGGATTTGCAAGCCGTCGCCAGATTGTTGAATTAAAGTAAAGGAGGACATTTCCAAGTTTTTAACATCCAAAATAAGCAGAGCATCACTTTAGATACAAGTACTTTCCAATTTTCGTCTCAGTATCGGCAAACAATAAAATAGTTTGAAAACTGCTTAACAACTATTTTCCTTATCTTCACTATTAATTTTATTCAAAGTCAAGTATAGGTCTTCGTCTGGCAGAGGAATTTTTCGACAAGTTTCGTTAAACTCGAACTTCCCAGAACAAATTAAATAATTTATTTTCAAATCTTGGGTTGTTTCCAGTGTTGCAGTTATTTACGGTTACAAGCAGAATGAAAGAACAAAATCAGCCAAAACTGATACAGCGTTTTATAGCTAATTTTTGTGACAGCTGTAAAACGGAAAAATCTCTTTTCAGTCCCGCTGGTTTTATTATATCCGTGGATATCGACTCGAAGCCAGATTCATTTAGCTTTTCGACGCCATCTTGGACTGACTGACACATATAGCCTCGATCTCATGCGGGTATCTATCCGCCTCGATTTCACGCGAAACTTCAAATCCGACGATGGCCGAGTGAATACTTGGGAAAGTATGTAGATAAATTTCACCCAATTGATCGGACGACATGAGTTACTACAAATCTTAACTATGAGTCGCGCCACCGTTTGAGTTCGAAGGTTCATGATTAAAGCCCTTGATTTTATTACGCCGGGTCAAAAATACCCATTCCTAGGCTAAATCAAGGGCATTCTACTTATCCTTGTTCACTACTTATTGATAATAATTAATGAGTGTTTCCTAGTGAACGTCGATTCATATAACATGCATGGCTGAACTTAAAGAATGAACTTCCTGCTTTTGGAAAACCATAACATTTTCTCTCTGAAGAAGTGAGAACGATCTTGTGGTAAACGCCACCTTTGATCACCATATTCTCAGCTAAACGTTTTTTATGTCTCTGTCCATTTTCCTTGCTGTATTTGTAACGGAAAAAGTAGGGACTTATCCCACAGGTAACTGATTGAGCAAACAATGGTTTTCCTTTTTTCTTGCTTCGTTAACAGCAATTCCTACAGATTATTCCGAAAACATTATAGAAACTCGTGCTCTTGTGTGAAGCACAAATCATATTTTCCCTTAGAACACGAAATCTAAAGCTTTGCATTCGTGAACGTAACTTCCATCAAAACAGATAACAGTGATGCCAGCAGTTATCTGTTTATATTGTTTTGAAGTGATTATGGACTCTTTGGGCAGCTTGTTCAATATCTTACAGCCACTTTGAAACAAGTTGGCGAGTGAACGATTAAGATCGATTAATCTCCAGATGTCTGTGTTGAATCGGAAAACACGTTTTATTTATGTCCATATAGTTACTAAAGAGGCCTTTTGTCGCTGTAGGTTACTGTAATCGGAATTAAACTTTTCCCGTGGTGTATTACGATTGAGAGAGACCGTCTAGGGGGTGAATAAAGTGATGAGATTTAATAACCAGACAAATTGTCAGACAAATGAAAACGCATTAATTGCCAGTTGTTATGGAACTTAGTTTCTTTTCAATAGCTGACCAGCTTCATATCTTCCGTTTAGTATTTCGCAAGCGTCGCTAAAGTGTTGAATTAAAGTAACAGAGGACATTTTCAAGGTGTAAAGCGTCCAAAGTTTGCGGAATATCACTTAAAAAATATGTACGTTCCAATTTTCCCCTCAGATATCTATTAACAATAAAAGAGTTTGAAAACTGCTTGACAAATAATTTTTTTTTATTTTCATTAGCAATTCCAACTGTCTTTATCAAAAGTTAATTACAGTTCTTCGTATAGTATAAGAAGACTTCGAAATATGTCCCTGACCTGGAAATAATATGAGTCGTATTTTTCATATCTTTGCAAAAAATTAATTAAATATTAGGTTACTTCCCGCGTGGCAGTTATTTATGGTTACAAGCAGATTAGATTAAAACAAATTTGTTAAAAACCTATAAGGCGTTTTATAGCGTTTTTATGACAGCTGTTAGACGAAAACTATTTCTCCAACTCTTAGTTTATCAAGGCTAGTGTTTCTCCCTCACGATGGCTATATCGGTTTCCTATTCATTTGTTTAAACATGCACCAGTGTTTTTCACGATCGGCTATGTATTCAACAAATTGAAGGTTCCCTAAAGATCCATAACTAAACTGACGCTGTCAAAACAGCTTCAGACCGTCTGTGAAAATTTTTAGCCGCAATTTAATTTAAATATCAATTAGTCCGATCCTTTGAATAGAGAAGGAGGTGGTGCAAGGTCAAACTATCGTTCGGGGGTCCTTTGACTTATTTAGAAAATTTGTAAACAGTTTCATTAAAACAACCCCTTCCTTTCTTTAGTGAATAAAAAAATCAAAAACTCATATAATGCATCAAAAATCAGATCTCCATAAAGAAAACGAATGCTTCAACAAATTCTAATCTCGTCGCTTTCGTTGTTTGAGTTTTTGCTTCACCGCTTATTTCTCCCTGTTTGTTTTGGTAGTTTTAGACGTAAAATCTGCCGGAGGGTTGATAGATAAAAATTCAAATAAAAATGGAAAGAATGCATGAAAAAATTGAGTCCTCTCAAAGGTCAGTAGTCTAAAAGAAGAATAAGTTTGTCCAATATCCGTTTTCTTTTGTAAGGAAACAATTTTCCTGCTTCGCTGTCATGTGCTTCATCGTTTTGTTCTTTCTCTGTTTGTTAGGCAATTTTCTGGTTAATAAGTTGCCTTAAGGTTGATAAGAACCCTGGCGTGGTGTATCGTATCATATGCAATAAAGGTGTTGACGATACTACATTGGTGGTAAACTAGTGATGAATAATTAAAGGGATATCGAGTTTATCCTAGCTATTTACTCATTTCATTTCCTCGTCATTTACTTAAACTGTTCAATTTCTGAGTGCCCCTAACCGAGTGTTCTTTCTGGGTCTGAGGGTGTCGTCCCGACTGGAACGTATGTTCCATTTTCATTCCTTTTAAGGTAAGGCGTAGTGAGCAATTTTTATCGTTTCAAAGAAGCCAGTTCATTTACAATAAAGAGTTCGATCAAGTCCTGACCAACGCACGTGTGAACCATGTTCTCGAAGGAGTTAAGATGTCTCTTATAACATGCATGACTGGTCGCTTGATTGATTAAAAAGATCAACAGATTAGGAAATATAACAACAACTATCACAGCTTCTCGTCGGAAGACTTCAGTTGCGAACTAAGTTCCTAACTGTTCGGAGCATTATGCGTTCAGCTGTTGGTGTCTGTGTTTGCGTGCAAATTTTACTTGTCATCGTTGTCCCAAACTATGCGGTGGATTTTCCTAAAGGTAACTATGTCGTAAATTGTTTTCTGTTCTTGTTTCGATTTCAATTGATGATGAGAACGCATAACCACCGCGAAGTGATCTTAAGCTAGTACTTTGAGACACTGCTACTCTGTTTGATATGTGACTTTCAACTAGACTCGTTTCTTCGTAATGCAAATATGTATTTCTTGAAAACCGTTGGAATGGAAGTTCTTCTCGGACTTTGACGCAATTGTAACGACATGTGTATTCGACAGCATTTCACATGCCTCATTTCATGACAATCATAGGTAAAAATATTTCAACTCTGCAATGGCAAAATCTCTTGTTTACTGTCGTGCTTATAAAGCTTGGACGTGCTGTTTCAGAATTTTTAATCCACGAAAGAGAAAGATCTTACGTTGTACGTCATGATTTTCTCTGCAATTCTGAGTACGTCCTCTACTCGATATGCTCAATATATGGCATTGCATTTCCTTTTCCTCAGTAGTTTTGACGCACGATTTCTTGAAAACTACACTATTGCCAGAATTGCGTTTTATTTCAATTCCTTTGGTTAAAGCTACGTCACTACCCAATTAGGTTAAAGCTATCCGAAAATTTCCTATGTAACAGGGTCAAGCGAACTTGATCACAAGTCTCTAGCATAACCCATTAGAAATTCAATTCATCAGGAAAAGATTAATTTTATTTTACCCAATTCAACCTTATAATAAGGTCTCAGAGGTTTTAAGACGAATCTAACAACCGTTCAGTGACATGATGCAACTCAATGCGATTTCATTGAACATTTTCTCGAGACATTTATGATAATAAAATTACACATTGTTTCAGTTGTTAAGGTCTGCTTTGACAAGTTCCAATATCATTGTTAGTTAACGAGACAAACAAACAAATGAATCAATGTTAAAATTTCCCTCTCATTAGCATCACAATAGTTCTTGAAAAGTTTCAGGTCATTTTATTATCTTGTCTGACTCTCTTTTGAAATTGCCGAAAACAAACTAAACAGGAGTCCGCTTGTTCCGCTCCTTTCTTCATCTTGAGGTGGTACTGATCGCAGATTTCAGCAGTAAACTCATGATCGCTACAGAGAACAGATGCAACTAGAATTTTCCATATAACCTGGAGTAACCTTTCTATTTATTCAAAGATCAGTAATTCAAATTGTGATTGATGGTGTCTGGGTTTGCTTTTGATTGTCGATTAAGGAGTATAATTAACAGGAAAACCACTAAAAGGCTCATGTAGGGTTTGTACATAAGCGGTTTAGTTGCGGATCAAGGAATATCGAAGTTGGCGAATTCAGATTGATTAAAGGAAAAGGGCACCACATAAAAAAATTAATTCGAAAGGAAAACGCCTTGTTTCGATAAAGGCGCAATTAAGAAGGGGGCACTTCGGAGCAATTAACTTCAAAGACGAATCGATGAGGCATAACATTTATCTCTGCATTATAATGAAGAGCCCTAATTTTAAATACAATTATAAAAAGCTCTGATTTCCATTGCTGTTGGCGCAAGTACAAAAACAAAAAAGAGAAAAAAAAAAAAAAACGTCATAAAACATGGCAAAACAATAAGTCCAAAAACGAGTTATTTCAGTGAGTTACTTTCTCAGTGGGTAATCGTTTCCTCTTTGAGAGAAAGTGTTTCACCGGAAACGAAGAAAGTTCCAATCTCTTATAGGAGGTTCAATTATCACTGCTTGAGCACTTGCCTCATTGTTTTCCATTTTCTCTATTTTTAGCATGAGATATAATTAATTTTAGTTGGATTCTATCCTTGGGTTCTATAAATAGCTATAGAAGGTGTTAACGACAGTCTTCAAGTTGCCAAATGATAAAACATGAGATATAACCACGCCTTTAACATTACTAAAAACAAGACTGAGAAACATCGACGTCCGAATAACCCATAAAGCCTACACTCTAAGAAACGCCCTATCCAAGAGAGACGAACCAGAATGTAAACGCACCAACTGCCCTGTTGCACACACAAAGTTTTGTTTACGCAGATGCACCATCTACAAGATCACATGCGTCAAATGCCACCAATTCTACGTCGGCAGCACTTACCGACATACATAAGACCGCGTAAAAGAAATTTAACAACAACAAATCTTCTGTGTTCACGCACTTACTCGCATGCCAAAGGATCACCAAAAACGTGAAAATAAAACATGACATTATATCATAACGTATTTATTCAAGATGAAAAAAAGAAAAATAATGAAACATCTTGAAAAGGAAGACTGGAGGTTGACCCTATGACGTTTTCCTAAAATTATCGACAACCACAATGAACCAGTAAACCTTCTCCTCCTCGAGGCACTAAAGATTAGAAAACCTAAGCCCGAAATCAACTCTAGGGAGGAGTGAGCCGAACTCGTTGACCTTCTATTCTGCCAACACTACATTTATTTTCTGCTAAGACCTTTCGTTCTAACTATTTCTACCGCATTTACATTCCTGCCATTGTCCTGTCTTATTGTCTGCTGAACCCTGATTACCTAGCCTAACACCTCGCCCGATATACTCTTCACTTCAAAGATTCCCTCTACATTCCCTGATGATGCCGTAGATCGGCGAAAGCTCGAAAGACTGAATTATCGTAGCATACCTGGCCTAACTTGATTTACACGTCTGACAAGATTTATTGGTTGAAAGTTTTTTTTTTTCTGGCAAACCATAAACAGCTTTAAACTTTTCCTCTTTTGGAGGAAAAGCGAATGAAGAAACATTCCGTCAAGTGTTATTTGCGTGAAGGAGTCGGCCAACATAACTAAAATTTCTGCAATGCCATAGCCACGACAGGAAAAGCGTTGTAATTCCTTTGCTTTGAAACTTATGCCACGTCACTCAAGTTCCTCATTTTCAAAACGTCTCCGTTCGTCATTTTCAAAACATCTCCGTTCGTCATTTTCAAAACATCTCCGTTCGTCATTTTCAAAACATCTCCGTTCGTCATTTTCAAAACGTCTCCGTTCGAAACTATTCGCGCGAGTTCTTCTCAGCTAAACCGCTTTAGTTTTGTTTCAAGGGCACCTAAATTCAGCGACAATAGGCTGTTTTGGAGAACTAAACAAATTCACTTTCAAGACGCAGCCAAGTGGCAAAGTTTTCTTGGATCTAATGGTCTCTTGCGTATGAATTACTAATCATTTTCGCATGTACATTTTAACAGGTCCCGGATGTGGTGCGCTTCTTACAGACAACCTTGTCAATTACACGACTAAAGTAGGGTCTTCTTATAATGACAGCTTTGATGAAAGTCATATTTTTCTGAATAGTACAGGGGCTTGGTGTGCATTGTGGAATCACGGACTTGTGTATCCAGAGTTCACTTTCGGTAAGGAATATTTACCCTTAAGAGAAAGTTAATCAATTCAAATTATCTCCACCTTAAATTTCTTTTCTCCTCTTGGCTTAGAACATCTTTCAGCTACTCAAAAATTCGAGATAAATCTATGTTCATTCGTACGATGAAAGATTTAAAATACCCCTTATGTTCGCAGATGCTTATCCCTACCATGACGCGCGTAGAAAATTTTAAGCATGGTTGCCTTGCGTGCCAGCTCAGCCAAATATCTTTCTTGAATTTTTATGGGCCGCGCTCACAGCTAAGGCAAACTTTCAACAATGTTGACGCTTGATAAAAAAATCATGATTATCAGAAAGAAGGACTACAAAATGAATTAAAAGAACTCGCCGCGGGTTTTCTTTGTTTTGAAAGAAGTAGTGTTAACTGTTTTGTCGCCAGGACTACTCATAAATTTTCTTTTGCAAACTTTGGGAAGCAGTCGTGAAATAATCATTGTATAAACCGGCAAGAAGCACTTTTGTCTTATGGGGAGTTCAAAACATATAACCAGGAACTTACAATCTCGAAATCTTGCCCACACACAGCATTGTTAACGACAGAGTTTTAATGAGACAGATTTTGACTATGATAGTTTTATGGTTTGGCAGCTTTTGGTTACGTAAAAAGGTTTTTTTTTGTGACTTAATATCGAGAATAATATTCAAATTTTTTTATTTTTTTTTACAGATAAGCAAGTCAACATTTCTGTATTTGCATATCAAGGGCGAAGTAACAGCCAAGACTATGTCACGAAGCTCTTTATTTACTTCAAACGTATCAATTTATGGAATGTCTTTTGGTCCCATTATCCAACGGATGATAACGTTGAGGTTGTTAAAATCACTTGATTAAATTCTCTCTTAGTTTAGTTAGATTATAACAATAATAATAATCAACTTTTTTTTTCGAGGGTGGCACTTGACAGTATAAAGTACTAATAAACTCGTGGCCCTCAAGATTACGACCACGCCGGGTGCTGTGGCCGTCTGTTTTTCATATTTTATGAGACAACAAGAAAAGAAGAGAAATCAACCCGTAAGGAAACCTCAATTTTTTTTCTTTGTAAATATCGTAGTATTTTGATTACGCACCGACCACCGATGGAGACGAAATTGCGTACTTCCCTCTGAATGGACTGGTGGCTCAGCGAGTAAAGATTAGAGTTCAAACATGGAATAAAATCTGCATGCGGGTTGAGTTATATGGATGTGTAGTAGGTAAGTGACTATGTGACTATGACTGCACAGTAGTGCTTGCTATTAAAGATCAATCATTCCCCTCTTAGCTTGAGAGGAGGGGTTGAGAGGTTGGAGTTATATGGATGTGTAATAGTTAAGTGATTATGAATGTACAAGTGAGCTTGCCATTAGAGACTAGTCATTCCCCTCTTAGCTTGGGAGGAGGGGTTGAGAGGTTGGAGTTATATGGATGTGTAATAGTTAAGTGATTATGAATGTACAAGTGAGCTTGCCATTAGAGACTAGTCATTTCCCTCTTAGCTTGGGAGGAGGGGTTGAGAGGTTGGAGTTATATGGATGTGTAATAGTTAAGTGATTATGAATGTACAAACGTGCTTGCTATTAGAGACCAGTCATTCCCCTCTTAGCTTGGGAGGAGTGGGGTGGGGTGGGGTGGAGGTTGGAGTTATATGGATGTGTGATATGTAGGTCACCATTTGCTATTAGAGACTAATTATTCGCGTTTTAGGGAGAGGGAGGGGGGAGGGGGGAGGGGGGAGGGGCAAAGGTGTTTTTCAGTTGTGCCCGATAACATTTCTCTGATCCTCATAGGTCTCTGTAGTATTCCTATGTTTCTCCATTCCCCCTCCCCTCTCCTCCCTCATTAACAGCAAGAGGAACACCTTATCCTCTCTTGTTGGAATTTGGTTTGCAGTCTAGTACTGTAGTCCCTCTCCCCCTCCCCCCTCTTTAAGCTCTGATGGCGACAAGTGATTCCCCTCCTTTCCTTTCTGAAAACCAGGTGACTCCCCTTAAAAAATGCTCTTCTTCGGGCAATTACAAACAAGTTTATGATGGGCACTTTACATACTGTCAATCACGGCAAAACTACCTCCCTCCTAGTTCATTTAAACATCACCTCCCTCCTAGTTCATTTAAACATCTCTCTAGAGTCACTAGCTTCCTATATATGAGAGAAGATTTATTAAGCAAAATGTTTTTACATGGTCTAATGCAAGTCAAGTTTAAGACTCTTTCACCCCTTTCCGATACCACTCCTTTCCCAACTCCCTCGATACTCACTGGGCCAGTGTCTTAAATTGTAGAGTCTAATTTGCTAGTCATGTCTTACCCACACCATTCTCAAATATTTGTGTGTGCTCGAATAAGCAACAATAAAAGTGTTATTTATTAACAGTTAATGGGGGATTCTCGAATTGGTCAGATTGGACTCGGTGTTCCAATCCATGTGGTAACGGAACCAGTTTTCGAAACAGAACGTGCACCAATCCCGCTCCGCTTCATGGCGGAAAGTATTGCGAGGGAGACTTTAACGAGATGATGGACTGTGTAGGAAATGAGTGTCCAGGTGGGTGAAGAAACAGTAACCATTTCCCAACCCTCCTTTTTGTCGTCAACCTTATCCTCTCTTGTTGGAAGTTAGTTTGCAGTCTAGTTCTATAGTCCCTCTCCCCCCCCGTCTTTAAGCTCTGTTGGCGACAAGTGATTCCCCTCTGTTCCTTTTGAAATCCATGTGACTCTCCTTAAAAATACTCAACTTCAGGCAATTACAAACAAGTTTATGATGAGCGCTTTGCATACTGTCAATCACGGCAAAACTACCTCCCTCCTCGTTCATTTAAACATCATTCTAGAGTCACTAGCTTCCTATATATGAGAGAAGATTTATTAAGCAAAATGTTTTTACATGGTCTAATGCAAGTTAAGTTTGAGACTCTTTCACCTCTTACCGATACCACTCCTTTCCCAACTCCCTCGATACTCACCGGGCTAGTGTCTTAAATCGTAGAGTCTAATTTGCTAGTCATGTCTTACCCACACCAGTCTCAAATATTTGTGTGTGCTCGAATAAGCAACAATAAATGTGTTATTTATTAACAGTAAATGGGGGATTCTCGAATTGGTCAGATTGGACTCGGTGTTCCAATCCATGTGGTAACGGAACCAGTTTTCGATACAGAACGTGCACCAATCCCGCTCCGCTTCATGGCGGAAAGTATTGCGAGGGAGACTTGTACGAGATGATGGACTGTGAAGGAAATGAGTGTCCAGGTGGGTGAAGAAACAGTTACCATTTCCCAACCCCAATTTTTGTCGTCAACTATAGATAGGGGACCTTATGAAACAATAATGGCGACGGAAACGAAGACTTGGCAAAACAAAAGATTTCATGGGCAGAGCAATTGCTCAGCACGTGCGTTTTAAGAATTTGTACATTTCTTAGCCGTCCTCTACAAAACAAGGACATTAAATAACCAAAATTTGCGTAGTCAAAGAAAAGAGAGCTCGACGTCGAATTATTTAAGTTTCCTTTTGGGACTCAATGCTGCTCGGGTACCGGCGTCAGTGCTGAAGTTGAGATGTGGCGCCGTGACGAACGGTTAATTTGGTAAAAACATGCCGCCATTCGCGGAAATTCTAACAAAAGATATGAGATCCCTTTTTTCATTAATGTGTTCCTCGGCGTTGCTGTCCTGGCTGTTTAAGGTCCCTATTACATGGTCCGTGTACTTGTGCCTCCAAACCTTGCATCGTGTATTGACAGATTCAGACCTCGAGGTAGAGTAATGGCGTCTTAGAAAAAAAACAAACCTTTCAGCTGTTTTTAGCATATAAATATTAACTAAAAAATAACAGAATAAGGGTGAAGGAAGAGAGAGATTTTCGTGGACTGTTCTGGTGCACAAATAGCTTTTGGTGAAGAATTATCATGAATAAGGTATCATAGCTTAGTTACGAGAAAACTTAAGTAACGTTTTCACTTTTTAATCAGTATTCAAGTCCAGCTGGGAGACAAAATATCCTTTATTCATTATTGCGTTTTGCGCTTGGTTTCACAGTCAATGGAGGCTTCTCTGATTGGTCCGAATGGAATACCTGCAGTGTGACCTGTGGGACCGGATTCCAATTACGTCAACGAAATTGCACCAATCCCCCTCCGGCGCATGGTGGGCAAAAATGTGACAGCGAAGATTTCACAGAAGTGCGAAACTGCACAGCGTCAGCATGCTATGCAAAAGGTAAATGTATATCAAAATGTTGTTCTTTCTTCTGCATGATAACTTTGCTATACAAAAATATTTTGTGCTTTCAATAAAAAATTTCCTTTTCTGTTTTACTAGTACAAGTCACAAATACCAATTCTAAGTCGCTGACAGAATCGGGAATTTCTATTATTTCTCTTCGCTATTTTTTTGCACGCGCCATAGTTCAGCAAACACGAAAGAAAAAGATTAAGCACTTTTAAATTACCCACCTTCTCGCACAACAATCAAAGAGCTGAAAATAGCACGGTGTTTATATTAACTACATATTACAATGAAAAACTTTCTTAGGGATAAAGCATGTATTGTTGTGCTAAACAAAGCACCAAGGCAACAGTGAAAGCATTTACAAGTATGAATCAAACATACCATAGAAATTTCGATCCATCAGCGGGCTTTGATTGCTAGAGGAGGGAATACATATTGAAAGTAACTCATTAAAATTTAAATTAATACAGTTAAATCAAGTCATTTGACATATTCAGTTGTCATCGTTGCATCAGTCAAACAGTACCAAACTGAAAATAAATAATCGAAGAAAAACTCTTTCAAGTGAAGTGTCTCAATTGCATCAGTCAAACAGTGCCAAACTGAAAATAAATAATCGAAGAAAAACTCTTTCAAGTGAAGTGTCTCAATTGGACACGATTGATACATCTCCTAACCGGCCAACACTAAAAGAAAAAGGAAAAGTGCCAAAACTAGAACTGCTCAGCTGTTTTTGTTTGTTTGCTTGTTGTACACAATGATTGACCATTAAGCGCCGTGGGCGAGTACAATAAATAAAATCAAGTCATCGTCGACTGAAATTTTAAATTAAAAAATTATTGTGGCCTTCCTTGTTTCCCAATGCTCTAAAGAACTAACTCTGAAGAAGTAATTACCTGAGCTGCCTTTCGTATGATTATCTTTAGGCTGCACTGCTATCTTACGTTACTGTTGCGGGGGCGATGAAATTACTCTGGCAATGTATCGCCAGAACGATATGTCGCGATGACGTAAACCTTACTTTAAGGTAAAAAGCTACAGCGATATTTCGCTAAGGCGATTTAACGTGATGATGCACCTAGCCCTACGATATATCAATGATATATCAACGATTTATAGTATATTGTTGAAACAACATTTCGTTGAAACGATATATCAGTGGAACGAGATATCACAGGAAATCTCTGATATCTCATCGATTTATCGGCAATATTTTGGAAATAAACAAAGCGCTTTATTCGACGTTATAAACCAACAAATACTTTTACCCGCGTGCGATAGGTCTAAACGCATTATGTAATCGAATATTCCCCAGCTAAAGCTGGGAAACATCCGAGGATGTACCTCAAGTGATATTCCCCAATTAAAAAAACTTACGTTAAGGCTTCGTTTAAAAGCTAATTCAAGATGAGGAAGCGGTTTGTGGTTGTTGTAGAAGAAGGGACTTGTGTGTTTTTTTTATATAGTCATATCAGAGAGCAATTAAAATCGAACATCCTATGCAATGAACGGTAAGCTGTTCTAAAACATTTATTGCTACAAACTGCAAAATATTTGGAGAATAATAATCGCAATAGCTTCGATTTCGCACAAAATTATGATGGGATCTTTGTTCTTGGGCATACCTGTTCCTCGAAGCTCACAGTTTAAATCGAGCTTCGCTCTCGGAAACTCTTCGCAAACTATTCGCATCTCGGAACAGATAATGTTCAAGGCCAAATATGCGCGCTTACTTTCGCGCCACATAGAAGCCACTGTTTTTATAGCCGTTTGCATTACTTTTGCATAGTGCTGTTTATTATCAAGAATCTGGTCATTTTTAGGGTTTGAGTAGTCAAGAAATAAGGTATAGGCATGGCAGTAGTATTCAAAAGAGTTCTCTGCTTTATTTTGAAAGTTGATGGAGGTTTTTCAGAATGGTCTAACTGGACAACTTGTAGTGTGTCGTGTGGGAGTGGATTCCAATTACGTTATCGAAACTGTACCAGTCCCCCTCCAGCACATGGAGGAAAAAGTTGTGAGAGCAGGAATTTTACAGATGTACGAACATGTTTGATGGGCGCTTGCAACTTGCCAGGTAATTATGTCAACGTTATTTTTGATATTGTTGAGGTTTATTGGCACCATAATGTTCTATGGGAAAAATTTCAACTTTTGACAAGTATTTCAGAAAAGAAAAATGTTGTTGTTCGATTGTGGTCTTAATCATTCATTTATATTCGTAAGAGTTTTGCGGTTTTGTCTCAACAGTTGATGGCGGTTTTTCTGAATGGTCCAATTGGACCACTTGTAGTGTTGTGTGTGGAACTGGATTCCAATTACGTCATCGAAACTGCACCAGTCCTTCTCCGGCTTATGGAGGAAAAAGTTGCGAAAGCAAGAATTTCACAGAAGGGCGAACATGCGCGATGGGACCTTGTCAGTTACCGGGTAATTATGTTTTTGTTTTACTTATCGTTGTTATTGTGGTAATTTTTGCCCAACATGAATGTCTAAGGAGGAGATTTATATTTTTGTCCCGCCATCGAAAAAAGAGGAAATCTTAATTCTTCCACAGGCCCTGTCATATCATTGATATTCACGAGAATGTATTGTTTCGTTTTGACAGTTGATGGAGGTTTTTCAGAATGGTCCGACTGGACAACTTGTAGTGTTTCGTGTGGGAGTGGATTCCAATTACGTTATCGAAACTGTACCAGTCCCCCTCCAGCACATGGAGGAAAAAGTTGTGAGAGCAGGAATTTTACAGATGTACGAACATGTTTGATGGGCGCTTGCAACTTGCCAGGTAATTATGTCAACTTTATTTTTGATATTGTTGTGGTTTATTGGCACCATCATTTTCTGTGGGAAAAAATTCAACTTTTGACAAGCATTTCAGAAAAGAAAAATGTTGTTGTTCGATTGTGGTCTTAATCAATTATTTATATTGGTAAGAGTTTTGCGGTTTTGTCTCAACAGTTGATGGCGGTTTTTCTGAATGGTCCAATTGGACCACTTGTAGTGTTGTGTGTGGAACTGGATTCCAATTACGTCATCGAAACTGCACCAGTCCTTCTCCGGCTTATGGAGGAAAAAGTTGCGAAAGCAAGAATTTCACAGAAGGGCGAACATGCGCGATGGGACCTTGTCAGTTACCGGGTAATTATGTTTTTGTTTTACTTATCGTTGTTATTGTGGTAATTTTTGCCCAACATGAATATCTAAGGAGGAGATTTACATTTTTGTCCCGCCATCGAAAAAAGAGGAAATCTTAATTCTTCCACAGGCCCTGTCATATCACTGATATTCAAAAGAATTTAATTTTTTTCGTCTTGACAGTTGATGGAGGTTTTTCAGAATGGTCCAACTGGACAAACTGTAGTGTGCCGTGTGGCACTGGATTCCAACTACGTCATCGAAACTGTTCCAGTCCCTCTCCGGCGCATGGAGGACAAGGTTGTGAAAGCAAGAATTTTACAGAAGGGCGAATATGTGTGATGGGACCTTGTCATGTGCCAGGTAATAAAGTTGTTCGTATTATTGTGGATTGTTTTGGTTACAACCGAATTGTCTAAGAGAAAGATTTCAATCTCTGAGAAGCCATTTAAAAAGATGATTTTTGATTTGCTATCGTAATTTTTGTCATGTTTTGACAGTTAACGGTGGTTTTTCTGAATGGTCTAACTGGACAACTTGTAGTGTGTCGTGTGGGACTGGATATCAATTACGTCATCGAAACTGTACCAGTCCCCCTCCGGCGTATGGAGGACAAGATTGTGAAAGTGGGAAATTCACAGAAGGACAAACATGTGTGATGGAAGCTTGCCGATTGCCGGGTAACTAAGGAAAAATTATTGTCATTTTTGTTATTGTGGTTACTCTTTGCATCATAATTAACTAAATAGAATATTATAATATTTAAAAGCGGAACTCGTAGCGCGCGCAGCGTAGCCCCATAATTATACGAAATAATAGTAACCCAGCAAGCCGAATAAACTTTGGACTTGACACCGTACGACCGACCGAACAAGGTGCTATTTTTAGCATGCGCGGCCTACTGTACCATTACAGTAGACCATTACGTAATGGAAGCGCGAGGAAGAAGGTAGTACGTAGGCGCGATTGCGTGCATAACCTGGATACCTTATTAGTGTGCGCCAGGAGACACCGGCAGATGACAATGAAGTGCGCATACTCGAGTGTCGAGCTTCAGTGTAGCGTACTGCGGGCATACAGTTAGGAATTCCATAAGGGCTTCACGTGGGCTAATAGATGTGAAGCCGCGTGAGCAAATAATTTGCAACCCGCGTTTTAAGCGGGAAATCAAACTGGTGAGGTTGAAGTTGAACAGTAATTCTCAGTATTTTGCAATTTCTAATGAACTCGCATGCAACAATACCGGTAGAGCTCAACATTTTTCAACGGGAGGAAATTGTTATAATTCAAGTTCGTGAAGAGAGAATTTTGAGTGAAAAAAAGGCTGAAAGGAAAGAGACAGAGCGACCGAAAAAAGCAAGAAGTAAAAAGTGAAAGCAAGTCGAGAAAAACGCACAAGAAAGTTAGAGAGGACACAAAAATAGGCAGAATACGGCGAGAGGAACGCGAAAGAGAACAAGAAAGACGTAAGTAAAAAGGCGGTTATCTAGCGAAGAGCAACGCGAGAAAGAAATACAAAGGCGCTCCTGAAAACAGACTGAAAAGAGGTCATCAACAAAGAGAAGTGAACTAAAAAGGATCCGGGAAAGAAGAAGAGGTAAGTCGTGTCTTATCTGGGTTTTCTCTCACGCTAAGGCCCAGAAAAATTCAAACCTTTATTATCAATCGTCGTTTGATACTAGCTTCAGTTTAAAATTAAAATCACGTTTCGATAAAACAATGGCTTTGGCATTCATCGCCTAAAAACCCTCGCGCCGGTTCATCTCTCGAATAACATTTCAAAGTGTTCGTATTCTTCATGGTATTTCTTTTCCTGTCATTTGAAATGTTTAATACAGTTGTGTTATTAATTAAGGGAAAAGAAATCATCTTATAGATTTTGTTTTGCCTGGAAAGTTTTAAGACGATAGCGAACGGCGAGCGCAAGTTTCAACCGCTTTCTCTCTTCAGTTAACTATCGCAGGATTTACTCTATTTATTAAAAAAAAGCACGCTATGTCGAAAAAGTGTTGGTTTGCCCCACGACCAAAGTAATGGCCTTTCCTTAAATTGAAATAAAATGAGATTGAGTCAGCAATGTCCATGTTTACATCAAGTTTGACGCGGTAATTTAATTTGACAATATTGTCACGGTGAGAACCCACCGAACATCTGAGAATTAAATTATGGACTGTAAAGGTGTGGTGCAAACAAACTTACAGGTAAAATGGATTTAGTCCTACTGCAGGAGAAGTGAAGTTCATTGTTTGGTCATGGTACTTTTCAGCGCTATGTTTTCATGCTTTCTACTGGATTCGTTCGAACTTCCGGAAATGGTTTGTCTTACAAAACATGGAGCCACTTTCTCTTCGCTCTACATCTTGAGGCGTACTTACTGCTCGAGTTATGATGAACATGCTTGCGATACGATACGATAATTTTTTCCTAATGCTGGAAACTGAGGAATCAATCTCTGAAATTGATAGTCATCACATTTTGCAAGAGGCGTCCGAGCTGTGGTCGTGTAATTAAACGGGTTCCTCGCAATTTGAGCTCACAAGCACGCTGGTAAGCACATGGTTAGCGTAAATTATTGTTGTTTCCATTTTTCGAATTCAAGAGCCGTTTTTGAGAGTCCGTTTGTGTTACCTTCCTGGATATTTTCTGTTGAATTAATTGAGGTACAATCTCGGAATTTCATAAGTGGTTATGAACGATAGATTCGTATCGGCACCGTAATTTAGGGAGGTTTTGTTAATACATCATCAGTTTACAATTTGAGAACTATTTCTATAACTTGCTTGGATATTTTCTTTTGAATTAATTGAGTCACATTCTCGGAACTTAATCAGAAATTAAGTACGATAAATCCGTATATGCAGCAAAAGTGAAGCACATTTTAAACTTTCCATACGATTTTATACTTAATTGACTCTCGATAAATTGGCCTGCCATAACTCGTTGATTATTTTATTATTTTGTAGCCCCAAAAGCCCGGCTTATGACTTTGGAGGTACTGAACTTGATATATTTGATACGCAAGGCACCCTTCAAGAAAGAAGGTTAGAGTAAAATTGCTTTTACGACCGTATATTGCACCCGGTTTACATATGTTGATAACTGCTTAGAAACCACCTATTAAAGCTATATTCAGAAGCATAGACATGTAGCTTATATGCTTCTGCTTTATTTTTATTGTATGGGGTTTCTTTTTGTGTAACATATACCCATTCCTTTAATCTCCACCTTAACCTACCTGCAAATAATTAAATTTTATGTTTTAATTCAAGTGTTTGAAGATAAAACAGAAGTGCTTCAGAGCTCTCTTTCCAGATTGAATTCAGGTAAGAACGTCAGCAAACTAGTTGATGTCATATGCTTCTCTTGAATTTTTAATTTTATTGCCCTGGTTTTTTTTCAAAAAGCCCTTTTTATATCTCTGTGTACCAGCTAATGATCAAAATCTCAGTGAATAGATGTGCCACATTTTAGTAGTTTTTTTTTAAATTCCATCTTTAAGTGTTTGGTATGTACTAGTTTAAAATTCATAAATGGCATTCTCTTTTCATTCATGTAAAGAGATATTACACATTTCTTTAACTAAAATCTGAATCATGAAGTCAACATAATTTCAATGAGTTTGAAACTTCATTGTATATAAGAACACTTCACTAGAGTATGTCACATTTCTTTGCTGTCTTTCTGGTACATATGATTACCATATGTGTCTTAACCCTTTAACTCACAAGATTTCAGAAGTGATTCTCCTTACTGTCTGTCATAAAATTTATGTCATGTTAGTTTGTAGAATTTGGAATTGGATCAACCCTTAATTCATTAATTGATATTTTTCTGTATTCTCATTACTTGTCTGCTTGATATTGTACTGAAAGTGTAGGAAAAATTCTGTCTAGGTCACTAGTGGGACTAAAAGGGTTAAAATTGGGGATTTCATCATATTGCAACGATTAAAATTTTCTTATCCTTTCAAATGTAACCAAAAAAAAAATATATGACGAGAATGTGATGTTATGAAACAATGGAAAAAGCTGTTGCTGGTAGCCTACCAGTATGTCTGTAATGTTTCAATGTTCATGGGAAATACTTTTCTTTGAAAGCGAAGATGCAGAATGTCGTAAAAAAAGGTTGTGGTTATTCATTGTGGTGAATAACAATAAAAGCCAGGTTTTTTTCGTTTGTCTCACGATGTAGTCACGTGTGATGTAGATCGTGATATTTCGACTGCATACTGCTAGTCTTCTTCTTTTGAAAGAGACTAGCAGTATGCAGTTGAAACGTCGCGATCTACATCACACATGACTACATCGTGAGACAAACGAAAAAACCCAGCTTTTATTAAGGATATAGAAGTTTTCAAAGCTGATAGAAATAAGCTGTTTGCAAGTAATGAAAAGCAAATTGATGATCATACCTTAATGCTTGACATGCTTCACTCAAACATGTCAGTTGTGTGTATCTACCAATGTAGATATGCCTTTAAAAATATTCCTTGGTGTGGCTGTTGTTCTTTGTTGATCGTCGTAGCCAAAAAAGCTAATAAAGGCACTAAAATTCAATATTTATGTACACAAGGCACCCTCCAAGAGGAGAAAACCATAGAATGATATTTATTAGGCACTTGCACTTACCATGATTATATATTCAAGCAATACTCTACATATGTAAAACTGATTACATGATGTCTTTAACCCTTTACACCTTAACAACAGTATGCTTATTTTCCATACTGTCCTCTTTAACAGTCACAAGGTTCTTCAGTTGATTATTGTTTCCCTTATTCACATGACCTTAAAGCTTGATTCAGGGATGATATTTAAAAGAGAAATTAGATGCTAGTCACTCTCAGGGATTAGAATGTTAATAACTGTAAACATTTTATATGCTCCTTGCATTTGATGGCAACAGTAGTTAATGTTGTTGAGAGAGCAAACAAACAAATGAACAGAAGACAGTAAAATGAGGTAAACTATGAACTCAGTTTACTATATGATAGAAGAAACATCCCAGAATACTTAAGTAGAGAAACTTGGATTGTACTAGGTAATATCCTTTATTGCCCTTCATGTTTTTCATTCAAATAAAATTTAATCAGTTGAAGCGTTTGCCTGCAATGTGTCAAATTACTAGTGTAGACTTGATTCTTCTCAGTTGTCAGCTCATAAAAGACAGATACTAAGAATAGATGTCCATAAGAAAAAGTACACACCATCAAAAACATCACAGTGAAGTGGTGGTGTGATTGATTTGGGATATTTAGAATGACAGAAGCAGGAAAAAAAACACTGAGCTTTTTCCTATTTCGTAATAAGTTAATTAGATTTCGAAATCTATATTCAAACTAGGTGAATTAATTAATATCATGCTTCATTATGGTTTGTTTACATGGAAAGGTAATTATTATTATAGTTTACAGATGTTTTGTTTGCCATCCCAGTTAACCCTTTAACTTCCCAGATCAAATTTGTAATTCTCCTTACTGTCAACCATATAATTCTTATAATGTTAGTTCAGAGAATTTAGTATTGGATCAACTAATTATCCCCAAATTAATATTGCCTCTATTCTCTTCACTTATCTGGTTGATATTGTATTGATATTGTAGGGAAAAATTCTCTCTTAGTCACTCATGGGAGTTAAAGGGTTAACATTTATGACAAAGTTCTATTTAACACAGCATTTAACATAAATGCAATGTTTCAAGAATTTTTTTCCTTTCTCTTCAATACCATTTACTATTTCTGGAGCACAATTAATCCTTTAACTCACAAGATCTCATTGGTAATTCTCCTTACTGTCTGCCATATAGTTCTGGTGATGTTAGTTTTGAGAATTTGGTATTGGATCAACTAATAATTCCCTGATTAATATTTTTATTTATTCTTATCACTTGTCTGCTTGATATTGTGTCAATATTGTAAGGAGAAATTCTGTCTTGGTCGCACATGGGAGTTAAAGGATTGAAGGAAGCAGGTTATTGGAAAAATTATAACTTTTCATTTAGGTAATTATTTGAATATATGAGTAACATTTAATGTTTTTACATGAAACAGGATGATCAAGCTGAAGATAGCCTCAAAAAGGAGTGAATTCTACTGTAATAATCAGGTGACTAATTTGGAACTTGAGCACTTCGTAAATACACCTCGGCTTGCAATTCTGATGATTAAAGTTTGCTGGGGCAATTGAAATGTCAGTCCCTATGCAGGAACTTTCCACATGGCCTATACAGTCATATGATATGAGATAACTTAAGAAAAATGCATTTGTGTCAGTAGATGTAATTTAAATACAGTACCTTGTAGTAACAAAGATTAATGATTTCCTGTAAGCATGAATGTTCGGGAGAAGTTATGGTGGTAACTGACCTTTTTTTTTGCAAGGATGCATAGGGTCTGATGATTGTAATTTATATCTTTTAGCTTTCAAACTTTCAAATTTGTGTTAATTGTAACTGTTTGCCATATCTATTTCTCTGTACCTTAAGCCCTCAAAAGCAGAAGCAGGTGAGTCAATGACCTGACTTCCTTTGTTTGGAATTGTGTTATTATATAATTTTGCTGTATAGGTTACCACATTGTAACATGTAATATTATTATTCAGATTGCATTAAATGGTGTTTCTTACCAATGTTCGTACCGAAACTAAACACTGATATCTGGAAATGGTCACAAGATATGTGAGTTTTAAAGGGTGGAAATCTGGAAAAGCAAGGATCTTCCTTTAATTAGTTCTGAAATTAAATGGGGGCCCTCCTGTTTTAATTCATGTTTTTAGTATGACCTGCTTCCTCCCCTGTAATGTTTAGGGCATATGAATGAAGAGAACATTTTTTGTATTTTGACGCATGAAAATTAAATTAATTAGCATCCATATAATGCACAAAGCAAGAATATAATTGCCTTAGCTTAAAAGGTTAAAAAATTAAAACAAGAGAGTTGTGCAGACCATATCTTCCTCCTTTGGATATTTATCCAAATAACATAGTCACTAATAGTCTCATTCAATCTTAATTTTCACTGAGTTTGTGGAAAGATGATAACCTCGGTATTTCTCTAAATGAAGAAAGGAAGGCCTGCCCTCTTACCGCAGGTAGTTCTTTTGGGCATCATCAGTAAAACCCTGGTAAAATTTGTAATTGAAGGCAATTGTTCCAGGTAGACTAACCCTAAAAATTAGTTGTGAAAACTTCGTGAACCTGTCGTTGTATAAAATGTTTGATTGAATTTTACCTCACTAACCAACATGTAAACTGAATAAATAGAAACTTGAAATTCATTTGTTCTCCTTTAGAGGTGTGCATCAAAATTCTGAAGTCATTGCAGGCTTGAAGTACAGCTTTAGAGGAAATCTGCATGTATTCCTTAGCTTAATGGGTCATAGGTTAAAAAATTAAAAATAAGATAGTTGTGCAGACCATATCTTACTTTTTATGTATAAACCTAGTACTATGACTAGTTCAAATGACTTTACTACTTGCCATAAAGGTATAGGCAGGTGTTGTAAAAAAGTTTGGTTAGCTTTTTCATTAGTACACATCTCTTTTTCTAAGAATCTTGTTTATTCGGCCTATGCTCAATTCTACTTTTTCAATAAAATTTTCTTTTGAATGTTCTTAGATCTCTTAGTATCAGTTAATATTCATGTAATTAAAATAGTTACATGAAATCTTGCAGATGCGTGGCACATTTTTTCCCTCTGTTCCTCCTAACATTCTACTATGTTCAGGGATTGTTATTGGCTATAAAATCTATGTCAAATTAAAGTTTTGTGCACAGTCTATGCGTCAAATTTATCTAATAAAATATTGTGTCCTTCTTAAAACTAGTTTATGAGAATAAGAATGCGTTACCAGGCACAAGTATGACTTTCACAATGATAGTTTCAAGGTTTGAAAAAAGTCATTGCCAGCTAAAATCCTCTGTTCCTTTGCTCAAAACATTGCCAACGGGAGCAATTAGTTAATTAATGATACAGACAAGAGAGCCTATTCCCAAATACACCCTCCTCAATTCTGTTTGCTTTTTATGGACATGGCATTTCAAACGTGGTGTATATGCCACAAATTTTCCATCTCCTGATTAATTATTTTGTAATGTTTTTTACAAGTTGTGGAAAATGGTTGGGTTGAAACATAATACAAAGACTTGCTAGTAGATAGTCAAATGAAAACTTTTTACATACCAATAAAATTTATTGTTGCGTTTCATGTTAACATGTTGCAACAACTTCACCTTCCAGTAAATTCAACTGATGGGTAACATGAGAAAATACCATGTAAAACTTTTCAACCTATTTAATATAGCCAATAATAACATTCACTCAACTTTTAAACTAAAGAGAAACTTGATTGATGTTTGGAGTTGATTTCTGTGACGTGGAAATGAAATCCAGGTATTATCTCAAGTTCTCTTGAGGACATCCACTTTATATGCAGTTACACCAGAAGTTACCGAATTAATTAAGAGTAAATATAAGAAAAAGACGTCGTGTATTTCCAGCCAGAGGACAATCGTGAATCAAAAATAACCGAAAGCGAAAAAGTAAAAAAAAATACCGGCTCAAACACGAGTTCAAAGTTACCTTTCTTTTTAATTTTCTACGCTAAACAGGAGATTGAAACGCTGGGGAAAAACGGTGGGGTAAGCAGTCATACATGACAACATCACTAGAAGATATAATAAAGCCCATACGATTCTGGCGTATTGTTTTGCTGACTCACTGTGCTCACGTGTATATAACAATCGACTAGCGATGTCATAACGCAAAGTAGTTTGCCGTCGTTTCTTTCAATTTTGGCCCATTTTCCCAAACCGAAATTATAAGTCACGCTCAATAGATTATAATTCCAACTGATGCTGACATCATAGACTTCATCTGAAGAAGAGAACATCCCCCATCTTAGAAAATTTGCTCCAAACATTTGGAACAACGACGAAGGTCCTAAGCTGTTTGAAGATACCGCTGACTAGCATGTGTGTTAATCGCCTTGCAAGTTGTGAGAAAATCGTCTCCAGGTTCCAGACCTCGTCTGGTCTCCTGTCCCCTTGAAGAAACTATTCTACAGCCTGTGCTGAAGAGTTTTATTACAGTTTTCATTCAGCATAATGCGGGGCTGGAAAATAAACTACCAAGAGCTCCGCTTTTAGGCTTGGCTAAATCTATATATGTTCCTACTTAAGAGGAAATTTTCATTTTTATTCCACAGTGCCCGTCATATTATTAATATTCACGAGAACGTATTGTTTCTTTTTGACAGTTGATGGCGGTTTTTCAGAATGGTCCGACTGGACAACTTGTAGTGTTTCGTGTGGGAATGGATTCCAATTACGTCATCGAAACTGTACAAGTCCCCCTCCAGCACATGGAGGAAAAAGTTGCGAAGGCAAAAATTTCACAGATGTGCGAAACTGTTCGACAACAGAATGCTATTCAAAAGGTAAATAAGTTAATCATCAGAACTGATCTAACCCAAGAGTGGGTCAGCGGGTAAGCCTTTATTTGATAGCCTTTTATGATTTTTATCACCTGACAAAATTTTTTACCGGTGTCTTCTAATAATTCCAATTGCATAATTTGCTCTCACATTCTTTAGATGTGTTGGATGCTTTCCAAACTATTTTGTGTTTTCCAAAATAGCACATTTTTGGATTTATGAATGTTTTTTCTCAGCATGTTTTGGTGATAACTTAAAATTTACCAAATTTTGCGGACAAAATTTAAAATGAATTCAATTCTTTTTTTCCTCTGCAAGATTTAGCTAGTCCGTAAGAAACTATGTGTTTGTAATAGGACATGAAATGATGCAGAGTTAATCCGTCTAATTTGTGGAGAGTCAGTCATACACTGAGTGTTTCAGAAATTCTGCGACAACACATACACTGAATGTCGCAGTAATTCTGCAAACACTCGTACACTGGATGTCGCAGAAATTCTGCAACCCCTCATACACTGGATGTCGCAGAAATTCTGCGACCATATCTACTCTGGATGTCACAGAAACTTTGCAACCACTCATGCCCTGGGTATCACAGAAATTTTGCACCACTCATACACAGGATGTCGCAGAAACTTTGCGACCACTCATAGACTGGAAGTCGCAGAAATTATGCAAGCATTCATACACTGAGTTGTCGCAGAATTTCTACGACATCCAGCGTATGAGTGGTCGCAGAATTTCTGCGACATCTAGTGTACTCGCTATCATCGGTTGAAATGTTTTTGTGCGAGGAATACAAATTAACTTCACTCAGAGTCAAAAACAGACAAAAGCTCAACTCTACGATAAGTTGAAGTAACAATGCTGTGTGTGCTAATTTTTTTTGCATGACAAGATAAACTAGAGTAAATAAATCCACGGTTGGAAACTTAAGGCTATTAACAGAGGCCCGCTTTATTAAAGAGATTTAAAGTTAGGAGACCTTTTGAGCAGATAACTTCTTACTAAATTTAGCTTTTCTGAAGCTTTTAAAGAACCATGGGTTTACTGAAGCAAATTGGAACGCACCTTTTGAATTTGAAATTGGCTTTTTTTTTCCACCATTCTCGGGAAACGAATATATTTTTTTCTTCGTTCCGGCAAGCTATGACCATTTTCTCGTGGACTTCGTACCTTGCAGAACTTCTGCAGCATTGAACGCCATACCATGCAGAATTGCTGCAGCACTAGACGTCAAGGTGTGCAGAATTTCTGCTGCATTGTACGTCAAACCTTGCAGAATTTCTGCAGCATTGGACGTCAAGGCGTGCAGAATTTCTACAGCATTGGACGTCAAACCTTGCAGATTTTCTGCATCATTGGAAGCCATACCATGCAGAATTTCTGCAACCCTGGACATAATTCCATGGCAAATAAAACTGAAAAAAAAAACCATATTTTTCATAAGTCCATTTATCACGGCAATTGCTATTTTGGAAAACACAAAATAGTTTGGAAAGCGTTTTCATGGACAACACTTAAATTTCATCAGAAATCTCGGTACCAATCAAAATGTCAGATCATCTAAATTGGACATGACCCTTTTTTGGCTACATTTCGAAAATGTCTTCATCTGGGGCATGCATTTAAAGCTCATGTTATGCCATCTGTAACTTTAGTAAACTATAATTACGTTAGGGATAAGATCCATACCTTGGGAATCAAATCGTACTTTTGGAATAAAATCCATACCTTTCATGTAAAATTAATATCTGAAAAAGTAAGTGAAAATAATATTATTAATTCTGTATTTAACGTTCGCATTTTAAGTAGTGTTAAATGTGAATGGTGTAAGTGATTCAAGAGGGTAAACATCGCAAAAATGAAGTAGTTATACTAATAATAATAAAATAATAATAATAATAATAATAATAATAATAATAACAATAATATAATGATATCAATAACAGTGATAAAAAAACATCCATACTTCAGTCATAACATCCTTACCTCAAAAACAACATTTACACATCAGGTAGAACATGCATGCCTTAGACACAGCATCCGTTATGCTTATGCATTCATTAATATACTTCCAGACTGAAGGTATATAATTATATTTTAAAAGTTATTTCAATAAAACTGGAGCCGATGCATGATGTAGAGTGTAAAAAGTAAAAAAATCCTTCCAATATTTATTTGTATTGTTTGGTTTTGCTTTAACAGTTGATGGCGGTTTTTCAAAATGGTCTGCTTGGACCACATGTAGTGCATCGTGTGGGACTGGACTCCAATTACGTTATCGAAACTGCACCAATCCTCCTCCCGCTCATGGAGGGAAAAACTGCGAGAGCAGAAATATCTATGAAGGGCGATCATGTAATATGAAAGCTTGCCAATCAGGTAAACCAGCGGGTATTGGTTTTCCCTCTCTTTCTGATACGAGAAGTATGCAATACCCCTTATCGGGGGCACAGAGACACGATGCTTAGTGATCGACGTGAAGTCTTTGTCAAAAGCTTCGAGTTTAAGGATTGAACCTTGGTTGGAGTTATTCTGTTGCAAAAAGTCGAGTTATTGTCAACTTACTCTCAGATCCTCCCTTGAGGTAAGAGAACAAATGTGCTCTAGGAACTTTCCAAGAAACCTTAGGAAAAGGTGGTGCTTTAGTCTGATGTGAACTAGCAACCAATCGTCATTCCCTATTCGCCTATGGCTGCAGAAACTGGAATGGGCTTTAGCAACATGCGACTTTTTTCCTGGTGGCCCTAAATAAGAACGCTATGTTGTTCTTGTGGCTTTCTTAATTTACCCATGGCTTCCATGTATTTGCAGAACAAACATTGAGTATCAGCTGATCATTGAGGAAAATACTATAGATCCATTACAAATTACTCAAATAAATGACTTTGTATCTCCTTAACCTACAGATGTGGGTTTTGTTAACGCTAATACCGGCGATGGTGGAACAGGAGACGAAGAGGAGCATGGCAGCAATGAATACTGTAAGTTAACTATAGAGGCTTGGGATGGGCGAGGCACAGGTAATTCCCTTTCGTAAGCTATGTGGATATGTACTGCTCTGTGATACCAAATCGGGAAAAGGTGAAGGAATTCAAAGTGGTGTTGAAAATAGCATGCTGTGGTCTGAAATAGGGTCAGGATTTGAATTTAAATTGGTAGCACATCCCTACCAAGAGTTCCGCGGAGTACCGGCTTTTCAGAGAAAAGAAGGCATATTTTGTGAAAATAGTTTTTATGTAAAAAAGCAGGTCCACGTGAAAAAATAATACTTATCTATACAGTAATTTCAGAACAGAATGTCGTCTGCGTTTTTCCTACAGTTCTTCAATTGTTTTCGTCTGTGGTTCGTGTTTAAGTCGAATTTGAGATGGGACACCAACATAACCCGAAAATCCCACGAAATACAGTTCAAGCTACGCCTTATTGACTTTTTGTATTTTTGTTATATATTTTTCCAGTTGTTGCGATGATAGTTTTTGCAGTGGCTCTCGCATTTTCCATCCTAATTGGTATCACTGCATGCTATGTGCTACGCGATCAATCTTCTAGAAACAGGTAAGGAGAAATATTGCGGAAAACAGTACTTTACAGTCGCCATTTATACGAAAGTAATTCATGTGAGCGTAATAACACGTTAACCCTTTAACTCCCAGGATCTCATTAGTAATTCTCCTTACTGTTCGCCACACAATTATTATGATGTCAATTTGGAGACTTTGGTATTGGATCATCTAATAATCCACTAATTGGTTTTTCTACTTTATTTTCATCACTTCAATGCTTGATTTTGTATTGATATTGTAAGGAGAAATTTTCTCTTAGTCATTCATGGGAGTTAAAGGTTTAAAGCCGTTTTGAATTGAGTGTCGAAAGTGATCCGGGATTGCTTTGGATTTGCCTAACTATGCTCTGTGATTGGTCATGAAAACTGGCGTCATTCCCTCAACCAATTAGATGCAAAACCAAACCCGGTCACGATTCACTCACCGGCGTTTTCCCGCACTTTAGGCAGTTTTTTGCGTTTTACTTCGAGTTCTCATTGGCCTCGAAGCTATTTTTACTTTCATAGCAATTCAGTTTGTCATCACGGTTAACTTTTACCCTTGAAGATGAAATCTTAGTGTGAGGTAGTCCAGATGAAAGCTATCAAGCAGTTGTTTCATGTGATAATACTTCTTTACACTCTAAAAGGTGGAGTAATAATAACCCCCATTGCAAAGTGAGAGAGAGAGAGAGAAGGGATTATCCTTATCAATCAAGTTAATTACATTTATACTCTAATTTAAAAGTTTTTGACTTCATTTTTTTAACCTTAAACAACAGGAACATTGCACAGGTTGAAAATACACGACTTGATGGAAAATTTGTTTATGTGATGGACGCAATGAAGACCTGAAGCTAACATACACTCACAAAGGAGTCTGAGGACACAATGTTCCCGTGAAAATTCTTTCTTTATCACTGCATTTTTTTTATACGAAAGCGAAATAACAACAGCACATTCATTCTCAGTTAAATCCGTGTATGTGCACTTAGTTTACGCGTGAGTGCACTTATCTAGTCATTGTAAAATACTCTGCAAATTGAATAAATATTCACACAACCAAAACAATGTTTATTGTGCCTAACAAAGCTCAACAGCCACGTTAATTCCCTAAATTATGATTTGGTTTGATCAACCACGTTGATAATGTAAATTTGCCACCGTAAAGAGTTTCTATAGCTAAAGTTTTGAACGTTAGCCCCTCGTGAGAGGGAACATTGAAGTTGTGGGTTGTGTGGCTCTGACGGTGGGTCAAACCTCGAAATATCAGCTTTAGAAACTCTTAACGTTGGCAATTTACATCACTGATGTAAATTGGCCAACCGTTCAGTCTCGGATAAAGCCAAATTGTCTTGTAGTACTCCCACGGACCTGGTGCTACAATTTATTTATAAACTTACCAGCTTCATTCCCTAAATTAAACGGCCAGTTTTAAAAATTCAAAACACTTTGGCTCTAATATACAGTGTTTGCAATCTGTAGTTAGCACAGCAATCACCTCTCTATCTTCGGAACTCTCACATGCAATTTTTAGGCCAAAACACAAAAAAATCCAAAACACTGTGGCTCTTACACACTTTGTTTGTAACCTGTAGTTAGCACTGCAATCACCCCTCCATCTTTTTAACACTCACATGCAATTTTCAAGCCCATCAGAACTCGACTCGGGAAACGCTTTTTGGGAACACATCTTGGGAACTCATTAAGAAAAAGTGATAGAATATAATTTGGAACCTAGCCAGCGAATATAAGAGGTTCAAGCTCATGACTGTGGCAAATTAACTATATTCTCAAAGGAAAAATGTTTTTCTTTTCTTTGCTCTAATCATGTCAGTTAGCCAAACTTTTCGTGCGTCGCATCTCAATCTGTCTACTATACCAGTGTTTTGGAGGTTTCTGCTTTCTTCCTCTTTCTCGTTTGAAAGCGTTTTAACTCCATATCACCCAATTTATCAACTAGCGAAACTTTCTTTCCGTCGCATCATGGTTTGTTGATTATATTAATTTTGTCACGCGTTACGTTTGACCTCAGGCAAGCTAGCCGTGGTTCAGTGTATCTAAACAAAACCAGATAATTTATTGTTAACAACTGGGTTGAAAACGTAAATTAGCCACCGTAAAGGGTAAAAAAGCTGACGTTTCGAGCGTTAGCCCTTCGTCAGAGCGATGACGAAGGGCTAACGCTCGAAACGTCAGCTTTTTTACCCTTTACGGTGGCTAATTTACGTTTTCAACCCAGTTGTTAACACGATTACCTAACAAACATTTTGAAAAGTGACTTGAAACGTGAAAATCCAGCACGCGCAAGTCTTATGTTACAGTGGTTGAAGCTACAGGCGTCTAAGTGGTGAGAAGCAGATTCGCCGTCACACAGGAATATCATATCATTTTTATATTGAAATAAACTTCCCTCCAAATTTTAGTGGTTTCGAGGATATCTTTTCATGATTTTCCTTTATGATGTGATAATAAGGGTTAGTTTTAAGGTGTCACTTCCCCATCTGTATGTTCTTGAGGTTTGGCAAAGCTGGATGAGATTGTTAAAATAGGCCATATCAATTTTCTTCTATGTGCGTCTGTTGTTTTAAGTTTACTTTCTCTCCCGCAGAAAATGACTCCGTAGATACGTTTCTCAAAACCTTCATATAAGTATCCTCTATTTTAAGCGTATTATGAAACTCTGTGCGTTTTTTTTATTAAACTTGGAGCGTGACGAATTCGTTCTTAGAAAGCGGAGGGCTTCTTCTTTTACAAGTCCCGTATTTACGCTAAGTGGATGACACGAAAAAATGTTCGTGTATTAGATGGTCTCTGTCTCTTTGTAATGCGTTTAATATATAACTCGCGTCTAGGAATGTATTTTCTGAATTTGTTATCATTCAGAGAGCCATCGGCTGTCAATGTAACTGCTGCCATCTGTGGAGATTCTTAGGCAAGACCGCGGTCTCGATTCTTTCTGAATCTCGTCAGTTACCGCCTAGGAGCGAATTCATCGCGGAGGAGTGACAAGAGTCGCACACGCCCGTAAACACTTTTCAACTTTCGAAGGAATTCAAGCTTCCTCGCTGCCACCTACAAAGTTTGCTCGACCGCGACAGGATGTAAATGACACTTATTGTTTGACGGAAATCAGAGTGCGCAACCGTCTGGAGTTAAATTTGGCTTATCAGCCGACGAGACAATAACATGATGATGTGTCTGTCAGTCAATGTTATAATGGTAGCCCTCTGAATATTAAACAAATAAGAGAAAATAACTTTTGATCAACAAGGAAATGGCTGGAAGTAGAGGCGAATTAATCAAAGCAATTCAGTCTGAACCAGGTGGAATTGGGTTTTATAGATCAAATACATTTGAAATTCATCCACCCACGTTACAAAAAAGAGATTTTCGAGAAATTTGTTCAGAGGTGTGAGAACTCTTGACCGAGAACGAACGAGATTGTAACCTGCTCTCCTGAAACACGGTACCACGGAAAAATTAAATGATTAACATATTAATAAAAAGCACGCCCACACGGGAAATATTTGGCAAAATCACTGGCGAGGTAGTAAACAGTTTCCTCTCTTCGTTTGACGAGGAAGTAACACCTTGATGCAGTCTTCTAAACCTATTAGGGTTCGTCAACGGTCGCAATGTTTACACGTCGCCTTTGCACCAGAAATCACGAAGGTAAAGAAGTTATCGGTAAGTATTAGGGCTAAAAGGGTCTCATGTCATTGTCTCGTCGGCTAAGACTATCAATGTCTTTCAAAGGAAACTGAATCGCTTCTGTCGCTCATATCGTGACAAGCAGGAGTTGTTCCGCTGAAGGCTTAGTTAACAGACGAAGAGGAAAACTTCGCGAGCTCGCTCCCTGTACTTGAAATGCGTAATACCTATTAGGGTTCGTCAACGGTCGCAATGTTTACACGTCGCCTTTGCACCAGAAATCACGAAGGTAAAGAAGTTATCGGTAAGTGCTAGGGCTAAAAGGGTCTCATGTCATTGTCTCGTCGGCTAAGACTATCAATGTCTTTCAAAGGAAACTGAATCGCTTCTGTCGCTCATGTCGTGACAAGCAGGAGTTGTTCCGCTGAAGGCTTAGTTAACAGACGAAGAGGAAAACTTCGCGAACTCGCTCCCTGTACTTGAAATGCGTAAATGTTTCCGTTTTCTACCAGCTAGCTTGGACTCCCCGGTATTTCTTACTGCCCTTTTCTCCGCTGGTAAATCGAGTTACTGCACTTAATTTAGGCAATTACAAACGTCGATTGCAGAAACCAGATTAAACGTACGAGTTGCTTCTATATTCATCGTTTCTTGATAGAAACTTGTCTCTCAGAAGATTAGGGCGGAAGAATGTTGTTATCTTCAATTCTTTATTTCAAGGTGTATTGCTTAACGCACTCTATCGGCGAGATCAGAAACGCAGGGCCGTACAAAATGCGTTTGTTGACAACAATTCCGCTTATGAACGACATTATTACAATATGATATATGTGTAATTGTTTTAAATCTTTAAGGACCTCTAGGCATTAATTAATACAAGCTTTTAACCTAAGGATGCTTGTCTTCAATGAAAGCAGCTTGCGACGAGTAAGAGAAAGAATGTTCACTCTAGATTTTTCAAATCAAGACCGGTTTCTCACGAGAATTTCCGTTTACAAGGACTCAAAATTCCCCAGCGTTTTCGTCACAGACATGGCGTGATGTCAGTTGATATTGGAGTTATCTTCTACCCGCAGAGAAAAAGACACGTATAAGAATCTGCCAACAAAAAGACAAACAAACAAATTGAGAAACATCACAAAAATCAAAATCACGTTACAATTCATTCAAATATTTATATTTTCCTCAAAAGAAAATGTATAACACTAACAAATTCGATGAAAACGCGTCGATTTTAAAATCCCCTTATTTGGATCTTTATCGCACCGATTTACGGTTCACTGACTTTGTTACAACTTCCTGTCGTATGACTGCGTCATAGAATCCGGGTTAAGATATTGCGTGTTTTGATGAAGTACATCACTCGGAAAACATATTACAATTCACCAAAAAAATCAGAGAGGTGGTGAAATTGCGACCAGAAGTATCTCGCTCGCCTACAGTGCTATTTCGGTTTGCTTTGACGGCATTAGCAGGGCGGTTCTACGCTCCAGTGAATGTCATTGTCTACTGTTCTAAAATCGAACCGTTTCAGCGCCCTTTCAGTGGTGTGTGGTTGACCCCAGGAGCGACACTTTGTTAAAAAAATTTATTTGTCGCTTAAGACTTCTAGATGGCTAACACCTCAATGTTCTTCATCTTTGCTTTTTTCACCAAAATGTATTTATGAGCATTCAGAGCTCTTAACTCGTCCAACGGTTTTAGATACAATTTTTTAGCTCAATGTGTTTGTGTTTTCATTAAGTGACTCTTTGTTTATTCGGCGTCTGAAGACTAATCTCAAAATTCTCTCCAGCGTGTGCGGTACATTAAATAAACAAAACTTTAGTTTTCTCAAAGACTAATTACGTTAATCGAGAAATTGAAATAGGAAAAAACGAAAGATGTTTTCACCACAGGGAACTTTTAAGTCTGCAGCAAATGAAATTGTAACGACATCTTATTTGTCCTTTGCAAAATAATCCAAAACAACGACATTCCAGCCATAGATTAAAACAGATCAAAGTCTGGCTTAAGATTAACTGAGATGACATGCACCTGAAAAAATGCAAAATATATGGGCCGGGTCGCACTAGAGCCAATTTTGTTTACTTCCAATTTTGGGCGAGGAAAAAATTGGCAAAAATTTCGCAAGGGCCAAATTTTGGCGGTGGTCGCATTGGACCAACATGTTTGAGCCAAAACTTCGCTGATTGACATATATGTCATGTCACGATATCTACAGTCAAGAAAACATCTCGCGCATTGCTTGTGCAAGAATGGATCGTCATATACAGGTGATTATTTTCGCGACTTTCGGGCTTTTGTTGAATTTTGTGTTTCAGTCTCAACAGAACAACGCAGCGTTTTTAGTATTGTTGATGCACTATCAGCAGGCTTTTCAACGGTTAGTGTCTGCTGTTAGAAGACGTAGGGTTCGCTTGAATTGGTGCCGGTAGCCGGATCCAGGATAGGAGTCATTGGCATTTCCAAAAAACTGCCGCTCGTATTCCGCGTTTCCATTGTAAAAACCATAGAAAGAAAGGTCAGATGGACCGGGAAAAAAATAATTTTGTCCCGACATCGTACGTGCGAACCTGCACTAGCCGAACAAAGTAATTTTTCCCGCCGTAACTTGATCCAAGTATGTTTGAAGAAAAATGGCAGCTTAATGGTTAAACAAACAAAGTTGTTTGCTTTGCCAAAATTTGGAAGCCTTCGAGGCAGCACTTCGGCTTCTCTGAAGATTGGCGAAAATTTGGCAATCCGCAAAAAATTGGCGAGTTTTTGAAACTGGGGGTCGCACTTATTTTACGTTACTTGGTGACAGATTTATTACTTATGCAAACAAAATTGGCTAAAATTCGCTCTAGTGCGACCCGGCCCTTAACCCAAAACAACGACATTCCAGCCATAAATTAAGACAGATTAAAGTTTGGCTTAAGATCAACTGAGATAACATGCACCTGAATTTTTCAAACCTTTTATCTCAATGCAACCCTTGCGATTGATTGACAAGTAAATACCGACAGTTCTTAGGATAGAAAAGACTTCAGACGTATGGAAAGTGCGCTCATCTTACAGTACTGTGGAGACAAAAAGACACATTTGCGATATTCAGGAACACAAATGTCCTTTAACATTTCACTTGTCAACCGGAATGAGTCTATCATCTGCCGGAACTTTTAATAAAAGCCTTGGTAACGGTTCTACTTTTTCAAGTTGGTCCCTTTTGTTCGGGATGAACTTGACAAAAACACATAGATCAATCACGTCACACGTCACTCCTTTTTTTCCAACCAGGTCTAGCCACTCTCACTGAGATTTTTCGAATCACTTATTGAGATCAGTGCGTTTTAAAAACCTGTCTTCCAACCAAAGGATGCTCAAAAATTATGTTTCGGAAACAGATTAGTATACTGTTTTTTAATTCACGCAAGCCTCGTGATAAGAGTAAAGTACAAGCTGGGCTGACATGTTCAGCAAGTCACGCAAGTTTGAAATGTCACGCAAGTTTTAAAACATTGGCACTGAGCTTGGTCAAGGTCGGTTTGAAACCACGGTAAACTAAAAGGGCTCGTCATCAGTAATCTACGATAAAATCAGCTTATTGCTTTTGTTTCCTCTATCTGACCTGCAGTTTTTTCTCTCTCCTAGAACATCAAAAGCTGGATTACGGCAATTGCTTGAATCAGATAAGTACATTCCTAGTTTTTACTGTGATTTTCCGATCTCTTCACCTCATTGCTAAACTTTGATTGCGTAGAAGCAGCAATAAGATTTCCGCTGACAAGCCAGGTAAGTTTGCGGTAAGTGATAGTTGTAAGTGAGCTTGCGCGCGTCACCAGACAATAAGTTCTTGACTTGTTGAATACGCATTGTATCTGTGAAAACACTCTTTGAAGCTTGTGTGTTTTAATTCGCTCTTGAAAGAACAACTTTCAAGACTAAAAATTATGTCAGACCCCGCCTGACAAACTTGAAAGACTCACTTTCAAGTGAAACCTATTCTGCAATACATAGACAAGTAAAGCAGGGAAAAGACGTTTGGAAGACGAAACGCTTTCAGGCCATGTGTTGTCTCTTTTCCTTGTCACAATCAACATGCACCGTGTGTGCCTAAATGATATTCAAAAGATCTTGAAAGAACAAGCGCTTTCAAGACATGTTTGCAGATTGCTCGATGGCCGTCAAACCTTAAAGGCAAAAATTGCGTTCAAGTGTTAAAATTTTAAGATAGAGAAACTTTCGCTGTCTAGTAACTGATGCTCGACTTCTTTGAATTTCATTTTTCTGCTATTGAAAAGTTTTGAATTTCCGTGCGAAATCCGATTCTAGTAAAAAAAATAGGAAATTCCGTTTTTTTCTTGTTACTTCTAGGCAAATTAAATCGGTGTCTTCCCGAAATAATTTCGTCCGTCAAGTTAGTATCAAAAATAAAATAAAGTAAAAAAAAAATTCTGAGTCATCAAAGTTAAAAATGAACTAATCTGTGAGAAATAACGCTGAGGTGAGTTTAAGATATATTTTCCAACTTTGGTCCAATGTTTTGTTGTTGTAGTACCTGTTACAAAAACCACTTTTGCTGTGAATGTAACTGAGGGAGAGTCAGTGTCTCTGAACTGCACCCTTAGTGGCGATGGAAGTTATACTTGGGAACGTCAGGATGGAACCGAGTTAGAAAATGCGAAAAGAAAGGTACCTCTTCTCTCCTTATTTTCTATAAATATATAACTAACGTTTTCTTTTATTTTCCACACTAAGCGATGGATGTTTGTAAGTATCAAAGTTTTAAAGAAATTATCAGCATGCAGCGAACAACCGTTGAGTTTTGGATGCACTTGGGAGGTTTGCTAAGCACTCAAGGGGCTAAAGTCGCACCATTTCGAACATCGAGCTGAGCTGTATCTCGATTACTTCCAATATCGAGAACAACATCTCTTATCCCTTTTCACCAAACACATCTAACTTGTTGCATGCGTTTCTCTACGTTTCTAGAATTCATCATTTCTTTTTTCATGGAAATTTTTCTCTAAGGTTTCAGTTCAAATACTATTACAAGGGTCATTTAAACAAAATAAACCAATGGCACTATACAAAACGATCAATTATTCCAACGACAGCGGAATTTTTCTGTATGGAAACCTCTTCCAAGGGATCCCCATACTCCAAGAAGACAAACTTCGGTCCCACCTAGGAATAAAACTCTACAATATGTGCCTGTGTTTCTCATTTAAGAGTCACCTCGTTACTAAGGACACAAACTTTGGCCCCGACAAGGAAAAATGGTCTTTCAATTGTCCTCATTTAAGGGAAACCTAACTCAGAGAACACCTTTCATAAACCAGAGCCTGTCTGGTGAGGAGGGATCATACTGTTGATTAAATCGAGCTCATAAGTGCTAAGAAGCTGAGCGCCAATAAGAGTCAAGTTGTGCTAAGGATTGTGGGAGTGACTGTAAGAGAAGCCGAGCTGAAAAAGATCTTAATTTAAAATAAATAAAAGGGGTAAATTTCTGAAGAAACTTCGTGCTGCGTCGGTGGGAGAGAATAACAGGGTAATTTAGTATTACCAACTTTAATTTATCAATTTAACATTAATTTAAAATATCTAATCACACATCATTAATCTTGTTTAGGTTAAGTAGCTAGCCAAAATGGCTTTGCTAACAAAGGGCTATTAAGGATTTTTAACCGCAATTAAAAAAAAAAAAAAAAAAAAAAACCTAACGCTGTCGCTGTTTTTGTTGAAGGTGAGAGGTGGAGGACGACTGCTTGAAATTATTGACACGGCCATTGCTGATTCTGGTAACTATACCTGTAAAACAGGTAGAAGCTCTCACACCATTACACTACAGGTTTTAGGTAGGTAGATGATCACTTCGCTTTAGATTCAAAGGGAACCACAAGTGTCGTTTATTGTTACATGTCTCAAAATAAATTGATAACTTCCTAATACATAGACTACGAGCAGTCCCTCCTTTTCTGCAAAGTCGGTCACGTGATTGATAAATACCAGTGAAATAAAACTTGACGTTAGCTCGCCGCGGGAGGCTATTGGAGACATGTTTGCCACGAGTAAAACTTCCCTTAACTTGAAGATAACAATAGTTAAATCGGTAGTTGACAAATCCGCAAAAGAGGGAATAAATAAACAGGAAGGAACAAGCAAGGGTAAGGATGGAGAGGATTAAAATAAATTGTAATTGGCTACAAAGTGTTGGTTCGGTTGTTGACAAAAACTCAAAGAAGGTATACTATACTAGGAAGGAAGAAGTAATTTAGCGAGTGTTTTTTTTTACAGTTGAGGTCAAGGTGGAAATGGCCCTGAAGGTTGAAAATTACAACTACACCAAAGAGCTGGAGAATAAGTCATCGCCACAATACAAGGAAATCGAGACAAACTTTACCGCGGAGGTATGATTTCTTTTCCTCCTTCCATCTTTCCATTCCCTCTCCCCATTCTCTTTTGTTTTCCTCGCTTTTTGCTATCCTCTCCAATCCTTCCTCCCTCCTTTTCCTCCTTCCTCTGTTCTCTCTTCTTCCCTCCAGTAATTCCTTCCTTCCACCCCCATTCCCCTCCCACCTTCCATTCTCTCTCTCTCTCTCTCTCTCTCTCTCTCTCTCTCTCTCTCTCTCTCTCTCTCTCTCTCTCTCTCTCTCATGTATCCCCTCCCGCCCTTCCTCCCTCTTTCCTCCTTCCCTCCCAGTCTTCTCCCTCCTTCGCTTCTCCTCCCAACACTCTACCATTTCTCCCACCCCCTTCCTCTCTTCAGTCCTTCCTCCTACCCTCCTCTCTCCCTGGATTCTTACCTTCCTTTCCACTGTCTGTTTCTACCACTTATTCCACCGAATGACTTACAAACCACCTTTCTCCTTCTCTGTCTCCTTGCTAATAGGTTCAATATCTTTGAATTGAAAGCGTTAAAGAGTACTAGTAAATGAAAAAAAAAAAAAACAACAACAACACCTCTTGTCATGTTTCAGATGGACTTCGTTTACAAAGATACTCCAGGATACATAAGAACCGATGTTCTGAAAATGACGTGAGTGCCAGAGCGTATTCCTAATTCCTAACCCCACAGTTGAAAATTCAAAATATTCCATTTTCGAGTGAATCAGTTTTAGTAATATGTCATAGCCAAACATATCTCCTATTTCATATGCTGTATTGATCTAAGCGTGGATTAACAACATATATCAATGATCTGCACGGAGGATAAATTTATCGCTTTCGCCTATCAAAGATGAATAACAATCAATGCCATGATTATTGAGAAACGTAAGTCGTTATTGCAGGGACCTAAATAAACCTTTCATAATAATCAAACTTCAGACCAACGGATTTTACGCTCCGATTCTCTACAACTGAGTAACCAGAGTAGAAAAGATGTAAAGTTTCATGCTCGGTTATAGAATAAATAATTGTCTTCCTCTAACTTATTCTTAATTTCTCTGTTTTCATTTTTCTATAAATTATCACGTTATAAATCATTGTAGCTACAGTATGACTATTTTCTAAAACGATTTTTGTCCTTTGATTTTTTAGGAAAGGGAGTGTGGTAGTGGATTTCAACATTATTATCCAAATTGTAACAACCGATCCCAAAAACGAAACAACCATCAACGATAAAAAGGTCTCAATCGTCCAAACAACAATTAAAGAAGCCGAAGATGGTTTTGTAAAGCGGCTAAAAGTGTCAAAAGTTATTCCAAAGAGTAAGTTTGTCGTAGTGAAACTGGTTCTTTACAAGTTTTTTTTAATAATTTTGAGCAGGATTCGATATTTCCTAGCGTTCCAGTCTCTTACAATGCCTTTTTCCACCCAGAAGCGTGGATATGTATGAATGGGTGATAACAAACTGCCACTGCTACTGAAACGTGACAAAATTGCAGATGAATTACCTGCCATGGCGTGGTGTCCAATCCAGGAGAAATAGCAACACTCCTGGAATCTAATTTCTCCCAAAAGTATCATTGATATTCAACTAAGAGAGCTTTTGATTGTTGAACAAATACTCCTGGTGGGAAAATGAGATATTTGTAAAAAAACAGTGTGGAGAATGTGCAAACTGATGGTCAATGGACCACTTGTTTCGTGATTTAATTACCCGGGTAAGAAAGGATTACTGTCAATAGAAAAGTTACATATGGAAGCTTTTCTTGCATCATGTGATTGGAAAGGATATGAAGAAAGCAAAATAACGTGGAAAATGAGCGAGTAATGCCATTGACGCACTCAGAGGCAAAAACTTTTAAGCAGTAATTTAAAAAAACACTCGCCATTGTTTGAGTAATTTCCAGATGTCTCTGTAACTTTAATACTTGCACCTTGTTTTATCGTTTAGCCCTCAGATAATCTCTTTGATTGTTCACATCTTTTCGAAATTTTTTATCTTTTCCTCTCTCTTCTTTATTTTTAGCCGAACCTCCAGAGCCTAATGGTGTGGAGATCTTTGATATCAAATCAGATGAGCTGAGTGTTCGATGGAAACCGTCGGAAGATGCTGAAACTTTCGACGTACGCACTTACTCGGTGCAATACAGAGCATATGGTGAAAAGACCTACAGCGAGCATAATCAAACAGCTAACACTGAAAATGCAGACTACTCTTACAGGATTAAGTCTCTCGAATCTGAGACTGTTTACATGATACGGGTCGGTGCAGTTAACACTTATGGATCCAATTTCAACGAGGAAACTGGCCATGAGACTGAACCCGCACGTAAGCCGTTTTTAATTGTTAAAGTAATTTCTAAAAATTGACAAAGTTGTCTACAGGTTTTTTGTGAAATTAAAGATTTTTCATTAGTAATTTTTTAACCTAAACACGTGACGTCTCGCTCATATTTTTGCTGGAAACTTGATCACAGATAATTTTTTATCTTCATGTCTATGTATTACTGTCGTACCTTCGCAATTTTTAAGCATCAGAACACTCTGGCAAACTCATGCTGGAAATTTAGTCTTCCTATTTTAAAATTTCGATGAATCACCATGTTCCGAAAGTAGGGAGGGATAGTTTGAATTAAAGTCAGCTTTTAACAAGCGATTGTAACACTGCATACACTTTACAGCAAAGGAAATCGTACCCGCAATCTTACGCCTTACGTCTTACCTATGGCCATTCCTTTAAAAGGTCGAAAATGTCATGTGTGGCTTTAATTCTGATATCACACATTCTTTTTTATTACAGCTTTTGCCTGGTGGATTATTGTCTTGGCCGTGTTAGGTGTCCTCTTGATTCTTGGCATACTCATCGGCATTATTATCTACAGACGCAGGAGAGCGCGGGAAAGAAGAGAGCAAACAGAGGCTCGGTTTCGAGCTCTTGAAAACCAAACCGGGTCTCATAAGGTACCATTACAACAGATAAACTTATTGCGTTAATCCTATATAAAATAAACCGGATACCGTTCTATAGTTGCATGCAATGAGAGCATTCCATCAAAAATCGAAAAATCAAAATCAAAGTAATCACAGCAACCTATCACGACAAAGGAAAATTTCACGAGGATGAGAACTCAACGTTAAAAACAAGCGAGCTGCTTTAAGCTCGTTCAAGAGAGTGCTTCGAGTTTTCTGGACCAGCTGCGAGTTTTCTGGACCAGTCACTCAGCGGAGCAAGGCAAAATTAAAGAAATCCCAGATTACTTTGGACACTCCATTGATATCATATCTCTATAAGAAAATTACCGCACATTACGAAAGGTTCTGTCGACCTATCCCTGCCATTTAACTAAAATCACACCATCCTTGATATGAAATCACTGTCCACGCATATTTTGATTTTCAGGGCGAAGTAGCAGCTTACCATGGGGAGAATGTTAAAGGATTGACATACTCGTTTAAAAACACTGCTTACAAGCCGGGTGAGACGAACTGGGAAGAGTTTCCGCACGAGAATATCAAACTGTTGGATGAACTAGGTTCGGGAGCATTCGGCATCGTTTTTAAAGGAGAGCTGCAACAAGAGAACGGGAATATCATTCCTTGCGCAGTAAAAACCTTAAAACGTAAGTCTCGTATGCAAGGTTCACGCGTAGCGTATTAGTCAATCAGCTTGTCAGTTTTGATGAGTTAGTCGGTCAATCAGTCAGACAGGCAGTCAGTTAGTCAGTTCGTCAGTCAGCCAGTTTGTTAATCAGTCAGTCAGCGAGCTAGTCAGCCAATCAACTAGTAATTAAGACAGTCTGTTAATTATTCAGCCAGACAGCCAGCTAGAAAGCCTACCAGCCAGCCATTCAGTCAGTCAGTCAGCCAGTCAGCCAGTCAGCCAGTCAGCCAGTCAGCCAGTCAGCCAGTCAGCCAGTCAGCCAGTCAGCCAGTCAGCTAATCTGCCAGTCAGCTAGCCAGCCGGCCAGTCAGTCGGTAAACCGGTCACCAAGCCAGCCAGTCGGCCAGTCAGTCAGGCAGCCAGTCAGTTAGTCAGTCATTCAGCCAGTTGACCCGCTGACTCGCTGGCAGTCTCTTTCCGGTGACATCACAAATTGCATCACAGTCTCTTTCCGGTGATGGTCACAAATTGCGATTTTCACATAGCCAAGTGATACTTTTATGGGAACTTTTATGTTCTTTGTATTTCTATGAATAACGAAAAGCTCTTGTGAGCTTCACATAAGTTACATATATAAACTTGTTTTAAATGTCACCAAATTTCACTCTTGTTCCATGAAACAGCATCTGCCACAAAGGTGGAAAGGAAAGACTTGTACAATGAGTTGGAAATCATGGCCAACGTAGGACACCATCCGAACCTTGTGAATTTGATTGGAGCATGCACACAAGATGGTCAGTAAGACACTTGAACTATCATTCAGAACCCTGCATTGACCCTTTTACTCTAAAAAATTAAAGTGCAATTCTCCCTTCTAGTTACCACACATTTATCACTCAGTTAGTTATGATTAAGTGCTGCTTTGACTCTCAAGCTCTTCACATATTTGATGGACAATGTATCAGTATCCTGAAAAGAAGTTACACGTCAATCACCTCTGGTAGTTGGTGGGGATTAAAGAAGCTGATGCACATTTAGTGCAACTTGAAATTTTTTTTAGCAATCCTTTTAAATCTTTTTCATCCTTGACCATCCTCGCTTCTTCCTCATTCAGTCTTCCCTTCCAAACTAATATTCTGTGTTTTTACGTCAAGAGTAATATTACACATCCAGAAGAACGGCCTAATTTCCCAAGCTCGTCATTTGCAATCAGAGTCAATCTTCTTCATTCTTTGCTATCCTCGTTCCTTTCTTCCATTTTCATGTTTTTCATCTAACCAACCTAACATTTGCTGTATTTCCTTATAAGGAACATAATTTTCCATGTCATAACCGAAATACTGAAAATTTTGCAACTTGGCGCCCTTAACGTTTGAAACTAATTTAGACAAGTCCATTGGTCTCATTCCATTCATTTCTCTATCTCCAGACCTCCTACTCGTTATAATAGAGCTAGCAGAAAACGGCTGCCTGTTAGATTTCTTAAAACAGTCCCGACAACAAGATGGAAATAACACTACAAGCGGCTTAACAGAACATATGAAAACATCGATAGCCGTCGATGTAGCGCGAGGAATGGCACATTTAGCACGCTGTAGGGTGAGTTCAAAGTAGTAGCAGTAACATTCTAGGTGTACCCACTTTTCCTCCTACCATACCTCATCAATCCTCTGCACTTTCTACTCTACCAATTATTTTTTTGGAATTTAACCTCTGACAGTTGGGGATTTCATCTACAAATATCATTGATATTTTCTTTTCTCACCTCATTTTCAACTTGAAAATGTTTTGCTTTTTGTTTGGGGAAATTTCTCTAGAAAGTCACGCAATAATGTAAAATGACTCGTCATTAGTTTTGATTCTGCTGAGAAATTCGATGTTTGTCAAGTGACTTTAACAAACACCTACAACAATCAAACATGACTTGAAATTTTGTTCGTATCAGTGTATCCACCGAGATCTCGCAGCAAGAAATGTTTTACTGGGGAAGGACTACGTTGCTAAGGTTTCCGATTATGGTATGGCACGTGATGTTTATGAACAGCTGATGTACAAGAAAGAAACTCAGGTAAATTACTTGCTAAAAGAGCTAAGAGTATAAAGACTTACAGTTTGGTGTTCAAAAAGTCTCTTTTAATGGAAAGAATAGGAATTTAGCAGTAGGGATTCTACGAGGTGGCTCTTTTTGTCAACTTTTTGCAGGTCCAATTGGAATTTGGAAAGTTGGTTTTTGTGAAAGGGGGGGGGAACTGGATGACCCGGAGAAAAACCTAAGGAGAGATGACGAGAACTAACGTGACTCAACCATTATATGACGTTAGGTCCAAGAGCACCCTCATGACTGCGCCATCTCCTCTTTCCAAAAATTTCTGATATCGTGCAGTTGGATAAAATCATCTGGCAATCCAAGGTCAAGCTACACGTAGTCATTCTGTACGTGATTCTTTTATTTGTTTCTTTCAGGGTAAACTTCCGGTTAAATGGATGGCTGTCGAGTCCTTGGAGACATACACTTTCACGATGGAATCTGACGTGTAAGTCATTTTAAATGGCCAGGGTATGAGGCTAAAATCCTGACTGAAATGCTCATCTACCAATGTGAGCCCTTGAAATTTCGTAAATTTCCTTGACAGTTTAGAAACACTCTTCATACATTTAGCGAGAGGGAGGGACGCCGCGAATTTAGAACGAACTAAGATATTTAAAACAGAATAAAATATCTCGCTAATTCTAAATACTAATTTTTCTTAAATCTATTTAAAATGAGCAAAAGATTCATTCTTATTTTCTGGACTTTTTTTAATCTTTAATTTTTTTTATTCAAACGCAGGTGGGCTTATGGAGTACTGCTTTGGGAAATAGAATCAGGAGGTAGGATTTGTTTTCATCTTGTACTGCATCGGATGCAGAAAAATACCCTATTTCTCTTGAGTTTAAACTGAGTCTGAGCGAGTCAATTGCAGTTTCATTTGTCATTCAACATTGTGTTGTATTTTCTAAAAAAGAATACACAACGTTCAAAATTTTCAAAATTGCTTTCAATCAGAAGTTCGCGTTAAATGCATATCTGTTTTGCAAAAGGAAAAGAAGTCTGCTACGTGACATTTTTTTTGTGCACGAACCTAAGTTGACGACGGGTGGATTGATGATCAATTTTGAAAGGATGAAGCTTCGAGCATTAGGTGGTTAGATTCTGTGTATTAGTCTGAGTAGAAATCTTAGCGTCACGTGTCTTAAAAACGATATTTAGATGGTTAACGTAACTAAATAATATTCCCTGCTTTTAGGGTTGAAACCTTATGCTGGCCTTAGTACCGCGGAGCTGATAGAAAACCTAAAGAACGGATACAGAATGGAAAAGCCTAACGGATGTTCAGACGAAATGTAAGATATTCTCAAATTATTATTGCTTTTAAAGGCTTGCCATAATTTTCACTTCTCGTTGGCTATTTAAACGTATACTACACCGACTACTCAAGTAATAGTAATAGTACCGAGTACTATTACTGCCATTTGTGGTAAAGAAAATAAGTAGAGGTAATAAGCTATTTGGGAAAAGATCTGTGCAGTGCTTGAATAAGATTGAACTAAGCCTTCAGTTTTCTTAGTGTGCTGTCTATATTTAACAAATTTAGCTAAAGCACACAAATAGTGGAAATTTTTATCTTATTCCTTCAGGCCCTGATATATTTATTGATTTCGTAATGTTTATGGAATGACCACGAAATTTCCAAAGTACCAAAATTAAAAATTATGACTAAACGCAGCTTTATGCAACCTTTTTTTTTGTTTTAGGTACCAGACCATGAGAGATTGTTGGAATTCAAGTCCTAGCGCAAGACCAAATTTTGACGAGCTGATTGTTCGTCTTGAGAGCACAATCACGACTTAGTTTACATTACATTTCATTACCAGCGACAACAGCAACAACAACAAAGACAAAACTACAACAACTAAACAGGGAATTTTTACAGGAAATAGTAAGGTTTAAATAATTAAAAAATTACGTTAGGACTATCAAGGAAGACGATTTAGGCTGAAACACCATATTTGTTCACCGAGAAGCTATGCAAAGTAAAATTCTCGATGGAAATTCTTGATGGTGTTACCTTTGGTAGATGATGAAAATACCTAAACTGAGTAAGTTTAACTTGATCGCCTCTCGTTAGAAATTAGAATCGACATCGTGGTTGTTCATAGCCGTTTTTTTTAATAGTAAGACTTTTGTTACCGTTTCCCTACACGTGTCAAATGGTATCAAAATTGTAACAGAGACAAAATTGCTGCTTTGCGAAGACAGCGCGAACTTAGAGGGACTCTCCTAATTTACTATGATGTTCGTTTACTATAATGTTAAAGGAAATGATATTTAACTGCTTTGATTTTTCTTTATTAATACTATAATCGCTTAGAAAAGGTGAAGCAACTGAAAAAAAGCAATAGATAAACTTCAAATTACAACTGAAAATCAGTTCGTTAGGGCATCGCACATAATGCTTTTTGTTCTTGGAATATTTCTTATAAGGGAGGAGTGGGAGGAATATTAAACCGAGTTAGCCGAGCAGTGATACAATTTGGAAATACAGTGGAACCCGCTAACTTCTTATGGAAACAAAAAATATTTCGAGTTAACTGAAGTTCGAGTCAGTGCGGTTCCGCCATCTTTACTCTTGCATAAGCTTTTATTTGGTTCCAGTAAATATGCTGTTGATTGCTATATAAGCAGAAAGTTCACGACAGCAGATCTGTGAGGTGTAAATTACATTGATAATAATAAGAAGCTTATTTCATATATGTAAGGTAACACCTAATAAATTCTGGTACCTTTTGAATTGAATACTTGTTGTTGACTTGGAGTGATTTAGGGGTTGGTTTTGCAAAAATGTATGAAAAGAAAACGCCAAGAAACGTTTCGCAAACGAAAACGAGACAATGGGTTGATTTCAGAAGTTTTTTTGAATTGGATGAAAAGATTAGCAAACAGCAAAAAAAAGTTTGCGACTTTTAGTACACTCTCACATGGCTCTGAATCTAAATTTTCATTAAGGATTTTTGATCCTTTGTTTCAGAAACAACTATGTTTTTTCTTTCATTCATTCATTCATTAATTTTTTTTAATCTTCGTATCCAATTGATCCACATCTCGTCCCATTCAACTGTCCGGACCATAGACAGTTTTGTCTATACCATGACATCTTGAAATATGGTGTTACTGTAAAATTTTTAAAAACTGGGGCGAGCCCTGCATTTTAGTCCCACATTTTTGTCTCTGCTATTTATGGCCCTTGGGATCCAATTCACTTGATAAAGCACAGAAGGAGCTTTGCGTCAAAAGCAGTTTGAATAGCGTCGGTTGAAATATGTGGGAGAAATCACAATTTAAAGTCATGTTAATTGAAATAAGAAATTTCGCGCGACAAGCCTAAATAAAGTCTTCGTGACGTAATGGATCACAGGCCCCAAAAAGAATGAGGGATAATCGTCTTCTCTGTTCTTTTCAACTTTTTTAAACAAGCTTCACATTATCTTGAGGATAATAGTGATATTTCACTGAATGTACAAGCCGTTTATCTCTTACATCTTTTTTCAAATTTCCAAATCATTTGCTCGAGAAGGAAAGTACGTTACACCTTTTACCTCTTTGGTGGCAAAACTGAAAGAAATGAAGTGTCCAAGCGAAAGCACTAATTGTTTAAAGGTATTTATTTCTTCTTTAGTCAGATGACAATCAACCCTAGCACTTCTTCCGTTGTCGCTTCTTCGTCTTGTTAGGTTTAACTTTTGCTTGCTATTTTCTGGGCCGCGTGTCGCGAGCGAAAGAGGCTTTTTGTGCCTCCCCAAGAATTTGTAGTTCATTTCAAAACAGGGAAGAACTTCTGGCTCACTTTGAAAAATGCTTTTGTTTGTTTTTGGCTCTTTAGAAGGTGACGATGGTTTTGAAAACACTTTGACGATAGTTGTCATGTTTACGTAGATGCGAAACAATATCACTTAGCCTGTTTGGTTTTCTTTCGCGATGCTTGCGGTTTGGTTTTCCTCGGCAGGAAATGTCGTTTGGTTTGGTTTCCAAGGTGATATTTTTTGTAGCACGAATTGCATTTTTGTTTTCACGGTAGCAACATTTTTTGCTCGCGACCCACGTCAACAATATCCATCCCTTCATGCACAAGAGCAATTCCACGCTAAATACCCCCTCCTCAATGCGATTCTAAAAAAAAATATCCAGTCCCCATTTTAATCGATGTCATCCACGGCGTTGCCCTCTTGGCTGTTTAAGGTCCCTATTACATGGTCCGTGCTTGCGCCTCCAAGCCTTGTATCGTTGATGGATTGGCTGTTGTGTTGCTTTGGTTTGGTTTTATGAGACTCCATCGAAAAGCTCTCTAGTTGTAGTTTTCGGTTGATCATATCTACTTACTAGTAATTACAGTGCACTCTTTTCAAATGGTGCCATTTAGCTTCTATTTTTTATCGTAAAAGGAAGTTCTTACCTTTGTGCCTAAAATCTCACGTATGTGAACTCACAAGTGCTTTCATAGTAATACAGTTTATAATCGTGGCTAACTTTTACTCCTAAGAAGGAAACCTTAAGTCCAGATGAAAGCTATCAAGCAGTTGTTTCATGTGATAATACTTCTTTATGCTCTTAAAGGTGGAGTAATAATAACCCCCATTGGAAAGAGAGGGAGAGAGAGAGAGAGAGAGATAAAGAAGGGCTTATCCTTAAAGTGCCTATGACAAGATATACTTTTTTGTGAATTTTCTCTAAGTGTCTCCATTAAGGTTACTTTCCACCTTCGCGGGTGTCCTTCGGGAAGATATTCGTACGTGCGCTAGTTTCACTAAACTTCTAGCAAACTACATATATGCAGTTTATTATATAATATAGTTTAAGTGTGTTTTTCTTTTAGGAAGTGACAGAAGCTGATAAGGCGTGACACGACCGATGGTTCTTCATTTGAATTTATCGGGTATCAGATGCTGCAGCAGAAGCAAAATCGCTGCACAGTCCCGTTCCGTCTTTTTCTGATTGGCTGTCTAGATATTGGCATCTAAATTTGGAGTAGCTAAAAATATGCAGGGCGTATTGCGTAAATGACGCCACGGGACAAATATTTCAAACATCAAAATTTCCCGAAACACTTTCGTTTGTCATTAATCCTGAACTATTTTGGCGAAGTTTGACGAAAATCCATCATATCTGAATACCCTACAAATTCCCTCAAAGTGGATGTATTCCAGCCAAAATCAAATGCGAGATTTTAGCTCATAAAGGTTCGTAAACAACTTGCGCCACGCCAGGAGATTATCTCGCTTTCTGAAATCGCAACCCAATGGGACAACAGGACCTCCTGGCGTCAATGACGATGGATCAAGATTTCCTGGGAAAAGTAACCCATTGCAGACACTTTTTTATCTCGATCACCCCGTGGAGCGTTGAGGAAAATATCGCGTCAAAAATGGAAAAACCGGGAAATGTGCTGAGAAGCAAGACAGCGAATCGACAGACAGCCTCTAAGCATACGATTCGAGGCGGTTGGTTTTGTATCAACATTGGTACTTGCATGAGTAAAAGGAAACCTCGGTTTTAACTTTTTGTATGACAAATTTTGGTTTGATGGCGACCTCTTTGTTCGAAATCTGGATGCCAACGTGGAGCTCCGCCAGTACCAGTCGCTTTCACCAAGGATTTTTTCTGTTCTTGACAGAATGGCACTCTTTCTTTCTTCTTTGAGCTTTTTCTTTTTTTTTTTTGAACAAAGACTTTCCTTTGCTTTTGATTTTTCGGTGACTGTTGACTTTTCGATAACCAAAGAGCTTCCATTTGTGAATTTTGTGAAGTACACAATGCAAACATAACATGCAATAACATGAAAAAGGCGCCCCAAGATGAGCGGTTGCCGCGAAAGTTCCCTCAGAGGATTCGCCCAGGAACGAGATTATAACACCTTCCTGATTTAGTGACTTTTGTTTGAAAATACGCTTTTCAAAATAAGTCGAGTGCTTTTGGAGATTTCATTTTTTTTGGAAACGCTAGTTAAAATGTTTGAATTCAGTTTATTCAAATAGAAGAAAAAATGATTTTTTTGGCCTCTGAAGGTGGGAAGTAATCTTAAGCGCGTGGCCAAAACGATCATGTTACATAGCTGTGACGTAGAAAACTGTGAAGACACGTCAGCAACTATGGTTGAGAGGGGAAAAATCTACAGGAGAAGATCGACGTATTGCCCGGCCGGAGCGCCAAATGATGTCAGCTACAGGAATAATACACATATACCGGGTACTTCTTCATACCACTTCCCAAGGGATGTAGCTGTATGGCAAAACTGGACGCGTTTCGATCGTCGACATCGAGGAGATTTGAATCTTCAATGTCGTCGGCCATATGCTTTGTACCGGCTTCAAAGGCGGCTGTTACGAACACATACCACTTGCCAAATAAGGGGAAGATAACGAATGAATTCAGCTAAAAAGAGTTCTGATTAAGGGGCCTGTTCCTACACCGTACACGACTGTTCAACATCTTTTTGGGTGACATTTCCTTATTTTGTTTATTTCACGCGCTTGAGATATACTCATACTCCTTGTCTTTCCACATGACTACATTTGCGCTTTTCTTTTCGTATGAAAATCCTACCAATGGTATTTTTTGTTCTTTGTTAATAACATAAATACATCATTTGTAAAAAAGTTCAAGCCCTTTCCTGAGCTGACCGATACCCTGTTACGTAAACAGTGCGAAACCTCTAGTGGATACTGGCATGAACACAAGCTCAAAGGGGCCGTGTATTCTCCTAACTTAGGTTTCCGAAAATCCATCCCACGAGCCATCGATTCCCCCCTGCCTTTGAGAAACTAAAAGTAGCAACAGCAGCAATGTCATTGTGATAACGGCATTGCAACGAGATAGATAAATAAAGTCAAATTTTATTGGATTAGGTGGTAGCGAATCAAAGTGCTATGTGAAGTTCGATGCATACGAAATATTCATCTACAATACTGACGTCAGTTATTTGCTATTGAGCGAAATGGGTTCGACGAAGATAGCCTCTGCCTTTGCAATCTCTGAGGAAAGGAGCAACTTGCAGTGAAACTGTCCGATGACATTTCGGCGAAAAATCATCGTGCCTCGTGATACAGCTGATTCTTTCGTCGAAAGTTAGCTTTGGTTTGCTAAGGCAA